AGGCAGCAGCTTCTTCCGAAACGTTGGTAACAATCAGTCGGACTACACGGCGTCACATCCCACAATATATTTTGCTTTGCAGTCACTGCAAGGAGAGCCGCACATTTCACAGAATCGATTTTGTCAACGTCTGTCTGTGCATGCATTGTTAACGTATGCTTCGGTCTGTGCCGCAAATGCGGAAGGATCTCTCAACTGTTGCTATGGAAACAGAGATTCTGAGGTGACATGTTGTAAGTTCACTAAGTCTGAGTATGAAAGTTCATCTTAATAGTATGCACCCTGTTGTGTGTCATAAACAAGGTACACAAAATGTATACAAAAGTATGCAGTTTACACAACAACATTCTGTATTTAAAACAAAGACACTGTCGTATCAACATTTGTTTTTGTTTGTTCTGTTGTTTGTTACAGACAAATGTTGATACGACGGTGTCTACTTTGATATATTGGGTTTTCGGACTTCATCCATCGTCCTGGTTTTTAAGATAAAACCGGGACGATGGATAAAGTCCGAAAACCCAATATATCAGTGTGTTATACACCATCGTCAGAATCCTATAGTAACTAAGTGTCTACTTTTTTAAATACAGAATATTGTTGTGTAAACTGCATACTTTTGTATACGTTTTGTGTACCTTGTTTATGAAGGTCCATGTTCCAATTTATAAATTTCAGTTAGATGATTAATTGTTTGATGGCCAGATGGCTAGGGCCGACCTCACGTCACTATGCTCGCTTTCATACATAAACTAATGCATAGTTTGGTCGCTCCATAGCTCAAGCGGTTAGTCGCTGGCTTCCCACAGCGGCAGCCCGGGTTCGATCCCGAGTCTGGTCAAGTGGGATTTGTGGTGGATAAAGTGGAGCTTGGGCGGGTTTTCTCCGAGTACTACGGTTTCCCCTGCCAAACTCCATTTCCACCAAATTCTCCATCGTCATAATCACCCGGGGCTGGTACAGTAGGCCAATCAGTGGCCGCCGTGCCCAGTGGACCAAACTGGACTCCACCCCCCACTATGCGAATTTAAAAAATATGCATAGTTGTCTTTGGGTTTGTTTAATTGAATTCAAAATAAATAAGGGAATTTTCACTAGACGGAGGTATTTCGCACTGCATATTATCCGCTACAAGACTTGTACTTCCGCGTTCATAGGGGGCGTGCCCCGTGTCTGGTACTTCAGGCGGCCACCTCTTGCCTTGGTCTCCGCTACCTTGGCGAGACTGGAGCTCCACTTTGTATAAAAGATCTTGATGGGACAGCCAGTATCAGATAATGGCGTAGATTAGTACGTCGTCATTGAAAAGTTACATCATATTGTCACAATTTAGGGGTGACTGTAGACGGGGTATGGGCTGGCGAATAGATTTATTGACCACTCACAGGTCGTAACTAAAAAATAGTATAACAGTATCGCTGATTTCCACACCCTAAGTCTTCTCGAGCCTGTAGTGTCTTCACTAGTCGTTGCTTGGTAACAGCACCCAACAATGGAGATCTTCAGCTTCTGTTGTCACGCCGTTGCCCGCTGGTTAACACTCCACAACTGACCTGTCAACTAAATTATAGCGCAATCTCTTATCAGCCTCCCTTGCAAGTCCAAGTCCAAGCCACATTGCGACTGACGGTCAGTGAGCCAGTAAGTTTTGATGTCAAGCCCTATCTGGGGCTCATGAACAGATATTTATTACTCTTTGACAGTTACGATTGACAGTTGTTTTTGTGGGGCGCCCTCTCTGACAAGAGGACGGGTATATGCTGCTGCCCTTGCCAGAGCAGTCTTCCTTTGGTCCGAGTCCCATGGGGGACTCACGACCATATTTTACTGTCTCAGATTTGAGACTTCCTAGATACGAGTACTTGGTAACCCTGAACACATAGTTCAGAGGGAAGTAACGACTTTGGAGATGGCAGGATAATATTAACACGTATCTTCTGATGTGTCACGGACTGGGAGGATCTGATTCATGGACAGTTCCTGGCTCTGGGAACTCGTGATGAAATCAGTTCGCCAGTTCCGCAAGTGCTAGCGTAAAGGGTCGGTAACTTCTATGTGTGGGGTGATTTTTAGAAAGGCATTCTGTGCGTTGATTTGGGTATAAAACACTTCCCTCAGAAAGTTCTGTGTATGCAGAAGCAAGTTATCACAATTTCATAATAATGAAGAGCATTGTGTGTTGTCAACAAGTTGGCGGTAATGGCATGAAGAGCCACCGTCAGGTACAGCGATCATTTCAATGAAAATACCCGTCATTGAGTCACCCGCTATTTATGTTAAGTCATAAATTTCTTTTGAATTAAAAAGAAACTTCAAAAGAGATAAAAATGCAGTTGTATTTTGAGATAGAGTGCGGTGGACGTGTGGCACTGAAAGGGTTAATATAGTAGAGTGATCTCCAAGCTATGTTAAGCAGACTTATCTCTGTAACAGCGTAGAGCATCTGAACACTACACACTTCGACGCCAGCCCCTTTCGCTTAGATTGCTCCAAGTGTCAGAAATGTGTCAGCAACCCGCCGCTCAAAACAGTTTCCAGAATCTGATGTTTCCTTGCCTTGGGGTACATGAGTAGGTATCTTGCTTAGCGCACAATATGCTGCAGACAGAGGAAACCGCCATTAAGTGTGGAACCATGGCCAAGTTTGAATGCGATATCGGTGCTGATTAACTCGAGGCAAAACCTTGCTCTGTCTTCAGATAATTCCCGTGCGGGAAAGGATTCAAATAGGCTTATATGCAGCGTTAACTCAAATATTCTACTACAGTAACTTACCCTTTTTTTTTCCTTGGCACTACAGCCCCAGTGGGCCTAGGCCTACCTCCATGAACTTCTCCGTTCACTTCAGTTTTCTAGATCTTAGACGTTCGGTAGGACTCCTTGGGCAGGTGATCAGCTCATCGCAAGGCCTCTACCTGTACACAAACACAGAAAAACGCACACACACAAACTAAACATCCATGCCCTGAGTGGGATTCAAACCCACGATCCCGGTTTCCAAGCGAGCGAAGACAGTACACATGCCTTAGACCGCTCGGCTACCGTGACCGGCAACTAACCCACTTACTTTTATTTATTTGTGGGTTGTTTAACGATGCTTTCTGTAGCTAGGCTGTATATAACGTCGAATGATAAGATGATGCATGAGTGATGAATTGGAAAGTATTTGCCACAGAGTGGTCATAGCCTGATGGAGGTACTATACTAGCAATTGCCTGGAGGAACCTAGGAAAATCACGGGAAAGCCCAGTCAGGATAGGCAGTGACCCGCCCGAGATAACCGAGCATCTCCAAAACACAAATCAAGTTCGGAACCGCTGGGCCAACCCATCCGGTACTCAGCGACTGTTTCGACCTTATTGGTGGTCGTCATCAGGCTGCAGTACGTTGACGCTGAAGGAACTTTCGGCCGCGAAGCTGCTGGTGTCATTTTCAGTTGTGACTGTTCTTCTTGATGGCCGCATCTCCTTCGAATTATGCATTCACCATCATTCCCTTGTGGCGGTGGCCGTGTGTCACGTAGCGCCATGCAGCTGAATCCAAGTCTCTCCTGAGTAACTACATAATTATGGATTGATAGCTTCAGCGAATGTGCGCTGAGATACGTGTATGAAATGCAGTGCTGTCTGTTGGGATGCGGTTTCCTGTTCCTGTTCTAGAGCAGTACACAATGACACACAGACAAACATCTGAGGCTGCTTTAGGTCTCCTGCACCGGAGTGTTGGCTGAAGACCTGGCGCCACTTTCTGCAGTTTGGACGGTAATTACCTCACTTCTAGAAATACCAAACTTAATTTAATGTAATTTTTGTAACAACATGGCGATCGTGCGAAATGCTGCGGTTCAGAAAGAAAAGTGACAAGCAAGCCGCTGACTGCCGCCCTCAGAGTCGCAAGGCGCTCGCTCTGGTATTGATCCGGACAGCGAGATGAAGATGCTGGAAGCAAAGAGGTTGTGTGATTGTCCTCAGTCCCTCCGAATTTTACCTTAACTTTTTATAGTACAGTGGTAATTATTGTATACTTTCTCTTTCAACATTAAACTGCGCATTTTGCTCACACTGTATGTATGTGATCAGAGTGGCTTCACGATTTGAGGTGTGTATTGTTTTTCATCTCTCGAATACTGGAATCCTGGGTTCAAATCTGACTCTGGGCATGGATGTAGGTTCTGTATTTATGTTGTCCGATGTAGGTAGAGGCTTTTCATCAGGCCTGTCTCCCGTTCGAGGAGTCCCACTGAAAGTCTGTAAATAAAATTTCTAAACCAGGGAAACTAGAGGCCATGGATCGCAGTTGGCTGCACTGCCACAAAGAATATGAACAAGTAGAATATATTTGTGTGTTCTATGGGATTCTCGCAATAAGGACAGATTATTTCCCTAAACAGCATCATCAATATTTAGGCCCATATATTTATGTATGGTAACATTTAACATATCTAACAGTGAGCCGGGATAGCGCAGTCGGTATAGCGACTGGCTACGGGCTGGACGACCGAGGGGTCGGAGTTCGAATCCTGGAAGGGTCAAGAATTTCCTCTTCTCCATATTGTCCAGACTGGCTTTGGGGCCCACCCAGCCTCCTATCCAATGGGTACCGGGGACTTCAGCACTGGGGATAAAGCGGCCGGGACGTGAAGCTAACCACTCACCTCGTAGTAGTGCCCAAATCAAGAAAATGTGGATCTATACATCCACTAACCCATACGCTTAATTATTTAAGCACAGGGGCAACCTATTTAGCAAGGCTGTCAATATCGAGGCTTTAACTTGTAGCGTCGAATGGTAGGATGAATGATGAATTGAAAAGGATTTGGAAGGAAGCGGCCGTGGCCTAATCGACGTATTGTCCCGAAACTTGTTTTCAAGGACTGAGGAAGCCTGTGGAAAATATTGGTCAGGATAGACGATCTGCGTGCCGAATACGTACCGAAACGTCCAGAGCTGATGTATTGCCGATGAGTATGTTGATACTTCTCTGTACATCTCTTGCCGCAGAACTTGATACCAGTCGCCGTGCCGTTTAGAAGATGCACACAGATCTGGCCCGGACGAGCTAAGCGCCATGTTGCTGGCCGATGCTGAGAGCTGCTACAGTGAGGAGATGGCGCCCGCCTCTCAGTCTGTCACGCCTTCCCTGTCTCCTTCGCCGCCGCCTCCACTGCCGCCCCAAGCCAGCACAGCAGCGCGCTGGACAGACCTGGTGCCGCCCCACTGCCAGCGATGCCACCTATACACCGGGTCTGGCAACAAGGGTGAGTGTATTGTCTTCTTCTTGGTCTGTTGTGAAGGTTTTCTAAAGCAGTGGACATCCTGGGATCGGCTGCCTGTGCTAGCGAATTCTCTGTTCGGTGTATCGGAGACCGATAGGCCGTGTGTTGGCGCTTATGCCATTTTTATTCTATCTGCGGCACGAGCTCAATTTTCTGCCCCTCTCTTGCCTCCGATATTTCCATACAAGCGACCCAACTGGCAATCGAACTTTGGTCATGTTTTGGTAACTGTTTGGTTATTCAATTTGCTTGCATATTGAGCTGGGAATTGCTTTGCTTCTCTTCCGGGCCGTGCTGAGCTGATGTTCTGCGCGCGCGGTTGACACTGCCCTCTGCTCTTCTCGGAAAACAGGACGAAGTTTGTTTCTGAAGTGAAAGGCTCGAGGGGCTGGAGATCTCGAAGTCTTTAAATACTGCCCCAGTATTTTCGTTCGAATACAGATCTGAGTTGCTCTGTAATTGGTAGCCGGCGGGACACAAGAAGATGCCAGAAAACGCACACATGTCTGGGGAACAGTTGCGACGGGCTCTCACTTCTCCTTAATCGCCTCGAAAACCATACGACTTACGGAGAAAGTGTAATGGACATGTTTGAAATGTATTTAAAACTTTTGTACAAATCGATTTTCTCTCCGTTAAATATGTTTCTGGCTAAGGTCGAGATGTGCGCAGACGCGATTATGCGTCTTTATGCAGAATGCCCATTATTGTTATCCGATTTTAACTGGAATGTACTTACAAATTTTAGAAAATCTCCGAATACAGAGTTTTATGAAAATCAATTCACTGCTTCTCGAGTTGCTACATGCGGACAGACAGACGGACACGCAGACGTGGAAAAACCGATAGCACTCTTTTGTTTTAATTTTTTGCTGCCAACGCGCCAAAAAGATCACAAATTTGAATTATACCCATGTCAGTTGTGTGTCATGTGTATGTGAGAACAACAGTTTCTCCAAATATTCATTTCCGTTAGCTAAGATGCGGGCTACTCTCTAAACAGACAACTGAAACGTACGATACAACCTTCCGACTTGTCCTGTGGCGCGCTGTCTGCACCGCCTTTTGGGGAACCGGAACATCGGCCGAAGAGTAATTTAAATCATGAGCTGCGTTTCACAGCCAGAGGCATGCGCAGAGGTGAGAAGAACACAAATTCGTAGCATTAAATTTGCCTGCAAACATGCCGGCCGACAGGAGGAGACCCTTTCCCAAGAATTTTTGAAAATAAACCAAATTCGAAAAAAAAAATATACCACATATTTAATACCGAAGAATATAAGTATGTAAGAAGTTCGTATTCTGTCCTGAATACTGTAGATCAGAGGTGCACAAACTCATGGCCCAAATTTTCTGCCCCTACCTGCGATTCACGTGGTTGCACGGCTAATTATAGTACTCAAAATGTATTTTTTTTGTTTCATTTGTATCATTTAGAAAGAAGAGGATGTGGCCTATTCGATATACTATTCCGGTGTCTGACTGGAGGCACTGAAGAAAATAACATATCTCATAATACTGTGTCCCGGTTGAAATTCGAACCGAGCACGTCCCGGATATGAGTCTACAGCGTTACCGCTACACTAAACTGGTCGCTAACCACACGTGACTGGTCGATTCTATAATCCGTGAACAGAACACTGGAGTGAGGTGTTGCCCTCTGGATGTTGTCACGTACGATTTTCCATGGCCTTAACCGTTTAAAACACGGTGGTAGCCATATGTACCGCTTGCTTTAATATTAAGAACTCTATATTCTGCTCACAGAGTGTATTTATATGTTTCATCAGGTTCTCGCAATAAACCGCGATTATTTCTGTAAACATCAATAACCCGCTGGGCTTTCTAACGGAAACGTAAAATGTTTCTTGCGAGGTACGAACTTGATTGTTATGTACTATCTTTTTTTTTCTTTCTTCTTGGCACAACAGCCCCAGTGGGCCTAGGCCTACCTCCATGAACTTCTCCGTTCACTTCGGTTTTTCTAGATCTTACACATTCGGTAGGACTCCTTGGGCGGGAGATTAGCTCGTCGCAAGGCCTCTACTATGTACTATCTAAGGACCTCAAATTTCTTGAAAAGGATAAAGCGTTGAATCTCTCACACGGAAAACAGCCCTAATCACATATCAGATGTGTGTTAAAATGATAATAATAAAATTTAGAGTCAGGTTTAACTCTGTGTCTAGGCACCAAGTCGTAATATGAATTTGAAGGAATTATATTCAGTATTCAGCCAACTTGATCCGTGACGGACGGGTTCCGGAAACTATTGCACGGAGATGGAGCCAATCTGAACAGATTTGCGTCAAGGGGGCAGTTTTTCCACTCATAGGGAAATAGTCGTACCATTATTATTATTATTATTATTATTATTATTAGTAGTAGTAGTAGTAGTAGTAGTAGTAGTAGTAGTAGTGGCAGCAGCAGCAATAATGATGATGTATTGCAGCGTGCGATCGCGCCTGCCCAAGAGCTGGACGCGCACATCCTGCGTGCCAGTTGCGTGATCACCCTCACGTCCTGTTGCAGATGATGAAGAGTCATGTCCGGTGATCTGTGAGCGCGAGATGCACAGTTTGCATCGCAACGTGCCGGCCCTCAGACGCAGGGATGTGGACACATCCACCATCCGACAGCATTACTACCCAGAGGGTGGCTGGGGCTGGATTGTGTGCGGCGTGGGCTTCCTGGTACACTTGCTGACCTCAGGGCTGCAGCTAAGCTTCGGTCTCCTGTACCTGTACACGCTGCACCATCTGAGGGACGCAAGCCCCATGGACGCAGGTATGACTGGTCCGTAAATCATGCGGCGCAACCTGTAATTACGGGGGGCGGAGCGCCCGGTATTGTTCGGTACAGGGCTCCTCAACTTTCAGTATTCAGAAGGCTTTTCAACTGTTTTGTAGCGTGGCTTGGGGCTCTGTGCCTTGCCGTCTCCATGCTGACAGCCCCACTGGTCGTGGCCTTGTGCCGCCGAAAGTCGACGCGTCTCACCGCTGTCTTCGGAGGCCTCGTGATGGCTCTAGCGTGTCTCTTCACATCCTTCGCGCAGCAGTTGCACCAGGTGGTGCTCAGTTACGGCGTGGTGCTAGGAGTGGGCACCGGCCTGGTGCGCGAAACGTCCAGCCTCATGCTGGGTCACTACTTCAAGCGACGCCGCGAGTTTGTGGAGATGGTGGTGCAGGCAGGCGCTGGCGTCGGCATAGCACTGTTCTCCGTGTTGTACAAGGAGGCCGTGGGGTGAGTACAGTGGTCCAGCTGTTTGGGCTGTAGAGGGACTACATTTGTCCAGCGATTTAGGCCGTAAAGTGATTACATTGATCCAGCGATTTGGGCCGTAGGGTGAGGACATGAATACAGTGGTCCAGCCGTTTCGGCCCTAGAGTGACTAAATTGGTTCAGCGGTTTGGGCTCTGGGCTGAATATAGCGATGTCCAGCTGTTTAGGCCGTAAAGTGATTACACTGGTCCAGCGGTTTGGGCTTTCGGGTAAGTAGAGTGTTACAGCAGTTTGGGCCGTGGGGTGAGTACAGTGGTGCAGCGGTTTGGGCCGTGGGTTGAGTACAGGAATACAGCGGTCCAGCGGTTTGGGTCGCCATGGGCGGCATATACACACAATGACTCATTTATGTCCGACAGGAAGCTGGGATGGCGCCTCGGCCTGCAGGCGGTGACGGGCGTCCTGGCACTTGGTTTCTTCCTGGGCGTTCTGTACCGCTCGGCCTCGCTTTATCATCCACAGCGCCGCGCAATCCTGCATCTCAAGAATCAGCGCAAGAAAGTGAAGGAGAAGAAAGACAGCGTCGGTGCGCCTCGCAAGCCACCGTTCCTTGACTTTTCGCCGCTACGGATACGCGCGGTGCAGATGCTGCTGCTGGCGTCGTCCACGGCGGCGCTCGGTCTCTACACGCCTGTGTTCTACCTGGCGCTGCAGGGATACAAGGAGGGCCTGGAAGACAGCGCCCTGGTGCTCATGCAGACGTTCATGGGCTTTGCGACGGCTCTGGGCTGCGTGGGCTTCGGTCTGGTCGTAGTGAGGCCTAGCGACCAGTGCCTCATCTCCAGACAGTACCTGTGCCAGGCCGCTATGGTGGGCGTCGGTAAGACTGCGTCTCATGTTGAAAGTTACTTTCAAGCTTGCAGTTAAAACGGCGTCTTTAAATCAGCCAACTGGCTGTTACAGGCGTGTCTCTGCTCGCATTGAGCACTGTGCAAGGTTACCATGGCTACGTGCTGTTCGTCTGGCTGTATGGAGTGTGTCTGGGTGGCTTCCTGTATTCTCTTAAGATGTTCACAATGGAACGCGTGAGGGCGAGGTACTTCACCCGCACCTGGGGGTTCGTGCAGGGCGCGGAAGCCATTCCCGTGCTGCTGGGCGTACCAATCACAGGTTTGTGTTGCTGCTCAAACGTAACCACATTTATAGTGCAAGAGCAATCTATGTCATGTTGGTTTGTCATTGCTTATGAACCACTTAATGAACCCAACTATCACTCTGCAACACCGCTATAGTAAATAATAAACAGAGGAGCATTAGTCAGTGTGAATATTTGCTGCCTACTCTCGATGTTATGGGGTGGGGTGAGTTGACTGCCTTGATACTCATGGTGCTAATTTACCTGCCCCAGACGACAGTTCAGGGTAGGGAACACTAATAAGGAAGCCGTTTCGGTATACTATTTCGGTGTATTTGTTTAGTTTCTTTAGGGCCAATTGTTGGAGCAGCTACATTCTGACGTCATTCCCCTCAGGATACATCAACCAGAGCCATCCGAAGGCTGGTTACTACTTCTCATTCTTGTCCACGATGCTCGGCGCGGCGCTGCTGTTTCTCGTGGGTTTCCCGAAGCGCCACCGGACGCCTACAGACGTCGCGCCCTGCTCCTGCTCCTCGGCGTCGCCCGCGAGGCCTCCATTACCCAAAAGCATTTCTTTCGCCACGACGCTCGATCTGCCTCTGGGATGCATCTCAGGAGAGGTTCTGCCTGACAGCCTGATGCTGGGCTACGACTTCCGGCCGCTACGCCCCAGCAAGAGCGTACCAGAGGGCCTCGCCACGCGTCACGAGTGGCTCCAGTATCGCCGCCCCGCCGTGAGACAAGTGACGGTCATTGAGCAAATGACCACGTCAGTGTGACATCAATACAGTGTATTGTTTTAAAAATTAGAAAATATACGTACACGAGTTTTGAAGCTGTCGGTTTGCCTTACCGTTCGCATGCAATAATTTGTAGTAAATTTGGTACTTACGGGTTTATTCAGGATCTGCTCCTCTTGAGAGTGCAATGACTGCAGCGATAAGGATTCACCGTCATATGATACCATGATTTAGAAATTTAGAATGTGATCAGTCTCCACAGAACCAAGGACCAATATACCATGACAGTACAAATTGAATTTGGGCCACAGCTGACTAGCACCAACATTGCGAGTGGTTGGTAATTCTCATCTCCAGGGAGTTCAGGCAGTAGGAGCGTAGAGCTCGGGCAACCAGCCGCATCAATTTAGAGCGGAAGTGCGACGTTTCGGATATCTTGTCTGCCTCTGTCATGAAGCAATTATTGCCTGATGGAGGTAGAGCAGGTTTCCGAAAAGTGTAACTACCGCTGCGAACTGACATTACTGGTCTTCCGAGAAAATTGTTACTTTTAATCATCATGAAAGCTATAAGTCTTATAAATAGACTTCATTCTTGTACGAATATGTAGGACACAGAAACTGTGAACATGAGAGCCTCACCTTTGCTCCTTCATAGCATCTCCTTTACAGTTAATCTGGTTTGGAAGCAAGGAAAGCTTTAGAGAGTCATGACACCGTGGAATCTGGTAGGTACATACCAATCTTTCGGAAGAACCAGCTGCATCCATCTCCGAGGCCATGCAGCGTCATATCTCAGAAGATTACAATTTAAATTTTCATTACCTGAAATCACAACTTGCCCCGAGTAAAACCTAACGTTGGCATCCTCTTTCAATGGGGAAGTTTCTCATCTGCCTAATCACCACCCAAAGGGTATAGTGACGTACAGCTGAAGCTTCACATGTGCTAGACCGTGGTACTGACTGGCCACTTTGTTCTCGATGTCTGGGAAATGAGGATGTTAATGCCCTTACAAGGAATCAAGCTACGACTGTCCAGTTCTTCGGTAATATAATGGTAACTTGTACTAAAACAGGCTACGATGGCTCATCATAATGATACTGGGTTCAATCTGCTCTTGAATGGGTGCGCATTAGAATTCTGAAGTAGTCATCTCATCCCCTGTTTAGGCAGTTAGTGCAGTTCATGAGAGATAGGGAAAGCCAGATACGGAGACATCCCTAATACTGCTTTTTTATTATTCTTAGTGGGTAAGACTAAGTCCACTTGGTACTGCGGCCACTATTGGCCTATTGCACCAGCCCCAGATTATAGTTGAGTTTGGAGCAGTCTGTGGAATGAGAGTTGACAAGGGAACTGAAGAACTAGGAGAAAACCTGCTTCAGTGCCACTTTGTCCACCACAAATCCTACATGACCTGATCCGCGCTCGAACCAGGGCCACCGCGGTGGGAAGCCAGCGACTAACCGCCTGACCTTTCCCACCGCGGCGTCCCAGGTTCGAGCCCGGGTCTGGTCATGTAAGATTTGTGCTGGACAAAGTGGCACTGGGGCAGGTTTTCTCCGCGTACTTCGGTTGCCCCTGCCAATCTTCATTCCACCAATTGCTTCACAAACACCATCATCTATCTGGGGCTGGTACAATAGGCCAGCAGTGGCCGCAGTATCAAGTGCACCCAAGCTCACCCCACTAATAATAAAATACTACTACTAATAATAATAATGTTAATAAAACCGCATGAGCTATGGCACGGCTCCGTGATGCTGTTGCTTCCTGCCGTGCTCAGGGTTGTTCCAGTAACTGCGTATAGAGTGGGCTATGTTGCACAATCAATAAGAATTTTAAACGTTGTCTCAGATTCTCCTGTAGATGGCAGTAACAACCGATTGTGTACATCTGGACGATCTGGACACTATGTGTCAAATATTCATTCAAATTTAGATCCCATAGCAGCTAATCGTGGAGTTTGGTATTCATCACTCTAATGAAGTTCTTTTTCCGTTAACGATATATACCATGAAATAAATTTCGTCACCAAATAGCTTTGAACACCTGGAGTACTGGTACAACAGCAAGAAAGGAAACACGTGAATGTCTTCTCTTAAATTATGGACGTTTCATTAGGCTGGTCCTTAACCGTACTCACTGGTCCGTGATCCTTAAGAAGATTTTGCGTACATTTGCTGAAATCTGGATAAAAACTATTTTTTTACGTCGGTCAGCTCGAAACGGCATACCGCTGCGCTAACAAACTGAAACGAAATCATTTTCCCTCATTTTTCTTCTTCCTGTAACCTAACAGAGAATAAATTGCTCTTGGGTCTCAGCCAGGAGAATATTTGGCTGTGAAAAAGTGGATGGAGAATTCTACGTATGAAATAACTCCACGGATTGTTATCGTTAGCGAACTTTGACAAAGAATCGTGAGCATCGTGAGGTGGCTTGGACCTGCAGCATGAATAAGGCCGAGGGCACACCAAGGAAACTGTCAACCGCGATTTCCGAAATTGTTATCTGCCTGAGTTGAACTCATTACGCCGTTTCTGTAAGATACGTTTCAATGCCATCCTTCCATCTGAACCCATACGCTACGTAGAATGGATTCTGTACCATGGAGCTCATCGTTCGTTAATACTGCAAAACCACGTATTTCATTTTTGTGGCTGAAGTGAGAAATATCCCATATCTTACCTTACATAGGAAATCCGATCTTTCGTATGTTGTTGAACGTGAACACGTCCAATATTGCCGTCTGCTTTGGTTAAATTGTGGTGGTCTGATGTATGCAGTGTGTATGAGAACTGAGGCAAGTTGTAGGTTATGTCCATTAAAAGCTCAGTGAAAACTACTTCGTTCTGTGCATTTAAGTAAAGAAACAGATATGCAGTTCAATGTGAATGCTACATTAGTACAGCCGAAGTGTTAAGCGGAATGGACGGTGGTTTTAGAAATGTCGCCGTGGTGTGCCGTATATGTGGATCTGCAGGAGATGCAAGTGGAGAAGGTTCGAAATTCAATCCAGAGAAAGAACATTCAAATACTAGGACATTTCAGGTTAGATTTATTATCCTCACTTGAGATTTGTGCCAGTCGAGAAAAATGCATTTGTTGTCACTAGTCTCTCCACTTTAAAAGACAGAATGACGTAAATCATCTTGCCCATACATGTATGTAGTTTGAGAATGCATGTAATTTTTGTCGAATTACATTAAATGAGGATAGTTGGGCGTATAGAGCTTGGTGGCACCTAATACGATAGTTTTTCCACATATATTGTACAGAACTTACTTGAGTATTGTACAGTTAAACTTGCAAAAAGAAAATTCCAGAATTTGTGGAATAACAGATTTATGCGAACTTCTAGATGACTAAGTGAAGGTTTTGCTAGTTGCCAGGTGCTCCAGATTTAGAATTTGCGTTACAGTAAAAGATTGTTCTGTACACACAGACTGCAAGACCGCCTACATAATTTACAAATTAAGTTAAAATTAAATATGTGACAGGATAATGGGCCATTGCTGAAAAGTGGTTGTATAGTTGGTAATCAGTGTATTACACACACACACTTACAAGTGGTTACTTACCTTTCAGGTGCCTGATGAATATGACGTTTGTCAGCAGTGCACTGTCCAGGGCCATGCATTGGCACCCAAGGTGTGTCTCACAAAGTAATGGTGCTGCTGTTTAATTGTTAATGAAGTCACTCCTCCCCTTCTCACATGAAAACTTGTCAGTTTCGTAAATTATTGCTGTGTGTTATACATATTCCCAGTCAGTGCAGAAACAACCTAATATACTTTCTGTTACTGGTTATTCTGCCAGAATCTGAATCGTAACTGTATAATTAGTCATTTTGAAGTTGACCTAGTCTTTGTGTATTGTTTTAACAGTGCATTATTTGATCAAAACCTCATATGTGAATGTCACTTTGCTTCCCACTGTAGGAAGCTGTGACATCCGCAGACAACCGCCATGAAAAGGAGGTGGAACAGAAGGAGGCAGAGGGTCCTCAGGAGGAAGAGGATCCAGCTACTATTGCAGGGTGTGTACCATAAGTGAAATGGTTTTACCACATTTACTGTCACCACAGATATTTGTGTTCTCTTATTGCAGGTTGAACAGTAAGAGACTTCTGGTCATTCAGGGTGATGGTGATGGTGGTGGGGAGTGTGTTCCTATCAGTGAGGAGATGCTGTTCTCTATTCATGGTTTGGACCTGACATTGCCAGTCTTGTGTGATTTCTGCCCGAGGAAGTTCAATGACTTCACAGAATTTGATACTCACATAGTGACACATAAGTGAGTAAGTTTGGTTTGCCATCCTTAACACATCTGGAGCTTAATATCTTTGGGTTCATAGCAGTTCACATTGATTTTATGCAATGCATATACATTGTGTCTTCTTAACAAAGCTGAATGCATTTCTCACTTACTGGTTACTGGCCATTGACACCTCATTTCTAACACAGTGCTACCAGTTGATCCTGATATGAGTGTAGAATTGCTTGATAAGAACTTACCTGGATTATAAGAGGCACATATGCCAAAGCTGACATAAAGATGTTTTTATGAGTAATTTCTACAGTTTTTCCTGGATCTTTTCTTTCAGATGTTCATATTTATGGTTTATTTATTTCATTGTAAAATTCCGTCGATCCAATCTAGGCTACAAATACGCCTGACGGATATAGAATTAGTCACAGACAAGTAACTAAAATACACATGCTATGAAAATAAGCATAGGTGGATCAAACAATAAACCAAAACTGTTTATCTTCCTACACTAACATTAAACATAACAACATCTTAAATTTAATATTGTAAAAAAATCAACATACCAAAAGGTAGATGATAACATATTTATGCCAAAATAAAGCACCTATGATACATAAAACCTTAAAAATTCACTTTAAAATTAGTAATTACTATTAAAAAAATCCTTCAGTGAATAAAAAGAATTCAATAGAAGGTAGTTTTTTAGAGGATTTTTAAATTGATTCTTATCATCAGACAATTTTTTTATGCAAGGAGGTAAGTGATTAAATGCCTTTATACCTATATAATAAACACCATTTTTATAGATAGACAACCTTTGTTGTGAAGGATAAAAATTATTTTTATTTCATTTTGTACATCTTAATCCTTCAAACTACTCCCATCAATAGCAGCAAGATAGGGGAAGGTCAGGTGAATATGCTGTGTTAACTTAGTCCTTGTCACATCAGTGAGTGAACAGTTTTTATATGCCTTTCTTCTCCAGAGTGACGTACTAAACCATACTCTGTTAATGGTTGTGGTGCTTGAATTTGTTACCCTGTGAAATTTATCGTGAAATTTGCACCAACACTTTCTAGCAGAACCATGCTTCACACATGATTTATACAGAAATACATATAGACTTTAAAGGATTCTGATGATGGTGTATGCTGTATAGAACTATAAAGTTTATTTTGGACTCTATCCATCATCTGGTATATATAAGACAAAAGGTTCAGTGATTGAGACTACCTTTTTCTAACGGGCCCAACTGAGTAGGTCTATCTTGCCCCATCCACCTGAGGACGGAGACAGCTCCAGTCTCCTAAACATTGTGTTTCTTTGTCTTATATATACCAGATGATGGATAGAGTCCAAAATAAACCTTATAGTTCTATACAGAAATACATGTTCCACAATATAACAGACCACATGAAGTCACAATGATAATCATTACGTAACCTATTGCTCTACACTTACAGCCAAATTCATTCAGAAATGCAGCCAAAACTGAATGCCTGCCTATGTGATCGTGAATCATTTCATTGGCATATAGGCCTATTGATAACACTAGTCTCTGAATTATTCTTGATTATTTAGGAAGAGCAGGTAGCACTCATCTGAAAGTTGTTGGGAACTGACAGATAAGCTTAGTTTTGTAAGAAAATGCTCTGTAGATGTGTTAGAGAAGGACTCTGTCTTTTTTTGCACATTGATACTCTTTGCTGAAATTGATTCCCCTGTATAAGAGGGAACAAGTGAAAGTTTTCTTGTAGTTTATTAAATGCATGTATATTTCAGGTTGTGAAAAAATTAAGTTCTAATGAACATATATTCTTTGTTTGTGAGGAAGTTTGTCAGTTTTCATTGAATGTGCAGCAGACTGTCTAGCTTTAAGTGCATCTTTCCTTCCTTAAGTCAGAAAAAGTTTCTACATTGTTCTTATTTATAAGGAAGGGCAGTAGCCACAGAGACTGAATACCAATATAAGAAGAATGTGTTGAAAATTAAGATACTGTGTCTCTTAAATTTAAATTAAAAAGAATCTGAAACTCTGAATCAGTTGAATCAAATATCACAGATCAGGCGGGTCTAGAGGTAATGGTGTAGAGTTATATTTGGGAGGTGGTTGATTTAAATCTCGGCTGGGGCACAAACTGTCCTTATAGGTATTTTTTTTTTTTGTGATTTTCCTGAGTCCCAGTGCCAAGATAACTTGATTAGGTCCTGACCACTTCCTTTGAAGTCTTTTCCAGTTCACTTATCATCCTATCATCCTACACTCAGTACTCAATACTGAGAGAGTGCCGTTAAATAACCTGTGGAAAAAAAGCATTGAGGTGCCACATCTTTGTGTTCTTTCCAGAGAATGTCGGTTCTTCTCCTGCCAGTTATGCAGTAATACTTACTTGTCCTGGGGCAATCTGGTGGCACATCGCAAGGCATGTCATCGAGGTCAGGTGCTGAGTTGTGATGCATGTGGAGAAAGGAAGTTTCACCCCGGCCTGGGCCCCGTCAACTTCCCTGTGGGAGGCAGCCCAATTGGTTGTGAGGAGTGTGGGGAGGGCTTCAATACCATCATGCAGCTGTATAGGCACTATCGTGTCCATGGCACACACCAGTTCATGCCTGACAAGGACAAACTGACCAAGGTATTGTGTGTCCGTGTGCCCATCCCTGTGCAACAATACAGACATAACAACATGACTCTTGATGAGATGCAATGGAAGAGGTGCTTATTGAGAATTTGATTTTGAGCCACAACACTTCAGCAATATAATGACAATTAAAATTATGCTGCCACTTCTTCAAACTTTGAAACCTTTTAATTAAAATAAAATACATTGCAATTAACCTGAAATTTGTCACTCAGATTAGCTATTGAACCACACCAGTTTATCAATGTTGCCACCACAAGTGGATAAATGCACTGTTGTTGGTAGCTGTCCCAAGTCTGGTCTGGTAATATGCACAGTGGTTTAGAGGGCTGAATCTTTCTGTATCTAAATTGCAATGCTGGACAAAGGCCCATAGGGTTTATTGTTATGCTCCCATTCGAGATGTTAGGTATAACTGAACAGCATCATTATAGATGTGAGCTATTTAATTTGAACTTTAGTGGTAGAGGTTCCTTAATGTTGGTTGGTTTCCAGTGGCTACATTTGGGATCATTTAACCCATTTTGCTTCTTGCTTCCCAATAGAGAGCACTCAAGTTCTTGCTTTGTGGCATCTGGAAGAAGTTTGCATTTTTCTTTTGGGAAGCTTTGCCACGTTTGTTGCTCATTTTGCACTACCCAGGGGACACGTATATCTTAAAGAATGTAACGGATGCAAGCATCTTTGTCCTCCAGGTTCCTTAATACTTTTAATTTAGTTGTACTTGATGAAGTTTTTACTTTTATTTCTTTCTCTTCAAGCTATTTGGGATAGTTTTGCTTAACCCTTTTATTTTAATTGTAAAAGTGATGGAAGAATATAAGCATATGTGTTCTGGGAGTGAAACAAACTGGAAATAGAAGTTTTATCAAAAATATATGAGTGACATATATATTGTCATGTGATTGAATGACTATATATGGGGTTTGGATTGGCAATTGGATTTATTGAACATTTACAGAATGTAACTACAAATAACAATGACAGTCTCACTGATTTACACACTTCAAAGATCACTATGTGGTTACCACAGCACACATAAAGTATTTTATAACTTCACCAGTCGTTCAATCATTTCCTGATGATGGAGCCAGATGTCCTCTGCAATGCTCACATTCTTGCCAGCTTGTGACTGTCTCACAGCTCACTCATTGCTTTAACTGTCGACTCTCAAAGTCAAAGTTATGTTATAGCAAGTGGTCAGTCAGCCAGTCAGCCAGTCAGCCAGTCTGTCTTGGTGTCAAGCTCCATCTGGGGCCCAAAACCAGATTTTTGTTACTGTCAGACATTTGCGGGTTTGTTGATGTGGGGCGTCCTCTCTCATGAGAAGATGGGTATGTTGTTTACAGTTGCTGCTGACCATCATTAGTGCAGTTATACTTGGGTCTGAGTCCCACAGGACTCACGACCATATTTTAGTGTCTCAGATTTGAGACTCCCCCAACCTGGAGGGCCAGGTCCCTGTATTTATATTCCCCAGGAACAGGGTAGCCCAGTTATACCCCAAGGCACTGGGTTATCTTTTTCTTGCCTTTTATGATTCACAGGGCTATGGTGGAAGTATTCAAACCCCTGTTGACTCTCAACTAACTGTCCTGCTTGTAACATCATGGCACAGACCACACAGAAAGCACTGTTCCTCTGTTACTATATTCAATTGTTGCCATGGAAGCAAACTTGTTTGCAAAGCTGTTGTATTTTTGCTTATCTCATTGTCATTGCTTAGTGGTTGGCCTACATGTGCAGTATGATATAGGAAATAGCTGTCTGCAACATCAGAAAAATAAAGAAAAATTGTTGTTGTTAATGTATTTTATTTTTGAGTATATTTCTGTTAAGCTTGTTTTTGATTAATATAAGCGTTCAGTTTACACTAATGATTTGGGGTGGGGGAGCGTGACTGCAGAATGTATGGTGGGTGTTTCCAGATTTTTTGATTATCTGTTGTTTTCAATTATCCATGCTACTTCTTCCATTGCTGTGGACTATTTGCTGTACTCAAACTTTATGTGCTTTCTCAGAAATGATTCGTCTTGTAGTGAATGAGTACATTATATAAAATGTCTCAAAGAATTAGAGCTTTTGTGTGGTATGATTTCTGTACTGTTGATTAGCTTTGCAATGGTAGCTGTGAATCTGCATTAAGATACATGTGTTTCCAGTTAAACGAACCTAGAGGCCAGTGGCTATGCAGTATAACAAAACACTCACTGGAAGATAAATAGTGTAAATTTCAGTAAGCATTTTGCATATTGTAACACATAATGATGTTGCAGGTGCAAGAACGAACTGCTGAGGGTGCTGTACCTCTGAGTGGTTTGTATTTGTCTCAGTCTGCGTCCCAGAAACAGGTGGAAGACAATGCATTTTGCTCTGAATCCAAGATTTGTAATTCTAAGTGCTGTAATGAAGGGAAGGACAACCATTTGCACTCTGCATCGTATAGTTGTCAGGTGTGTGCAAAAGTGATGCCCAACTTTGCCAGCTCCTGTCAGCACTCTGCCATGCACAGTCTAAAATCTGGTCTGGAACTTCACGAGCACAAGTATTGCTGCCAGAGCTGCAATCAGGAATTCTCAGAATGGAATGAATTTACTGAACATGTTGAAGGGAAACATGCAGGTTTAAATGAGATGCTGACATGTGGTGTCTGTGGCCATTCATGGCCAGCAGGAAAAGAATTCCTTGTTCACTACCAATCCTGTCACACGGCAAAGAAGATCAGAGACACTAAAAGGATGTGCCCAGTCTGTCGCAAGGTGTTCTCACAGCCATCTGCTCTGAATCGTCACCTGAAACTTCACAATCTATTGAACTACCGTCATACCTGCGAGATATGTGGAGAGGTCATCATGCGCCGTGACCTAGTGCTGGTACATGCTCGCCAACATTATGGAGTTGAATTGCCAGAAAGTTATAACAAATTGGAGCATTTGTTAGAGTGTGGGCAAAGGTACAGAGAAAGCGTGAAACGCAAGAGTTTTATATGTGAATATTGTGGTCGAGAGTTTGGCAAGAAGCTGAACCTGCAGCTGCATGTGAGGCGGCACACTGGAGAGCGGCCGTATGGTTGCCAACTCTGTGGCAAAGCATTCTACACCAATCAGCAGCTCGCTATCCATGTGCGGTGCCACACAGGTGAACGTCCATATGCTTGTGGAATTTGTCCCAAAACATTTACAGGCCCTACAGCGTTATATGTCCACCGCAAACTGCATGACAAAGTGAAGCGCCACCTCTGCCCTCACTGTGGGAAGCGCTTCTTCTGGAGGTCTGCCTTCATAGGTCACATTCGCCTGCACACAGGAGAACGGCCTTATCGCTGCACCATCTGCAGTAAGGCATTCACCCTAAAGGGCAAGTTGAACCTTCATCTGAAGAAGCACGCCATCTTAGCATGTTCAGACTGTGGGGAGAACTTTGGTTCTGAAGCTGAACTGAATTCTCATCGCAATGAACAGTGCTGTGTCACAATGTTGACTTTTGTTGAGGATGGTCCTTCTGGGAAGAGGGACACTCATATCATTGTTGTGAATACTGAGGATCTGGAGCAGAACAATATCTACATAGATAATGCTGAAGTAGTGCAGCTTGTGGTGTGAGGGTCAGTGTGAACTTACATGAGAACTGTGTAGACAGTTAATTGATGAGTTTATAATGGAGTGGTCAGGTAGCTTCAGTCTGAGAATACATAATTTTTGTGAGAAATTATTTTTAATATCACCTCCTGGAAGCTTATAATGATTATCTTGCGATTGTATTAGTATGGCTCTTAAGGAGCTAGATTTTGATGATGTTGCTAAGATTTAATGGGCTGAGCATGATGATAGGCTTTTGTCTGGTATCATCCTGTTTGATGAGTAAGTTGGTACAGATTAAGAGGTTGGCGTTTCTAAAGAAAGTAAGAAAAGATGTATGATTAGCTCTGTGAAGTTTAGATGATATTTTATTGTACAAATGTATTTCCTGAAGTATTGTAAGTACATCAGTTCAAGTAAAAAGCTTTGATACCCACAGAAGACCACATTGTGAATCTTCAACACCATGAAACCCAGAAGATGAAATACATGGTTTCATTTCTCATACCTTAGGACAGGTGTCCTGTGTTATTACTTTGTCTACATTGCCCTTCATTATCTTGATAATTTGGCTTGCAAAAAGAACCTTTCCTGCATAAAGTCCAATTCTATTGTCAAAATGTTGATTAGGCTCTTCCAAAGAATGTATCAAGTTTTTTTAAGCCTTCATGAAAGTTTTAGAGCACAGAAAATTTTACAGTTAAGTGTTATTGATCATAAGGTCTAAAGTTTGATGATGATGGTACTTTAATACAAATATTATGTTTCTGGACATTGTCCATCATCCTGTTATTTATCTAAAAAACAGGCATGTTTTTATTTATTTTAGATAAAACAGGATGATGGATAATGTCCAGAAACATAATATTTGTGTTATTAACCATTGTCGATTAATCTCACCTTTGCCACCTGGGCAGCTGCTCTGTCCAGACAGGTGTATCATGCTCCAAAATATTTTGAAGTTGTTGCTTACAATCTGATAGTTTTGTGCCGGGTCTTAAAGGGGTTAAGGAAGCTGTATAGAGTCTATAGTCTCTATAGAGACTAGGCTATGAGCTGGATAACCAGGGTTCGATTGCTGGCAGGGGAAAGAGTTTTTCTTCTCAGTAATGTCCACACCAGCTCTGGGGTCCACACAGTTTCCTATCCAGTGGATACTGGGGCTGTTTCCCTGGGGGTAAAGTGGCATGGGTATGAAGCTGACACTCACCTCCGTTTACTGCTGAGGTCACGAATGGTGGAACTATACCTCCACTCCCCTATATGCATTCATGGCATAGTGTTTAATTACATAATTAAGTGCAGGGATAACTTTGCCTTCAAAGGGTTAAGCCTCTGTTTAGTACTCAAGTTGGAGGATCACTCCTCGTTGGTTGTCAGTGACTGCTTCCCCACTCACCCTATACACGAAGGCTGTATTCTCTCTGTGTAACATGAGGGCATATCGTAAGGTGGTGCAAGGAATTTTGAGGTGATTTGAAGTTAATAAAATATCAGATACCTATCAAATGTCATAAAAATCTGTTGCTTCACAATGTAGATTCTCAAGACTCATTTGAGCTCCTAAGTAAAGTTCCTGTAAATGAACCTAAATAAAGATGGCTCAACAAAATTTAATGTAGGGCTGTCAGTCTCACTAAGTATATGTTGCTGTCTCATCACCAGAATGCAGGGCAAAATCAGGACATAAAGATAGGTAACAGATGTGAAAATGCGGCACAGTTCGGATATCTGGGAACGACTATAACAAATCAAAATGTCATTGAAGAGGAAATTAAGAGGAGATTTAACTCGGGTAATGCTTGCTACCATTCAGTCCAGAACCTTTTTTCTTCTCGTCTGCTGTCTAAAAACATAAAAATTAGAATGTACAAAACTATAATTTTGCCTGTGGTTCTGTATGGGTGTAAAACTTGGTCTGTTATATTAAGGGAGGAACATAGACTGAGGGTGTTTGAGAACAGGGTGTTGAGAATTTTCGAACTGAAGAGAGATGACGTGACAGGTTTGAGAAAACTGCATAATGAGCTTCATAACTTGTACCTTTTGCCAAGTATAATTAGAATGATCAAGTTAAGGAGGATAAGGTGGGCAGGGCATGTAGCACGAGGGAAGGAGAGGAATGCATATAGTATATTGCATAGAAGGCCAGAAGGAAAGAGACCAGTGGGAAGACCAAGATGTAGGTTGGTAGACAATATGAAAATGGATCTTAGTGAGATAGGATGGGATAGTATGGGTTAGACTGATCTGGCTCAGGATAGGGACCAGTCGGGGGCTCTTGTGAACATGGTAATGAGCCTTCGGTTTCCATAAAATACTGAGAAATCCTTGAGTAGCTGCACAATTGACAGTTTCCCAGTAGGGCTCAGCTGTGTTAGTGTTGACTCAGTGTCAGTTTGGGAAAAATTGTTCAACGTTATGTTTTGGAGCATTCCCAGAAATAATACAATATAATATATGTATATATGCTTTCACTTTATGTCGATGTAAGGGAGGGAAAGTATTTCCATATCTTGAATGAACAAAAGATGGTTTGTAACAGAAACATTTATTTTTATGAGATCTAAAGAACTCTGTCTGAGCCACCAGTATCTGAACTTGGGAACCTACTTGTTGAAGAAGATATATTTATATCAAAGGCAGGTTCTTTGAGGCATGAGGGCATAACTTTTTCTGGGAAGTGCTGCAACATACATAAGAATGGTTAGGAACAAAAAGTATGAATGTTGAGCTACTGAGAGGAGTGAGTAGCAATATAGGTCTCCTACATGTGATGCTTCATAGTCTGGTAGATCAGTAAACGTTATGGAGGAACTTGCTGCTCCCATTTTAGATCAAGAAGACTGGGCAGCACATTTCACTGAAACATAACCTATGTACCAGACTACACATTGTCACGTCTCAGAAGATAGTACTCTTTATGTTAGCATTAAACTATGCATGTTTTAGTCATTGTTAGCCTACTTAATCAGTGTCTAAAATATGTGTGTGAGCCACTGAGCTGGTTGAGGGTGTAACACTCTTAGATCTATGTTGATGTGCTTTGTTCAAATTTTGACTGGGACGCTGGCTACCCTTACTAAGGTTTTTTATGTATCTGTCATTCCCTCCAGGCAAATGTTAGAATATCATGTCAGTTAGGCCACTACCACTTCCAAATGCTTTCTATTCAAATCAACTTACCGTTCAATGTTATACAGCCTTAGGCATTGAATATGACATTAAATAAATCCTATAAGGTTTGAATCAAAGAGACTGATTTTGTTAAAGTCAGAAAACTTGAGGGCAAACACTATGTGGGGTACCTAGTTATAAAGGGAATGTAAAGCAAGTAAACTAAAGTTGTTTCTGTGCTTAATTAATTAAGCACTATGCTATGAAGGCGTTTGTGAGAGAGGATGTATAGAGCCACATTTTCTTGACCTCAGCAGTAGTTGGAGGTGAGTGGTCAGCTTCATGCCCTGGCCCCTTTACTGCAGTTATCCAATCAGATATGAGGCTGGGTGGACCTCAGAGCCGGTCTTGATGCTGTGGAGAAGAACTCTGGCCTGTCAGTTGTCCAGCCTGTAGTTAGTCACTATACCAACCGTGCTATCCTGTCTCCTCAGGGAATGTTGTATGTCGTATGTTTTAAATATATGGAGAGAGGATGAGGGTTGGATCAATCTGGCTCAGGATATTGTTCAGTGGTGGGCTCCTCAGATTGCATATGTGGTGTTATTGTTGGTGTAAGTAGAGATAAACATACAGCTTTTATGTGGAACTGGGAAATGCATTCGAAAAATTCCCAAAGTAATGGATGAACATTGTATAGTAACTTATGTGAGGTGCAAATCAGCATTGCTTGAATCCAGTAGGAACACTTATAACTGGAGCATCAAAACATACAAAGCTACTGATTTCCAGTTCTATTAAAATTGATATTCTAATTATCTACCTGTCACTATTTTATTCTGAGAGAATCTGATTATGCTGAAATGTATATCATGACATTCGGAACCTCTTCATAAATATGGGATTATTGTTCTTACCAGAGTGATTCAGGTTTCGAGAATACTGCATAAAATTTAATAATAAAGTTTCTTAATGAATCTGAAGACGTATTTGGCAAATCGTAGCAGGGGATCTTGTTTGCTAATAGTTTGAATGGCCCGCGTACCATTCGGTTCCCACCAAAAAATGTCTATTGCCAGAATGAATGAGCGCGTTCGTTTCTCGTCGTAGGTTGTAAGCGCATGCGTAAAACTTGTTTACAACTCTACTGACGATACACACATGACCTTTTCCAAGATGGATGCTGCTGCGTATTTTGTTGCTGGGTGTGCTTCTAAAAAGTGGACTGTGTTCAGAAGACAGCAATGCCTGCCAAAGCCTGCAGCTTCTAGAACGATATTTTCGTTTAGTGTACGATTTTGATGACACTGGAAGAGTTGAAGACATATTTCATTATAGTGAATTATTGATTTTTGCCAGATCACATTTTGCATCTGGTAATGCAAGTTTTGAGTGTGAAGTGTGTTTCTTTCTTATGTTACTGGTGTCATATGTTATGTGCGTGTTATTGGCGTGAGTGGGCAAAATACACTATTGGTACATGTGTTTGTTAAGATTAGCACATAAATTACATTTCATTGACCTCGAATAGTAGTGTTTCGGATATTGCGCAGAAAAAAAAAACACCCTGCCCTTGGCAGAATAGCCTATTTTCCTTTGATGTGTCGTGTGTGATGACAATGCGACAAGGAAAAGAGTTACATAAATTGATTGAATCAAATAGGAAGAAAGGTCAAAGGAACTTAGTTGCAGTTGGAGCAACAAGGGGTTACCTGTGATGTCAAGGAGGCCGTTTTCAAATGTTGACGATTCTTCAGAGAAATATAGACATATTTTGTATATAAGTAAGTATAAATCTGCTCATTCATGTTAATTGTGTGTACGTGTACTAGTATTTGGAGATTTGTCCGCCACCTCTGAAATTAAACACGCATATAGTGCCTGTGCAGGCCTTGGTGATTGGTTTCAAAGTCCCTTGACGTAGGTAATTTTTATAATCTTCTCTTATACTATGCTCACGATATTTAGTAATTTTTGCCCATAGTTATGAATAAGTACAATATGATTGATGTTTACAGCTAGTAAAGTAGCACCCGCCCCAAAAAAATCTGTGGTGTCAGTTTTTTTTATTAAAGATTTTACCGCCCACGTGCATCTCAGTTGCAGATACAGGACTTGGGCAGATACTCTGAATTTTAGAAGGTACAGGTGGAACGGTTGAACGTTTTATCATTTCTGTTATTTGAAATTGCAAAGTGGTGGTGTGTTCGTTGTTCACTGTTTTTTTTTATTAATGGCATACATTGTTTTATCATGTCCCACTCAGTAAAGTAAAGGTAAAATTGACGTAGTTCATAAACAGAATAGCATGGGATGTGTAAGGGAGACATGATAAAGATCTATGCATTTGTACTTTGGAATTAGATGACAGTAGCCACTGTCATACTGTGGCCACTGTACTCACATGGGTAAAGAGTCCCCACTTACTCAGTGGAGGTTAACAGCCATTATGGATAAAGATCTAAAGGTAGTACATATAATGCAACCTGGAATTAAAAAATGGAGGTGAACGTCTGCCTAGTTTTATAATGCTGTACCCTGATAGTGTCTTGTCTACGTACCTATACCCCAAGGTCTAGCTTCATAGTAAACACCAAGCAGATTGGTAGAAGTGATACAGATTGTAAGGAACAGATCAGTTATTCTAACAGGTTTTTCAAGGTTTCGTGCTCCTGGTAGGTATACAGTTTTCCCTGACACAAAGTCCTGCTGTGTGGTGTAAAGATGCATATAACCAGTGCAGGAGGATGACCCTAGAATGCGTCCTGATGGATTAACAGCATTCAGCACTTCAGCTGAGAACGCTGGTACATTATTCGTAGACTTACCAGAACCATCTGTGTGCCTTAGCTGCTTTTTCCTTGTTCAGGATCATGTCTGCGTCTCATTTACCCAGTTGCATTCTCTGTCACCTTGCTCGTGTATGGTAACTATAGAGTTTGTTCACACAGTCATCATATTTATGTTAGATCTCAAATATGTGAAGCCAGTTGACTGTGCTTTGTTGAGTGCCATGCTCTTGTGACAAACAGAGCAGCACATGTTTTATGAGCAGAAGCACCCATTCTTCACCTTGGATGTGGTAGTTTTCCTTGTCATTATCACAGTTTGTAGTAGAAGAGAATAAACTCATATTAGAAAGATACAGTTTAGTCATATAATTAAAATATTTGGGATGAGTATTCTAATTGCATCCAAAAACTCTACTGTGATACTTGCACATTGTTTTAACAGCTGTGGCCACTGGACATATTTGCAAGGTAACAGAGCTGAAAGGCGGAGCCCCTGTGCTTAATTAAGCGCTACACTATGAGAGTGTGTGGGGAAGTGGAAGTTAGCTCCACATATTCCTAACCTCAACGCAAGATGGAGGGCGAACACTGTTAACAACAAAGCCCAGTATTAGAGCCAATTGTGAGCCACTTCGAAGCAGTTCACATTTTTCTTTAACATCCATTCAGTGTTCCATCTTCCATGTTGAAATGTTTGACTTTGTTTGTTGGTTCTTCTGTCATATCGTCTTATTTATGTCATGTAATTATCCTCCCAGAGCAATATAAACTGTATGTAATGTCTGGTCCACAAATGTATTGTGTTTCTCAAAGAGATCTGTGCAAATGATGTGACAGTGACCCGCATTCTGGTATTTTGCATAATGTTCCATTTTGATGTGAATGGGCTTATAATAATGTATTTTAGCATCCTGTTGCACTGATTCTCGTCCATGATATGTATGTATTGACCGCCTTCTAGTGCACACAGTCTCACATGTCACTTCACTACATGTTTTGGCATCACTGTGCCATCCTCAGATGTGTTATTTACGTTAAACTGTTGCACTGCTTGCCATCATATGTCATTTATAAAATGATTTAAAATGTATTGATTACAACGCACGCAGCCAAAGAAGAAGGACACATCACAAGACATAGTATACACAAAATATAGGAAGAAGGACTCCCATAGTGGAAGAATAATATAATGCGCGAGTTTGAAATAAGACGTATAAGATGATAAATCTTAACAAATTTTAATATACGAGTATATAAATTTTATTATAGTACAAGAAGAATATACATTTTAAATCATTTTATAAACGACACATGATGGCGAGCAGTGCAATAGTTTAATGTAAATAACACACCTGAGGATGGCACAGTGATGCCAAAACATGTAGTGAAGCGACGTGTGAGATTGTGTGCACTAGAAGAAGCTTAGTACATACATATCATGAGCTTTGTAATGCTTTTTGGGCAGATAATCCTGCAGTGCAGTGTATACTTTTTTTTTTTTACATGAACAACTTTGTGGATTTGGGTGGAACTTGTGTAAGTTACGTGGATCATACTTAAGTATGTATATAAAATGATGTATTCTGATTGGTAGATTTGTTGCAGCAAAAAATATTTTTCATTTTGGACACAAAAACAGATAATTGTTACATTCATATTTCTCACTCCGAAGAGCTGGGTGACACTTTGGTTGAATTTATTATATCTTCAGAATGGCCACCAGTTCTTCAGATGTAAATCTGATATGTTTTCATGCTGAGAATGAAGTCAAGCAAGAGAGAACTGCCTTTGTCCCTCGAGTAACTGCAAAAAAGAACTGAAAATGTATGGCCCCTCTGTAACGCAAGGTAATAATGTCTGATCATTAGAAAAGGTGGGCTCAGTCTGTAATCCAAGAAAGTGGTAGTCCTCATCAACGTGAACCTCGATAAAAGAGATGTGATTGATTTATAAATGCCTATTTTTAACATCCAAAATGGAACATAGTTTTCTGTGTAGGAAATGAGCCAGACTGAGTTAATCTGTTTTTACACATACTGTGGTGTATTCTGCACAACTTATATGAGTTTCATTGAAGTCAGTAGAGCTATTCAGTTCTTATGAAAAAGAAATGTTTTCCGTACCCTCCAAAGATAATGTTATCCCTGTAACAGGCTGTGAAGGCCCGTAGGGTCATGAGACATTCGACTCATGGTTGAGGCACAATGCTAGAAGCCAGAAGGTCGCAGGTTTGATTTCCGATGTCATGGATTTTCAATTGACCTAATCCTTCCAGCCGCACTATGGCCCTGTGGTCAACTCAGACTAACAGAAATGAGTACCAGGAATCTTCCTGGGGTTAAAGGGTGGCTGGCACATAAAGCTGATAAAACTGACTATCATCTGTGAGCCGATTTTCTATAAAATGTGGGAGCCTGGACTTCTCACAAACCTATGGGCCTCCACAACCTGTTACAGAGATAGCTTTACTTTTTTTTTTCTTTTACCTTCCCCCCACCATCTTGTATATATAATCTGCAATCTAACACATTGTAGTCTGGGGGTAGTTAGTTAGTTAGTTAGTTATTAGAGAGGGTGGGTTTCCCCATGCACTTAGACCTGTAGTGGTCCATTGTGCTTCCCTCTATGATTTCTACCAGTCTCTATATCCTACCGGTATTGGTGCTTACCATCAGTCCCGCCCAGCCAGCGAGACCGGCTCTACTTGGCTGAGAGGTATCTATAATGCTTCCCCCATCTACCAGAGGTATTAGAGACTGCTCTTGGGCGGGAAACGTCCGTTAATTTGGCTCAGTGACCTCCTTTGGAGATATGAGGTTCTTTTACGTGCCGTAAAGCTATGACACGGGACCCACGGCTTAAAGTCCCTCCCGGAGGACTTGTTCCCTGAATTTTTCCACCCTTAAAAATTCGACGACCTCCGCCGGGTATTTGAACCCGCGTACTACGAGTCATGAGGTGGGAATGTTACCTCTAGACTACGGAGGCCGCTAGTCTGGGGTAAGTCAACTGATGTTTTGGCGGAACACAGTGCCTACATGTTCAGAGTCAAAGATGAAGCACAAGCAAGAAACCAGCATGAAGCAGGCAGAAGCCAGGTGTTGTGCTGTGTATTGTATTGACACCCATATCCTGGGTGTAGAATTGGTATTTCCGCTGGTATATGTGTGTGTCCCGTTGCGTGCTCTTTCAAGTAGGAGTGAATGCCTGCATCTCTGAACATGGAGGAGGAGGAGGAGGAGGAAGAGGAGTGGGAGTGGGAGTGGGAACAGAGATCTGATGAGAACATTTGGGCCCAAGTCACTGGGAATATAATGAAATTGTGCATAATAAGGAGCTTCACAGTTTTTGACTTCTTATTGTGTATTGCCATGCTGAGACCACTGAAAGAAGTTTGTTGCATGGTGGGTTGTTCCTAGTGAAATTTGTTATGTGGTGGTCACTACCACCATTCCTGTGAACGGAATGGTTAGAAGGAGATGTGGGAATATATGCTGGAGGGGTAATGTGTGACATTAGGATGGCGGTGGCAGCCCATGGGAACTCTTCCTCTGGCCTCAGTATAGAGCACTTGTATTTTGATGGATGAGAGGGGTATGCCATGTAGGACACATGTGGAAAACAAGAAATGCACACAGAATTTATGTTGGCCAGCTCTGAGAGACCTACGAGGCAGAGATTAGAGTATAATGTTAAAATAAACGTTGTTTAACAAGTTCTTAAATTCTTAAATGACCATGATTCAGTAACATTTGTTACATAGTGTTGAATTGAGGCGTGAGGATGCATGATGGGTGAGTAAGGATTTTGAAAGATACAGTTAGTATAGGGCAAAGTTGTCTGTCCATCTGTTTAATTAAATGCCACACCATGAAGGTGTACGGAAGAGTATACTCGTATGTGTAACACCACATGCTCTCACTGTCAGTACTTGGTGGAGTTGAATGGTCAGCTTCATGCCCTGGCCTCCTTTCTCCCAGGGTAAGAGAGACTGGTACTCATTGGATAGGAGGCTTCGTGGGCCTCAGAGCCTCTCTGGATCCCATGTAGAAGAGAAAATTCTCTTGCTCCTGCCAGGAATTGAATTCTTATTCCTTAGTCATCCAACCTGTAGGCTGTTGCTATACCATCTGAGCTATCTTGGTTCCTGAGAGATGTTGCATTTTTCTGAACGTCTGCCCCAAGAGACCAGAGCTATGTTAGATAATAATAGGGTTGTGTTGGATGCTGGGTTGGGTTTTGATGAATAATCTTCTAATAACTTGGGTTTTGAAGTAGTGATTGCATGGAGGACCTTCTGTTTTATAGAGTTAATTTGTTTTTCTGGTATATTAATTTAAATTGCTGGGATCATAATTTTCTAGTGCAAGTGTTGTGGGTCTGTTCTGCCACATTTCATACCATACAAGTAGATCATGAATGCCAGTGAATCGCAAAGTGAGTTTAGACATTTGAGATGGCACAGTTTTTGTTCCCTGGCATATGAAATGTTTTGATTGAATTTGATACTGATCTTTACTGATGAAGTAAGAAACAAATCTGACTTTTATCAGGCATTTATTTTATTCATTTCATTATTATGTTTATTTTATAAAATGATTCAGGATCTGTGTCTGTTATTTTGTAGACATTATCACATTACAGTGATTGTGTCCATAAGGTGAGGCAATAAATTGCGCCTTTCTTGGTTGTCTTGCATTTGTGCAATAAATACATAACAGCTGCTTTTGATGCTGACAGTGTATTTATTGTGCGGCCTGCTTGTTCCCACATTTAAAATCTCATGGCTCTGTCAACCAGAACAGGATGTTTTTGAAATTCAAATTGGTGAGACTTCTACTTGATTATGTATGTGCACACATGAAGGTTGACTTGATCAGATTCTTGTTGATAGCTTTACTGGTACTCAGTTGTTGAGAGACTGTAGGTTGTTCCTGACGTGTGCTCTCAGCTTGCAGATTGATGTGGTGACCGCCCTAGTTCCAACATGGCATCACTGAAAACATCTGCCTGTGAGGCTCGTGGTCGCTGCCATGATGGACGGGGTGGTGAGATTGTGAAGATGGGGTACCTTCGGAAACTCAAGGTTTGTAATTCCATTTGCTGTAAAGAACTCTGCATTCTTTGTTATCTTAATTATTTAACACAGTGCAGTAGAGGCATGTATGGTGACTGAGTGTATGATTTGAGTGGGGAAGATTGGAATGGATATGTAATTTTTGTCAGGTAACTCCTTGGAGAAACTTCACTTTGAAGACTAAGAAGGAGATGGATGATATTAAGATTGATCTTACATAAGTTGATTGTAACTGACTATGGATCATGTCGAACGGACAGCTATGGTGTTACAGTTTTGTACCTGTAGGTTCTGTTTCCATAGAGTTAATCAGTTTGCCTTTCTTTCCGAACTCTATGTGTTCTGTGGGATAATTGAACCTGGCAACTTCTGAAGAGAGAGTGTAAGTGCAAAGCACTGAAATAAGACATGTGATTGCCTGTTGATGAGATCTCAAAATGAAGTGTCTGCCTGGGGACAGTATAGGGTCACAAAGGTGGCTTTTGGAGCTCTGCATTTTCTAAATATGGAGGTGTAGTTCCTTTGGGGATTAGACATTGCAGATGCAGCTTTATTGCTTGTATTGCTTACATGAAAGATATGTAAAGTAAGGTTGTAAGAGTCTGAGTTTTACTTTGATTGAGCTGTGGAGCTCAGTTTTTGGATATCTAAGTATCAGCATCAGCACGGCTGGGAAATAAAATAAAAGGTACTACAGTTTCAGTAAATGTGGTACACGAGTTATTGTTTTTTTGCTATTTATGATATTTCACATCTCAGACCATGAGTCAGCTTTTTAACCCATACACATTATGAAACGTTATAGGCAGTAACTTATCAGCAGCTGATTCTTACTAAAATGAAGCAGAACTTGTTAATTACAGTAAATATCAGTATTAGCTAAACATTTATCCACAAGATATTAGATGTCATGCATGTGTTTCATAGAAATCCATGATATAGCAAAGAGAACAGTTTGAACTTAGTGAAATGATAATATGTATGAACATACCCTCTTGTGCATTTGTGAATGCTTAGTGAAGCCACCCATTGTCACAACAACACAGGTATGTTCTTATGGATGTGAGTGATTTAAAGCAGGCATGTCCAACTTCAAACAGGTTGTGATCGACTTTTTAGTGTCAAAACTGCCAGTGATCTACCACCCCCTCCTATTGTTGTACCTCGCTTTAAGCAAAAATATTGGTAAAAATAACATGACACATGATGTTTGTTGTAAAATCAAGAAGCATTGAAAGAACAGACTACTTTAACACGTATTTTCCCTTCAAAATCTGAATATAATCATATTATATTACAAGTGAATTTACATGTGTTTCACGTATAATTTGCTTATAGGCCTATGAAATCGACCAAAAATCGTCCCACGATCAACCGGTGGACCGCAATTGACGTGTTGGACATGCTTGATTTAAAGGAGTGGTTGTATGGAGAGCACTGTCTTCTGGTGATACCGTGTGGTTTGGTATTTTGCAGGAATGCACTGTCTCCATCTTCAGGGTTCAGGAGCAAGCCCAGTTTGTTTGACTTACTCTTCAACCCTAAAAATTGGGGCAGTACATTCCTCAGAAGCATTGGAGTACCAGACTACATGATGTCATGTCCCTGAAGATGGTCCTACTTCGTGGTCATGTTGTGAGGACCTCAAATCCAGTGACTGGTTGTATGTTTCACAGGGCGGTCTTCTGTTGCAGACCATGAAGAAGCGGTTCTTCATTTTGCGTGGAGATTCATCTGAAGCTTCAGCACGACTGGAGTACTATGAGGATGAGAAGAAGTGGAAGAAGAACCACTCTCCCAGAAGGTACTCATAGTTGCTGTGCAGGTACTCCCTTGGTAGGTATGGAGTGGCACTAAGGTGTATGTTTGTGATGTGTACAGGGCCATCTCACTGAAAACGTGCTTTAACATCAACCGGCGACAAGACACAAAACACAAGCATGTGATTGCTCTGTACACAAAGGATGACTGCTTTGGGCTGGTGCTGGACTCTGAGGAGGAGTTAGAAGACTGGTTGAAGGCTCTTCTCTCGCTGCAATATGGGGAGGACATAGTGGATGGGGAAGAGCCCAAACCTACGTTTGGTGAGTGGTGTTTCTAGGTGGGCAGTTAGTTGCTGGCATGTGCACTTGTACACTGTCTTATGGCACACTGGTTGCAGAGCATGTGTGGCAAGTGACAGTGCTGAACAAAGGCCTTGGCAACACTCGCAACATGTTGGGTCGCCACCTGCTGTGTCTAACTGACAGAAGCCTGTCTCTGGTTAAGCTGACCCAGGAGGAGAGGGCTGAAACATACGAGTTCTCGGTGAGTGTCTCAGAGCATCTCATTCTGCCTATCTCATCTCATTGTTTTCTGCCATTTCCATTGCTCAACATATATGTTGCAGCTTGTGAGTGTCCGGCGTTGTGGGCGCTCTGACTGCTTCTTTTACATGGAGGTGGGGCGTTCCTCCTGCACGGGTGAGGGAGAGCTCTGGATGCAGACTGAGGATACAAACATTGCTGACAACATGTATGCTGCCATCCTGCAGTAAGTGTTCATATGATTCACTGTTTCTCATGTTGGCATGCCCTCATCTTTGCATCGTATAAGAACAATTTTAACTTTTTTTTTTACGTTGAGATTCTTGTTATATTTCAGTGCTATGAGCAACAACAGTTCTAAAGAGGAGCAGTTGGCACGCCCACGTTCCTCATCTACCAACGAAGTCTCGAAACCGATCGCCATGCTACAAAGACGCCAAACACATGTGGGCAACAGTTCTGTTAAAGGTAGCTTGTAATGTTATGATATCATTTTAATATTTGTGGAGAGTCCAGAAATTGCGAATTTTGTCATGTGTCCATTTGATTCTGCTAGCTTGGAGGTGAATTGGCTCTGTAAGCCAGTCCATATATTGTTTAGTTCCTGTATCAACTGCCATAGTTATTTAACTTCAGAGGAGAAGTAGTGTTTTGGGAGCAGTTATACTTCAAAACAAAGGGAAAAAGCATGAAAAATGTTATATGAAGTTCATAAAGACAGGAACATGACAGGCATTATATGTGCACTTGAGCAGAGGGCAAGAGTATACAGTGTCATCTGTTCTGCTTGTGTTTGTATAACATGGAAAGTTTTTGGGCATTGGAGGGGTAGCATCATTTGAAGGTGACAGTTGTTAAGACATCCAGTGGCCCAGAAGATAGTCCACTTACTTTACTTCCATTTATGTTGTGCACATGGAAATGTGTAGTCACATGCATTGTATTCTGAATGACAGATATCTACAGAACTGTTAGAATACTGGAGCCCCTTGAACTCCTGATAATCTGATTGATATCTGTAGCATATGTTAGTATATACCAAGTGCTTGAATTCTTTGCAAAGTGATTCATTTTTGTAGAACAGTGTTAGCATAGAGAGTTGCTTGAATTATATATGGTCTGATTGATTTTTGTAGCACTATATTAGTATAGAGAGGTGCTTGATTTAATTCTCTGTAGCATGATTGATTTCTATAGCACAGTGTTAGTATAGAAAGCTGCTTGAATTTTGCATGGTCAGATGGATTTCTATAGCACCATATTATTGCAGAGAGGTCCTTGAATTCTATGCAGCTTGAATGATTCCTGTAGCACTGTGTTAGTATAAAGAGTTTCATGAGTCCTATGGAGACTGAATGATTTCTATAGCACCATGATAGTATCCTGCTTAAATTCTATGGAGACTGGATTGTTTCGATAGCACTATGTTAGTATAGACAGTTGCTTGAGTCCTATGGAGACTGAATGATTTCTATAGCACTATGTTAGTAAAGAGAGTTGCTTTAATTCATTACAGTCTATTTTCAGTGAGATAGGGGGGCATGCGGTAGCGTAGTTGTTTGAGGCACTATCATACAAGCCGGAAGGTCGTGGGATCGAATCTCAATGAGGTCATTAGATTTTTATCAGTTTACCTAATCCTTCCAGCTGCACTTTGGCTCTGGGGTTGACTCAACTTCTAACAGAAATGAGTACCAGGAATATTCTTGGAATGTTCTTGGGGGTAAAGGGCAGCCGGCGCATAGGGCTGATAACCTTACTGCCATCCATGAACCGATTGTCTAGAAAATGTGGGAACCTCAATATCTCACAACCCTGCGGGCCTCCACGGCCTGTTACAGGGATACCTTTACTTTTACTTTTTACTATGTTATGTGTATTTGTGTGCTGTAGCATATGTTAGCATAGCTTGCTAGTGGCTTGTGTGGTTGTTGCAGAAGCTGCACCCCCTACGCGTGCAGTGCCTACCAATGAGCCGGACCCTCATGGCCACCCTCAGCAGGGTACAGTGTGTTTGTTTTAGAGCATGGCATGCTCACAGTGGGCTGTTGTGGGGTAGTGTTCTCTGTTCATTACTTTGGCTTCTGTCCCAGTGTTGATCCAAACTCTCATACAGTGAAGCCGCTGTGTTCGTAGTTTTGTATCCTTGCAAGAGGGAAGTGCATTTTCCACCTTTTAGCAGATTTTTCCACTAAACAGCAAACTAAGTGAACAGATTCTATAGTTGCCAACTGGATCAGCAAGTTAACTAAAGTTGGGTTTGCAAGTCCAGTGTTTAATTTACCTTTCATGGTCTTTCTGAAAACTCTTATTCCCAAACCCAAAGGACTTTTGAGGAGGGATGCAAATATGAATATTAACTATATAGAATGTGGAGGTGTCAGCTTTCATTTGACACACTGCAGATGAGGGAACTGTTGAAGGCCAGGGCGAAGCAAGGTGTAGATTCTCGCAGTACAGTGTAGTCTTTAACAAGACAACAGGTTCATTCTTTGAAGCCTGAACTTCATCAAAATAAAGCTAAAAAATGAAGTTTCTACCTCACAGAAAGCAAACTGCATCTTCAGTACAAAGAACAAGCAGTTAATGCTTTTTATGGAAACAGTGACTGTCTATTTTGAGAAACATACAAAACACACTTACACTGAGGGGGGAAGAATGCGGAGTTTTTGGATGTTAGAGTAGGTGTTACATAGAGTTAGCAGTGAGCTTTTGAAGGGTTAATGTAATAAGGAGTCACTTAGGACTGAGGATCATGGACTAATGTGGAGATTCAGCTTCAGTATCTTGTGATGTAGAAGAGCATGAGATGTGTGCAGTCTGTTGGTATACAGGGTGTCCCAGGAGGAATGTGCCAAACTTCGGGAGGGTGTTCCTTATGTTAAAGTATGCCGATATAACCCAAAACACCTATGTCCAAAGTTGAACGGTTACGGAGATAATGGCCAGAGAAGCGTCAAACTTTGACCGGGGTTACACACTTGTTGATTACAAAATACATATTAAAACTGGCAGGAATATGTGGATTCTGTAATGTTAATAATGTACGTAACATCAAACCAACTTGTGAGTGACGGAAAGCCATAAAATTGAAGTACAAAATACTCGCTCGCCATGTCATAATTGTCCTTAGGTTTCCAAGCAGTATACATAACACATGACTGGCGAGCGATGACGTAACGTGCTGACTGCGCGTTCTGGTATGAGCCAACTACATAAGCACGGCTAGGGAGTATCATCGCACTCAAGGACAAACATAGATAAGGGCTCTCAGCTGAGAGGTACAGCGAGGTACAGTGCTTGGACCTGCCAGAAGACCACACTTTTCTTGGGCCATTATCTCCGTAACCGTTCAACTTTGGACATAGGTGTTTTGGGTTATATCGGCATACTTTAACATAAGGAACACCCTCCCGAAGTTTGGCACATTCCTCCTGGGACACCCTGTATGTTTGGAGTGGAGAGGTAAAGTATTTTTTTTATTGCTAGTGGGGTGGGACTAAGTCTCTTGTACTGTGGCCACTTGTGGCCTATTGTACCAGCCCCAGCTGATAGGTGAGGGTGATTGTGGAGCAATTGGTGGAATGAAGATTGGCAGGGGAAACCAAAGTACTCAGAGAAAACATGCCCCAGCGCCACTTTGTACACCACAGATCCCACTTGACCAGACCCGGGATCGAACCCGGGCCACTGCGGTGGGAAGCCAGCGACTAACCGCTTGAGCTATGGCGCGGCCTTGAGAGGTAAAGCAACTGACTGATTCTCTACCTATATCTCCAAAGAGCAGAGCCTTTTTAGAGTGGCTAATAGTCTATATCATCTGATTGAGAAATTTCACTTCCTTCTATAGATTTCAGTGTTCAGTACCATTTTCACAGTTGCCCATCACTGGACCCCATCCTGAGCAAGATGAATCCGTTTCACACCTTCACAACCTTTTCCTTAAGGTTCTCCATAATATTATGCTATCTGTCTTTAGGTCTCTCATGTGCTGTGTTCATAATGACCAAAGTTTTGTATATATTTCTCATGTTGGTATGTTTACAATTTTGCTGCCCATCTAATTATCAGTTGTAAGGAGACCAGCTGGAGTGTATTGTAGTGTTTTGGCAGTCATGCTTTGTTGGATACTTGCAGTGTGCGTGGCATGACTTACATGAAACTATGAGGGTTGGAACTTTAATAGTGGCAACTATTTATTTACAACTGGTACAAAATAGATGTATGTTTCGAAGTTTAACTGCCCTTCAGTGTAGTTACCAGCATTGTGTACAACCTGTTGCCAGCGATGTGGAAGTCGTAGGATACCTTTAGCAGCGCCTGTTGTGTTGATAGTTCGAATGGAGCGGTCTACTGCCTGAAGAATCTCTGGAATAGTTCTGAAGCGAATTCCACAAAGTGTTTCCTTCATCGTAGGAATCAAGTCAGAGTCACAAGGGCTTAACTCCGGGGAGTATGGTGGATGGTACAGCACTTCCCAGCCCCATCGATCGAACAAATCAGCCACAGCTTGCACTGCATGCGGCCGAGCATTGTCCTGCAAAATGATGGGTGGGTTCTGCAGAAAGTGTCGCTGCTTCTTTCTCAAAGCTGGTCGCAGGTTGTGTTCCAAAAATGAACAGTAATACGGCGCATTGACGGTCTGCTGTAGGGGAATGGTATGCATTAGGATAACACCATCACAGTCATACACGAGAATCACCACAACTTTCATGTTGCTGGGGTTCTGATGAACTTTTGATTTTCATGGTGGTTCCACCTTGCCACCGTTCTGTAAGGCAATGCAGATTCCCCGCAAGCCTCTTGATGACCTTGATGACACTGTCGTGCTGTACGGCCTCTGGCACATTCAATTTTTATCCAACTCCGTTGTTCCTGTTTCAAAAACATCGTGACAACACTAAATTTTTTTTTATTGCTAGTGGGGTGGGACTAAGTCCCTTGTACTGCGGCCACTTGTGGCCTATTGTACCAGCCCCAGATGATAGGTGAGGGTGATTGTGGAGCAGTTGGTAGAATGAAGATTGGCAGGTGAAATCGAAGTACTCGGAGAAAACCTGCCCCAGCGCCACTTTGTCCACCACAAATCCCACTTGACCAGACCCGAGATTGTACCCTAGCTGCTGAGGTGGGAAGCCAGCGACTAACCGCTTGAGCTATGGCACGTTGCTCTGAGGTAAGGTAGGTATGTAACTAACATGTGGTATAAGCGACATTATTTGGTTCTGTTTCATGGTGTTGCACTATTGCAGTTGGTGTTGCAGTGTTGCCACTATTAAAGTTCCAACCCTCATATATTATGTGTGGTTCATAACTCTTTTCCATTTGAGATTAGAGTGTTATGGAATGTGCTGCTGTGTAGTCTGATAGTAGATACCAATATTTCCAAGGAATATATTGCTGCCTTATAGGATTTTAGGTTCTCGCAGTGGTAGTTATGAAGAATGCTGTCTTCTGGGATATAACACCATGTAGTCCATTGAAAGGGAATTGATGTATTGCCTCCATCTTCAGGGTCAAAGAATAAGCTGAGTACGAAACCAGTGTGAAAGTAGTGAGCTCTGCTTGCTACCTGCTTTCACACTGGTTTCTTGCTTGGGTTATTCAGGACCCTGAAGATGGAGGTCGTATGTTCTTCCAAAATGTTGGTTGACTTTCAGCTTGACTACACAGCGTTATGTCCCAAAAATTAGTGCTCTTTATTGATGCCTTGCTTCATCAACCCTGAAGATGGCAGCAGGTTCCTTTGAAATGTTGGTACCTATACACCAAACTGCATGGTGTCACATCCCGGTAGACCTAATTGTAACACTTACTGCATGAGAGTCACAAATTTCATAAAACTGTATCTTCCCAGAAGGGGAATGTTTAATTATGGAGTTTTAAACTAACAGGGTTATGGAATGTTAGCATGTAACCACTGCTCTGTCCTGTAATGTGATAGTTTTCTTTTAGTTACTTTGTGATTGCCTAATTTCTGTGCTATTTTGTTTTATAAATGTGTGACTCACAAAGGACTTTGGTGAGGGAGCTTCTGGAAGGGAGCTGTAGGTAGGAAATAACATGGACATGGATCTGTGTGCATTGTGTTCAGCTTTGGAATTAATATAGTATGTACTTGAAACAGAGAGGAAAGGAATATCTCTTAAAAGCATGCCAAAGAATGTGTTTGATGCCAAATTAAAATTAAAATATGTTGTGGATGAAATACTAAAATAAATATACACTATAATATATTGTTTCTTGGATCAGTTGTTTACTTCAGAGGTAGAGATTTTATATTTTGATATTTCAGAATGTATTTTTTTCCCAAATTAATTAATTTTTTTAATTTGAGTTGCTTTTCTCTGGAACTGGTTAACCTGTCTTGTGAATGACACCTATCTCAGTTGTATCGTGGCTGCATCTGACGTTTTTGAATAAATGGATTTTAGTGTAAAATTCAAATTAGCTATCTAATTTATGTTCTTATTCCTGTTGTCACATGTTACTGATTATACGCAGGGTTTGAATTGATAATTGATTTATTGAACCCTTGTACATTGTAACTACAAAGGATTATAATGCTACTGCTAATCCACACACTTCACAAACCACTGCTGGATCTTGAAGACTTCTCAGTCTGCTACATCTTCACTAATTGTTCCTTGGTATCAGCTCCCAGCAGAGTCCTCTTTGACTCTTGAATGGTTCTCATGGCATCGCTAGCCACTCGGCTGTCCATGTTATATAACTCAGCACAAATCACATAGAAAACACTGTTCCTAACAGTTCTCTGTAGTGCTTGCGTGTCTGTTGCTGAGGTATGTGTTTATCAAGCTGTGGAAACATGTTCAGTTTGCTGATGTCTAACATTGGGCATTGTTTAAGTTATCATGTCACAATGTGTTAGATAATAAGGAATTTACTGGCCTTTCTTCAAAAAATCACGTTATTGTGAAATTAACAAATTTGCAACATTTCTCGTACCCTGAAAATGGTGACTGCAAGTTCCTCCAAAGTGTTTGTGCCCACTTGCTAGATGACATACCCTGTCATAACCTGGAAAGCCATGGTCTAAATCTTCACTGTTGTTTGTAAGTACAAAGGAAGTGTAAAGTGGCTGGTGTCTGGCCTTTTACATGTGACACGTTTAATGTCTCATCCTCAGATTGTTTGCAGTATGGTCGTATTCCTCAACATTGCTTGTATAATATTTGAGGTGCTTGCTGGAAGGAGGTGTATATTGCTGTCATTTGACTTACAACACTGTGTGGTGTGGTAGGTGGGTACCAAGATTTCAGACGAACACACTGCCTTTGTCTTCAAGATACAAGTCATCCAAGTTGGGAGAGTAGTTGGGTTTAGATTATAGAAGTGGAGGGGAGAAGTGGTGAAAGTGAAAAGCTTGGCTCATTTAACTCTAAAGAAGTAGGCAGCATGCCTCCCCAAAACCATGTTCACTTATCAGATGATTTAGTGTCATAACCAAGGAGACCACATTCCTGTTTGTATTTGTTTTAAACATCTGTAAGTTACTATGTTCTGGTTATGTGGGAATTGTAATTTTGACACTGGTGTCAAGTTTCTGGTCTTTGGGGATATGTTTTGCTGTGTAGTTTGGTAGATAGGGACAAATGTTCTGGAGGAACCCGCTGTTCCATATGCAGGGTTGGTGAGATTGATTGCTCAGTCTTCTACCTGAAGATGAAAGCATGCTCCTCCAAAATGGTGTTATGTACCTACAAAACTACACACTGTGACATCCCAGAAGACTGCAGTCATGATTTAGTTACTTGTACAGGGCTGTTGTGAAACTGTGGAGCAGCCCCTTGTATGTGTGCTGGGCACATTCCTTGATTTAACTGTCAAAATTTTAAAGAGGTCAGGTCTTTCGTCCATGATGTGGATTGTGACTGAGGAGTTGCTGTTCCATTCTCACTAGCATCCAGTAACTGAAATGCATGTCTTGGTGCAGGATGGTGGGAATGTATTGTTGAATGGGGTGCGCTTTGGTTCTGCTTGCTGTCCGTTGTGCTAGTGCTGATTGTTGGTTTCAGTGTTGTCTGCTGCTAGTCTGCCTGTCGCTAGTAGTTGCCACCACCACCACCGCACCGTGACCTTACATCATCCGACGCCACTGGTGCGTCCATCCCAGAGGAGGCACTCTGTGTCAGGTACCTACATGAAGCATAATGCACACTACCAGAATGGCAGCAGTATGTGTGGGAGAGGTTTGTGACACTGGGACTGTTTAGTGTATGGAAGCTGGTTCGGTCTCTTGCTGTAGCTAGAGAACCTGACAGAAGATGTCCCTTCATTTACGTCAAACACAGAGATGGAGCCGGCCTTTGAAATGTTAAGACATCTCTTTTGGTCCAGAATATAGACTGTAGCAGGATGAGATTCATGTGGCACAGCAGAAAATTGCTATAGAAGTGCTTATATGTGAACCCAGAATTCTGTACAATCTTGTGGGCGCCACCAGTACATCAGCGTGTTGTAACAGGAGCTTTGTAAGTTGAAGAGATACAGCGGGATCATCACCCACCCATGACATTTTCTTTCATCCCCCCTAGATATGGTACAGTGTTGCTAATATTTATTTAATAATACATGCAGATGAAGGCAAAGCAGGGGCTGATGATACCACAGCTATTGATTGATTGATTGAGCAATGAATGGGTGTGTTTTTTCCTACATAGTTTTTATTATGGACATACACAGATTCAACTGTACTGTACCACTTGGAAGGTCTTGCTTTATAGATTTTATTGCTACAGTTTCAGAAATGTGGGCTGTGGTAAGCAGCGGTCTTGTGCACAATGAAGCCCACAGCTTCTGTTTGCTTCCCTGTATTTATTTTAATCATTTCACCACACAGAGCTGAAACACACATGGCATATATTCAGAAAACCACTGCCAGACATTGCAGGGCAGGAAGACCTGTACACCAAGTGTTGGCTGTGTTCCAGCACTTTCCTGTGTGGGAAGCGGGGATGCGGGTTCCCACCAACGTACCTACTCCTTACCACTGTCTGAGCCCGGACCCCACACCCCTTGGGAATCTAGGAGAGGGAGCACAGGTCGAACAGGCAAGAGAACTTCAGGCAGCAGTAATATGCGCAGTAGGTATTATGCTCCCTCTCTATGAAACTCAAGAGTCATGTGAACTAACCCACATGCTCCCTGCCTGATTATGGGCATGTTAATGTTAACATTACTTGCAGTATATCACTAACCCAAATGCTCCCTGCCTGAGAGTTGGCATGTTATGTTAACATTACATACAGTATATCACCCACATGCTCCCTGCCTGAGAACTGGCATGTTAATGTTAATATTACTTGCAGTATATCACTAACCCAGATGCTCCCTGCCTGAGAGTTGGCATGTTATGTTAATATTACATGCAGTCTATCACTAAAATGCATGCTCCCTGCCTGAGAATTGGCATGTTATGTTAACATGACATGCAGTTTATCACCCAAATGTTCTTTTCCTGAGAATTGGCATGTTAATAATGCTAACATTACATGCAGTATATCACTAATCCACATACTCCCTGCCTGAGAAATGGTATGTTAATGTTAACATTACATGCAGTGTATCATGAAAGGTCTTGTGTAATTAGATTAGACATGGTGATGTGGGCATGGCAGCAGCTCCATGTGTGAGGGGCCTAAGTAATAATGATTAGAATTGTCTTTCCCAGACTCAGTCTCAGGCATGTTTTCTGTAGGAATATGATATCAGGGCTTCTTATTTATATATTTTTGGTTCATTTAATCCTTTTTGAGTAGCTCAGACAATGCATCATCAAATGGTAAGATGAATAACGTTTGAATTTGGAGGGATGTGGAAAGAAGGAGTCAGGAATCTTCCTGAAGGGACTCGTGAAGTTCACAGAATGTCTCAGTCTGGATAGTTGGTGTCCCAGCCTGTATTGAAACACGTGCCTCCCAAATACAAACTGGAAGGATTACCACCTGAGCCAACTTGCTCTGTCAGGTCTTCTTGTTGTGGTACATGGTTGCACCCGCGAACACTGTCCTGAGCCAGTTGAATCATTTTCATTATCTGGTGCCTAGATGTCATCTTCCATACACAGTTCTGTTCCCCTGTGAATGCTACATATACTGCCCATCATACCCAATTGTCCCTCTGTCCTGTGTGTTTAAAGTTGTACATATTATGTTTGTGCCACTTAACATTTCAGGCTCTGGTCGTGAGCGTTCAGACAGTGTTCCGTCACGCACACGAACAATCAGCGATGGTCCACACCGCAGTCTGGTCCCAAACTGTGGCAGCAGTCGGCCACACTCAGTGTGCTGGCCAGCAGGCAGTCCTGTCAGGTGAGTGAGTCCCTGTGCTGTGAACTGATGCAGTGTCACGGATTGGAGCTGTATGTCAACGTTGCCGTGCTTCTTCCAGCCCTGCATCAGGTCCATGCTCAACTGACTCACCAGGCTCATCCCTGTCCATTGACGAGGGTGATGGAGAAGGATGGGGAGGCTATGGACACTCCCTGACACCAGATGAGCCTGTAATTCTTGAGGAAAATTGTAGTGATGATGCAATATGGCCTGGGACCACATCATTGTTGCCACCTCTCCGCAAGTTCTCACCCAGCCAGATGCCGACTAATGTCAGCACAGGCTCCCCCAGTCAGGTACGAATAGAAACTGGCGAATGTTTGTATCTAACAGAGTTGAAAGGATGCTGATTTATCTGCTTCTGTAGATGCAGTGAAGTAATCGTAACATGCTACTTTGTTTGGAAGTAAGGTGATGGGACTATTGGTAGGTATACATTGGTCCATGTTCTGATGGAAAATCTTAAGCATTCCTGCCAGTTTGAGATTCCCGCAGCAGTGAATATTAAGTGACAAGGTTTTCTGTGACCAGTTGCACTGCATTAAGAGTCAGAGTCCTCTGTGTCTGTTGTCACAAAATTGTGCACCAGATAAACAGTATACACACCAGCATCAAGGCCCCTGCTTTTTTTAAGGACAGCCCACAAACCATGAAGGCTGGTGAGCAGAGTCGAATGTAAACCCTTCTGTGCAGCATCCATCTAGGTCTGGCTTAAGCTGGGAAGTCAGGTTAGAGTGACTAATCAGGTGTTGTGGTGTCTGCATGTTGCTGAAATCCAACTGAGTAGCCCTTAACAATACTTGTGATGCCTGTATTTTGCATAATCTAGCTGCGGGCCTATCAGGCACTGCATTACTGCCCACTAGCAGGTAGAAGAATGCGATGTTAGGCCCACAAGGGAAGCTGATATTCAGACAGGGCAATGTTGGACAGATTTGTAGCTAGGTTAAGCAAAATACAGACATCACAAATGCTGGAAGGATTACCCTGCTTCAGGGCTGTAGCACCATACAGACACAACACCAGGTGGATCATTGTGACCTAACTTCCCAGGTTATTTTTTTTTTGCTAGTGGGGTGGGACTGAGTCCTTTGTACTGTGGCCACTTCTGGCCTATTGTACCAGCCCCAGATGATAGGTGAGGGTGAATGTGGAGCAATTGGTGGAATGAAGATTGGCAGGGGAAACCGAAGTACTTTTGGCAAACCTGCCCCAGTGCCACTTTGTTCACCACAAATCCCACTTGACCAGACCCGAGATCGAACCCGGGCTGCTGTGGTGGGAAGCCAGCGACTAACTGCTTGAGCTATGGCGCGGCCAACTTCCCAGTTAAGCAAGACCTAGCTGGATGCTACTCAGATGGGTTTACACTTGACTCTCTGTCTGTCATCGCTCATAACTCGTTGATTGTCTTTGAAGGTGGCCGACTGGGTGATGTATGTGAGAGAGAGACAGACATGACTGTAAAACTTTTTGTCTATAGCCTTGGTCCAAAAAGTTATCTTAACAGTGGTTTACATGTTGCAGGATGCATACAGTCCTCACAGTTCATCACCAATGGATCCATTGGGAGGATACATAACCATGATACAGCATGGAACAGGTATATCTTAAGTTTTCATGGTAGCGAGTATTCAGCCAGTGGTCTTCTGGGTTGCGCTCACGTCAGGCTGTCTCCTCTCCACCTCTCCTGGGTCTGAATATCATCTTACCATACTCCCTTCAACCCTGAAGGCAGCCTCTGAAATTTTTGAGCTGGATGTGATACAGAAAGTGACTGACAGGCATGCCAATTTGAATGCTCACACTGTAGACCAGCCCTTGGCTGAAGGTGGTGAAACAGAAGATGCATGTTGGAGGTTTTAGGAACTCCAGACTTAATATTAATGCCCTTCAAAAATTAATGGGAAATGTTTAAAATTATATAGCAGTATATTAATACAAACTGTATAATATATACTCCCTGATCCTTATGCAAACCCATGACTGGTAGGCTGAGCAAATTTAATGATTCAAAACACTTGAAATTATAATATATTAAATATTGCCATAGATTTTGCTGTGAAACCATGAACAAAGCCACTGATATTGCAGAAATTAGTTCCCACCCACAGGGCTGTTCTGCTTGGCTAAATCTGAACATTTGTCTTACTTTAGGGTCAGTGGCCTGCGTAGTCTAGGGGTAATGTTCCCACCTCATGACTCAAGGTACGCGGGTTCAAACCCGGCGGAGGTTGTGGAATTTTTAAGGGCGGAAAAATTCAGGGAACAAGTCTTCCGGGAGGGACTTTAAGCCGTGGGTCTCGTGTCGTAGATTTACACCACGTAAAAGAACCTCATGTCTCTAGGAGATCTCTGAGCAAAATTATTAGGTAAAAACTTTCCCCCCCAAGTAGTTTCCAATGCCTCTGGTAGATGGGGGAAGTATCAAGGTACTGAGGGCCGACCTCGTTGACTCAACGGGGCTGATAGCACGCACCGTCTACTGGTAGGGTATGGTGACAGTAGAAATTAAAGGGGGACGCACAATGGACCAATAACTGGTCTAAGTGCATGGGGAAACCCACCCCCTCCAATAATAATAATAATAATAAAATACTTTAGGGTCAGAAAAGAGTCGAGGGTTATTCACATGTGATATCTGTAATGTGGCACATGAATTTTCAACGTTGGTGCTGTGTGGACATAATAGTACTACTTTAGTTGATCAAATGTGGTTCTTGTACCAACCGCTTGCACTTCATCTGCTGACCACCAGATGCCATTGTCTCATAGTAGTCAACAGTCCAGCGTTATTTTTGAGCTGCTGCATCATTACAGCTGTTTATAGTGCAGTTGCTTCATGTTATAATTTGTGTTTGCTTTATCATCATGGCACAAAACACCAAGGAATGGTTATTGATGACTGTTGGTGACATTTTAAATAAAAGTATTGACAGTGAGATCAGTGTACTTTTGAGTACTTATTCAGACAATGACAGTTGCAAATGAGGAAAGTATGGGTAAGCATCAAATGTTTCACAAACTGAATTTTCCTTGTTGCTGTTTGCAGATGTCTGTGAACAGTTGTTCAAATTTATTACATTTCTGTTATTTCAGACCCATACTGAGGATTATTACATGAAATTGTTGAAAATGAGAGACTCAGAACAGACAGGACTGATACTCTATAGTGTTGAGAGATGTGGACTGCATTTGTGATATTGCTGTATATTCAGGTTCCCATGGAATGAAGCAGGAGGTTGCCTTGGATGAGGCATGTCAGCCAGTGTTATTTTTTAATTTAATTGACTCTGAACCAATTAGAAAAAATGGAAGAACAAACCAGTTGATGTGCCAGACAAAAAGTAGGTACACTGAGGGCTCATTTGGACAATGGAAAATTGTGACCTTAACAGATACAAGGTTTCATGCCCCTATTCTGTACATGTGCATCAGCCAACAGATCTGTGCTGTCCCAATGCTCTATTGTGATATATCCCTCAGTAATAACAGTAGTTAGTTAGTTATTGGAGAGGGTGGGTTTCCCCATGCACTTAGACCTGTATTGGTCCATTGTGCTTCCCTCTATGATTTCTACCAGTCTCTATATCCTACCGGTACTGGTGCTTACCATCAGTCCCGCCCAGCCAGCGAGACCGGCTCTACTAGCTGAGAGGTATCTATAATGCTTCCCCCATCTACCAGAGGTATTAGAGACTGCTGTTGGGCGGGAAACGTCTGTAATTTGGCTCAGTGACCTCCTTTGGAGATATGAGGTTCTTTTACGTGCCGTAAAGCTACGACACGGGACCCACGGCTTAAAGTCCCTCCCGGAGGACTTGTTCCCTGAATTTTTCCACCCTCAAAAATTCGACGGCCTCTGCCGGGTATTTGAACCCGTGTACTACGAGTCATGAGGTGGGAACGTTACCTCTAGACTACGGAGGCCGCTAGTAGTAACAGTAAACGAAAGAGGCTGTGTGCAAGTGGTTTTGATGCCCTGTTCAGAGCCAGTCCTTTGTTTCAGAAGCAAGCCGATAAATTCCAGCAGATGTAGTTCCCTGAAGAGGGCAAGTGCCCATTGAGGGGGGGAGGGTTAGCTTCAGGGTTTACATGTCTCAAAAGTCCAGCAAATATGGCATGACATTACTTATTCTGGCTGAATGAAGATGTACCATGAGAAGGATCCTGAACTGAACAGCAGTTTTGCTGGAGTAGTAAAGGTACTTATTAGGTAAACCAAACAACCAAGGGCACAGTGTTGCACTTGCTGGAGAACTGGTAAAAGCAAACGCTGGGCTTGCAGGAACAGCAGTGAAATCCAGAAAATGATTGCCAAAAAGCCCTAAAAGAGGGTAAATAAAAAGAGATGAACGGGTGTTACACGAGAAGAAGAGTGTTCTTGCCCTGTGGTGGACAGACAAGAGAAATGTATGGATTTTGAGGAGCAGACACACCACCCAGATGGAAAAGACTTCTCAGAGGACAAGGGAAGGAAAAGATGAAACTGCTGGAAATTTGTTCATTGTGATAACCATAAAGCTGGGGTGGATTTGTGACTAGCAACTGTCATGTAGGGTTGTGGAGTTCAAGACAGGGAAACAGGTGGAAATAGCCTTTAATTGCATTGCCATGGCAATGTGTAATATCTCACACAGCACTGTGACAACTGTTGTCTTTGGATGACTTGAGTGAGGATGGGGGAATTCAAGTTCTTCACAAGTAGCTAACCTCTCTAAGAAGCACTTTCCAGATAGGATCCTCTCTGTGCAGGGAAGAAGAAAGCCTAGAGGAGGAAGGAAAACCTTACAGGCAAGGTTGGTTGGAAAGTCACATCCTACCAGACTGATCACTTGTTGTTTAAAGATTTTTGACATAGTGATGCATTATGAAAAATGACTCATTTCTCGTGGCTATATTCATTGGTTCTTTTGAAGTTCCTTATTGCACTAACATTTGTATTGGGGCACGCAGTAGTGTAGTTGGTTGAGGCACTATGCTGCAAGCTGGAAGGTTGTGGGTTCAAGTCCTGATGAAGTGGGTTTTCTTCAATTTACCTAATCCTTCCAGGCATTCTTGATCCTGGGGTCGACTCAGCCTCTAACAGAAATGCGTACCAGGAATTTTTCTGGGGGGGGGCAAAGGGTGGTGGGCCTGTAACGCCAACAACCTTACTGCCATCTGTGAGCTGATTATCTAGAGAAAATGAAAGAGCCTCGACATCTCACAACCCTATGGGCCTTCATGGCCTGTTACAGGGATAGCTTTACCTTTACTAACATCTGTATTATTTCTGTTCATAATGTAAATAATTAATTTCAAGATTTTTATGTCATTGCACTTATCAGATATGCAGTGACATAGGGGCCATTTCTATAACAATAGAGGAATGTCATCATTGCTAGGCAATGACCTCCGAATACAAACAACAATATGGAATACATTGTAATAACTCATTATTAGGCAATTGTATTGTAATACAAAAATGGAAGAGGTTTTCTATATGGTCTGTGCCTAAGAATTATAAGAAGTTTCAGAATAACTGAAGAGTCAGATTCCTGTGTGGAGGTGGGGTCGAATACCTCCATCGTGACCCTGCGAGTTGTAGGAGGTGACGAAAAGGGAAGTCTCAAATCTGAGACAGTAAAATATGGTCGCCAGTCCCAAGGAACTTGGATCTGAGAAAGACTGCGCTGGCAAGGACCAGCAGCATATACAAAAGACAGACACGTCCTCTTGTCAGAGAGGGTGCCCCACAGAAACAAGACTGTAACTGTCAAACAGTAATAAATATCTGGTCATGAGCCCCAGATGGGGCACAACACCAGGACTTACTGACTGTCAGTCGCAATGTGACTGACTTTTGAGGAGTCGATCATAGTTGTAGCTGAGAAGCTGTGAATCAAGGATATGAAACTGTCATGGAAAGGAGTAGTACAGAGTCCAGTTGAGAGTTCAGTTCTGTATGGGCAGCTGTGAAGAGAAGACTTTGTGTGTAATTCAATGAAGACATTGTCAAGGCTCAGCCATTATTGAGCTCTGTTACCTAGCAACGATGAGTGCAAGGAGATAGAAGACTATATTTCTATGTTATAATTACAGTAATCCTTAGAGTGTTAAAATTATTTGTACTCATGACTTGTGAATATCCAATAAATTGATTTGCCATTCTAAACCTGTGTCTGTAGTCACTTCTACATGTGACAATATATTTTATGATGTAATAATCTGTGTCAGCACAAGGGGAGTGGACTTATTGCTCCACGTAATCATAATTTGGTGCACATTAGTGGTTAGCTTCATGCTCAAACTACTTTATTCCTAGGGAAGGAGTACCCAATTTCCAGAGTATAAGAGTGTGGGCCATTTTCAGAGCTGCTTTTAACTTAGTGAGGGAGAAAAGAGCTCTGCTTATGCCAAGAATCAAATCCTGGGTGTGGTCCTTTTATTCAGAATCTGAAAGCAATAGCAGAAGCAAGCAGTGGCTGGTGTCTCTTCACTGTAGGTCTAATAACGTTTGCGTTAATCTGTCATACAGGGACAGAGGTGAGCACATGTCAGCGTGCACCAAGCTCTTCCAATCACAGCCGAGCCAGCAGTCTGGCTGAGGAGACTTCAAATGGCTATGTGCCAATGGCGCCTGTGGATGACGGCTATGTGGATATGGAGCCAGGACAGAGGTACCATGGTGAAGGTGAGCAGGAAGAAAACATGAAGATTACCATCTTACAGGATATAGTTTGGTAGATAGGTGCCCATGTTTTGGAGGAGCCTGCTGCATCCATCTTCAGGGTAGAAAAATAAGCCACAGTGGAAAATGATGTCCAGATAAAGGGAAGTGGAGATGGGAACAGTGGTTGCAGGTGAACCAGTGAGAAATGGCAGTCTGTATATCTGACTACATCTCCTATGTGATTGACTCTTCAGACTTTCTGATCAAACAGTTGTAATCATCTCTCATATCCCATGCTGCAGTCATCTCATCCTCCTTTCTTTAATCACTTGAAGAAAGATGAAATGCTGTGTGCATAAGGTCATTCGGCTTTATGCTTCAAAACAGGCTGTTTCCGAACACATTGTTATATGGTAGTAAAGCTTGGACTATTTTTTAACATTTTGCTAATAAATTCATTTCATGTGTGTCACTACTGACACTGCTCATGAGTCAGGTGTCCTGAGAAGGAAAATAAATCTGAACCTGGACCACATGATATGAGATCTAGCAACGAGTAATTTTCTTTACATGACTCATATACTTGTATCATATCTGTTTGTTTTATTTCTGTGTAATGCAGGATGTTGTACTGAGTACATTGCATTTGTTGGCAGACTGTGCCCATGGAGAAATGTCTCCTGCTAGTAGCTGTTCAGTCACTTCCGGCACTCCATCTACAGATATGCGCTTCTCTGAGTACCACCTGGAGAAGGTGAGCTCATATTTCACTCCATCAGAAGAGGATGAAACATCGTCACTGGATCGTCCAACACGGGCCTACTCTGTTGGCTCTCGTCCAGATGCAATGAAGCGTACAAACAGGTAACTCATGCATATCTTTTGTTTCCTGCTCCAGTATTACATATGCTTCAAGAAGCTGAGAATCACGTGACCATTGTGCTTGGTTACAGGCTAGAAATTGTGAATCAGGCAGACGCTTCAAGAGTGCGAGCATTCTCTGTCGGCAGCCGGACAGTGAATAAGCTGAGTTCACGGGCACTGGCATATGATTTGTACATGACACGCCAACATCCCATGCTCACACCACCACATCACACAGGTGGGCATCATCTGACCCAAACCCCCACAGCTGGGGGTAAGAAGTCTCTGTCTGCTCCCCTGCTCTGCAACTCATGGTCAGGAGGTGGTACCTTGCGCCACCATGTGCATGGCAGTAGCCACTCATCTATGGAGCCAATGGATGATCTCATGGAGATGGACTTTACACGCAACACACGAGGCAAGCCCAAGGCCAATCGTGGCAGCAAGTTAGAAGACAAGCCATCTGTTGTCAATGGCTATGTTGATATGTCCCCGCGTTCCACAGCCTCCAGGCAGGCTGATGTAAAGTCAGGGAATGTGGTAGCTGCATCCCCTCCAAAATCAGTTATCCCCACAATCTCTCCAAAAATTGTTGATTATCATGCTCAGAGTCAACCAATCCCCACTCCAGCAAAAGTCACAGGTGCATCCTCATTGTCTCCCAAGACTGCTGGGCCATATATGGAGATGAGGCCTGGACCATCACCACCCACAAAGCCTTCCATGATGCAGCGCAAGACATCCACTGTAGACCCACCATTCTCAGATATCAAGAACTTAAACACACAGCCTACAAGCGATGCTTTCTATACCAGTTCTCAGAACTTCAGCAGTGTCTCTCCTTATGTGGAGATGAAGAGTGACCTGCACCACAACAATTTCCCGGTGACCTCAGGGTGTCAGAGTCGAAAGCCAACATCGCCCATACAGGAGGAGTACATGGATATGGGCAAGCCTGGCAGTGCCAGCAGTGATGAGGGCTATGGGGGAGTGTCTAGTGTTGCACGCACTGCACCAGTGGACACTCCACACCCAAAGAAGCCTCCAGAAGGTAATATGGAAATTGCATGGACAGGTTTGTCCAGGCCTATGCAGCGTTTGTCACTGGAGACCTACAGATCAAACAGTGAAGATTACATGAACCTCTCATTTGAGGGACATGAGAACAGCAAGAGGAAAGAGAAACGAAAGGGTCGGTACAGTTCCCAGCCAATCGTCATCCAGGCACGTGAAGCAGAGGCTGCAATAGCAGCAGGCAAGCCACATTCTTCATCCACCAGTCCTGTGTTCTCACTGTCCAGTTTAATAGGACGCAAACACTCTACTGGTACGCCTCCAAAAGTTCCACCTCCTGCCTTCCTTCCCCTAGGCCACACATCTGGCAACTCACCAGGCTCAAGTCCCAGTTCCTCTCTACGGCGCAGTCATATCCACAAGACCAGTAGGCAAGATAGCATAGAGAACACTGGTCTGATCACACCGACAGGCTCCACAGTCACGATATTCCCATTCAGTCTTAACAGTCCAGGATCACCAATGAAACCGTTCCCAGGACAGCAGCAGAATAAATCACAGGCTCCTCCCTTGGCAACAGCCCCTGGTACAGATATTCACTATGAGTCGTCACGGAAGTGTCTGGTAGATGCCACCAGCGGTACATTGCGGCTATCCTATCCACAAGCTCCATATTCTCCAGAGTCAACCCCCACAACTCCTGACTCCAGCAGCTCGTCTTCTGAACAACCTACACCTGTGAATGCAGAGTCACAGAATGACCTGAACAAGGTTGGGTCACCCAGAAGTCACAACTATGTGAACTATAGCCCTTTCCATCAAACAAGAGAAGAGCCAGTGTTTGGGGACTATGCCTTGATGCGGCCTGTGGCAGTAACGGCGTCATGCAAGACTTCTGCCCCTGGCAAAATAATGAACTTGAAGACTGACAGCATGGACCTCACTACCATTCCAGATTACAAATCTGTTTCTCGGAAGGTACCAAGCACTGCCATGTTCTGCCTCAGTGAGACAGTCAGCACACCAAAGTTGGTCACTAGTTCCACCATTGCACCAAACAAGGAAGCGGTTCAGTTTGGTAGACAGAATGTCACTGGGTCTGGCAACAAAGTTGGCAAGGCAGGAACGGTAGCCCGGCAGCTGTCTGGTCCCAGCATGAGGTCCACAGAAGCCAGCAGCAACAGCAAAATCTCTAGGCAGCCATCTGGCTCCAGCCTGGGATCTGCTGAGGGGGCCATCTCCAGACAACTTTCCAGTTCGAGTGTGGAATCCGTGGTGACAGGCCAAGCAGCAGCAGTTTCTGGTGGGTCACCTACTTCTTCCCGTCCCCCATCTGTGAGCAGCGAACGGGAACTCCACTACGCTTCACTGGACCTTGCTCCCAGTGGCTCAGAAGGGGAAGATGGGTCACGCAGTCCCCACAGCATCAGGACACAAGGATCTCTCACAGAGTCCTCCACCTCCTCTCCTAGCCCCAACCCTGTTAACCAGGGAACAGGGGAACCAGCCTTCACCTATGCTGAAATAGATTTTGCTAAGAGTGAAGGGCTACGCAATGTTTCATGTTCGCTGAACAAGAAATTGCGGCACTGAGGTGCTGATCGCATTCCAAGCGGTTTGGCAGCATCTCAAGCCAATCAGGCTGCACCATTCAGATGATGTGCAAGTTTTGTGTAGGTAACAGCAAAGCGTTTTGTTCATGGTTGCTGTTTCATTTATGTAAAGTCTGATTTTTTTATTTATAGCTTGGCCTCACAGGAAGCTGCTAGACTGATTTCATAGTTCCTGATGCCAGCCTTATGGTCAGTTCCATGCAGGGTGATTATAAAGTAACCCTACCGATTCCATTTCTCTGAAACGGTAGTGTACATCACCACTTTTATTTTATTTGTACAACCCATCTCAGGCAGGTGTCTCTGCTATATCTGTGAAATGAACATTTGTCTAAATTATCTGTTGATAATCCACCTGCTGGGCACAGTTTTCATAATAGCCTGTTTAATACAGGGAATGGGTATTACCATATTCCTATATACTGAGCTTGAGCAGAATTTTAGCTGTATCAGAGAGTCATAACTCTCAACTGTTTTGTGCAAAATGATTTTTTTCATTTTTCATTCAGAGTAAAAGTATTTCCATTCATAATGGTGTTTGTATTATTCATGTCGCACTTATGAAGGGTTAAATGCTGCAGTGCATATTTGAGCACATTTTTCTGACATGAAGTAAAACAGATGTTTGAGAGACATACTGCTTGGAACTGTTCGGTTCGTAGCCTCCCGGTAGCTACAGTCTAGTCGTCCAAACTTGCACATTGCTTCTGAAGAGTATCTCAAAGCAGACGTTCCTCATTTTATTTATTTGTTGCCCACTTATATCACAATTTGGCATTAAGTTACAGCTGGTCAGTGGGAGTCACTTGCACAAGATTAACAGTATTTTGATACGCAATGATATGAACAAATGAAGGCAAGTGACTGTTAGGCATTTGAATGTGCCTTTTCCTCACACCTAGTTGAAGGCACACACTGTTTCAATTCACCTCTCCCTGTGAACCTTTCCTCTGCTGTGAGATATGGTGAATAATGATACAATTTCTGTCTGTTATATTGGGGGGCACTCTTATGTCAGTTTTCTGTTACATGTGATAATTATTCTGCCAGTGAGTATCTTTGCATTTATCATGTTTCATGATTCACAGACGTGATGAAGTCATGTTGAACCTCCCCAATGTGTCCCATTTTTTTACAATATCGATAAAAGACATGAGATTGTAAAAATGTTTATTATTGTGATTTGTGTTACCACTTATTATATATACTGCCACATGCTGAAACTAATGGGTAAGTTGACATTTTGTTAGTAATATTATATTTGTTATTTTTTGTGTGTAATGTAGTCTGTGTATATTTTACAGATGTGAGATGCTACCCAATAAAGGTTGAGAGCTCCAGGGTGCATTTCTTTTGAACCTACATATCTGCCTGTTTACAAATTAGATCCTCATTTTGATTAAGATGAGTTTCAACAACCATTACAGGAAGAACGTTTTCCTGTATTTGTGGGGAATATTACTAAGGTGGTAAAAATTGTCATGTCCTGGCATTTCCACCCACACCCCTCCCCATCTCATGTATTTTCTGTTCCCTTTTTACATTTACAGTTCCAGCCACACTGAAAACATAATTTCTTTCTGTGGCATTTGAAGTTCTCATGCTGGTGGCTATGAAGAGTTCTTGGATGTGAAGTCATGTAGTCATACAGAAGTTTACCAATGTTTGGAGGAATGTAATGTTCCNGTGTTGTCGCTTGCAGATTTACCTATACTTTTTCTTCAACCCTGAAGATGGGGGCGATACGTTCCTCCGAAACGTCGGTTAACACCACATATACACGGCGCCAAATCCCAGAAGACTGCTTTCCTCAATTCTTTTTATGTTTGGAAACATGGATGTGTGTTGTCAGTATGAGAGCAAGGCAAAGGCTGGGGCAGGTCATGAAATAACATACACTGGTAAGATGAATCAGTTAATAATGTTATAGTTTAGCGTCCTGTTGCACTGATTCGTATCCATAATATGTATATATTTACCGTCTTTTAGTGCATACAATTTCACTTGTTACTTCACACTACATGTTTGGGCATCATTCTGCCATGCTCAGATGTATCAATCACGTTAAACCATTGCACTGCCTGCCATCAAGTGTCCATTTATAAAATGATATAAAGTGTGTGTTTGTCGTTGTTCAATAATAAAATTTATGTATTAGAACTTGTTAAGATCTATCATCTTACATGTCGTATATCAAACTCGCGTGTAACGCCATTCGTCCGCTATGGGAGTCTTGTGTCACACACACACACACACACACATATGTCTAGCAATACAATGCACGCAGCTATATAAGAAAGACACATCATAAGACACAGTATATGCACAATTAAAACATAAGAAGAACGACTTCCATAGTGGACGAATGGCATTACACACGAGCTTGATATAGGACATGTAAGATGATAAATCTTAACAAGTTTTAATATATATATTTAACTATTGAACAATGACAAACACACATTTTATATCATTTTATAAATGGACACTTGATGGCAGGCAGTGCCAGTGGTTTAACGTGATTGATACACCTGAGGATGGCAGAATGATGCCGAAACATGTAGTGTGAAGTGACAAGTGAAATTGTATGCACTAAAAGATGGTAAATATATACACATTATGAATATGAATCAGTTAACTTCACAAGAGAAATTCATTATCATTTATTAATGGGAGCTTGACCATGAAGCAAAATTGTGAATGGCAAATTTTCTACTATGAGGGGAGACCTCTTTCAGTAGAGGATGAATCTTCGATTTCGAACCGCAATGATATGTCATGCTCTGGTATGTATGTTTGATATTGTCCTTGTCCGGTATACCCTCTATTTCGGAATTCTCATAACATCGTATCTGTATCAGGAATTGGGATTTCGGTGTTTCCAATGATAATATTAATGATTTTCCGCCCTTCTTTGTTGAGATAAACGATTGCATGAGCGATGTCTTTGAATCCCCAATCGTCGGGCAGAATGTCGAACACTGCTGATTTGTTGAAGAAATTGACAGCTGCATTGACCCCGATGGAAGGTGCAATCGTGGCACAGGTGGATGTGCCCGGCTGCTGCAGATCCGCATACATCCCAGTCATTGACGATGTCGCACATTGCTTCGCCTTCTTGTTGGTCGGCGATAATTCTGATTCCGGATCGGCGTCCGTGAACGTGTTGTACGAGTTTTCTAATTATTTGATCCCTCTCTGAATTACTTAGGTATGGTATAATGCTTCACATAATCCACGGTCCGATAATATTTCTTCTAGTATTTTCCAGTACTTGGAAGGTTTCAATTTTGTTATAGGCATAACACATTTTGGACTGCTTCACCTAGGTGCTATGATGTTAACTTTTTGGTGTCATTTAATTGTTTAGAAAAAAAGTAGACTTTCCTACAAGCTTCGGATTTATTATTACATTAATATTCATCTTTATTGGTTGGATCTCTTTTTCAAAAGGGTACTTATGGGGTTTCCTTTTTCACAATTTTACACAATTCTTTTACTCTACTATCTGACTCCAGATTTTGTTACTTGTAATGCACATGTTTGGTCTTCTGAATGATTTCGTTAAAAACCTTGCAGCATTTCCTGCAGTGAATTTTCACTGTTTGCTTCACGCTGGATAGGCTATTTAGGTACAGCTCACATTTATGTTCACACGATGATTTCTTACGCTTACTAATCCATTTATTATTTTTAAGCATCAACGACCATGTATTCATATATCGTGGTTTATTCATTGATCCTGTCTAACCCACAATACTTTCTCATACTTGACACACTAATCAGCGTATCCAAGACTTATATCCCTCACAAATTAGGTACTTGTGTGGGATTTGAGTTATGCCCGTGAGTATCAAGATGATCAAGATCGATCAAAATTGCGGTGGTCTGGACTGAGACGCCAAGTAATTCTGTAGACTGATACAAATGTTAGGTAGAACCTACTGACTCCATCTTGAACATCTTGAAATCTTGAATGCTTAAAGCAATTAATATTTCTTTGTGGGCAAAGTTGGAAATTAGTATATTACAACACTAGCGTTTTACTCCGACATCGCTCTTGTGCTCGTAGGGTGGGGAAGGAGGTGTACTGCTGGCGATAAAATGGCGGAGGAGGGGTTAAGGCTGAGGTTCGTTTCAGTACGTTAACTGTTAAATCGTGTTAATCGCTGCCTATCGCTGTTGATATAATGCTAGGATACATGAATTAATTTTATCAGTTAATAGCTGTTGTGGAGATACTGCAGTTGATTGTCTCAGAACAGTGAATAAATGATGGCATCCGAAGGACGTAACAGTTGGCGATCGAGAATCTGCTGATGAGAATCACAGTTTTGTAATTTTGATAATTACTATGGATTTCGAAGGAAAATATAACATCAAAAGCCCAGGTATGCAAGTTTAGTTTGATATTGTACAGTGTAATCACTTACTGTGGAATGAAAGTGTAGCTTTATCAATCCGTCTTGAAGTGATACATTTCACAAATTCTAGGCAGTAATAACTAGTTACTTAAGTCATACCCGAACTTCGTATCATATACATTTTAAATTAGATTTTGTTGACAGATAATTAGTACTTCTCAGAACGTTTATCAGTTTATTCATTAATATAATTAATATAATTATTAATTAATGAAATGTATAAACGGAATCAAAGCATTGCATCTGTAAAAGAATGATACTCAAATACTGTTAGTTTTTCACTTAATATTTGTTTAAGCCGTAAAGAGGTTGATGCGGGAAGCATGTGAGCTGAAGGAGCCCACGGAAGAGTACTGGGCCCATCCTCTGGACGACAATTTGTTTGAATGGCACTTCACAGTACAAGGACCTCCAGCCACTGACTTTGAAGGAGGTGTATACCATGGGCGAATTCTACTTCCAGCAGAATATCCTATGAAACCACCAAATATAATATTAATAACGGTACTGTCATGTAGTGTAAACATATATAATTCTTACGTTCATGTTGGTACATCATTCAAGTATATTTGTTAGTATGATGGTATTTATGTGTGTGTATACACACACACACACAGATAGTACAATATTGGTAATCTGACATATATGGGACCAAGGTATTGCTGGATTACTGGAAAAAGTTGGAACAAAAATATTAAGTTGGTGCATAACATAGACATTTCAGAATTGATTATCATTTAACAGAATTTATTATTATTTATTTATTGTACATACATATGGTGAATTTTTGTTCAATAATTCAATATTTAGGACTTAATTTCACTGCATTTTTATATAAAAATAGCATCTTTGGTTTCTAAATGCCTCTTTTAGAACTTTTTCTGGCAGTCTTTTCAATGTGAGGATGTCTGCAGCTTGCATGTTGTTTTCTTCAGCACATTTATAACACATGTTGAAGGCACTCATGGCATCATCATGTCATATTGTGTGGATAATTGGTGGAGTACTTGACTCTTGCACACTTTCGCTGTTGTCGTCATCTAGCACTTTGTTGATTATCTCTTCATCTGTCATGATTGAAGATTTTCCTCCTCACCTTCTGCTAGTCAGTTACTTATGTCAGCAATTTCTGGAGCTGATGAGCCTTTTTTTTTTTACACAGTTTGGCTACTGCTTCTTGCAGATCAGAAGTTAGGACTGTAATATCATATTCCAATTCTTCTTGCCCTGCGAGTTCACTGCTACCAGAGGATAATGGATGTGAAGGCCACAACTTTTTCCAAGAAGAAATTATGGTTTTAGGAGGTCCATTTTGCCATGCATATGAGAGATTAAAAACATTTTTGAGGTGTGTTCATTTCAGGCATTGAATGATATCATTTTGGCTTATTACACTGCATAGAAGGTTCTTTTTGTAATATGACTTTACAAATTGTATAACATTCTGATCCGTTGGTTGTAGAAGTGGGGTGCAGTTTGTTGGTAAGAACATTACCTGTCATAAATCATCTCTTGATTTTACCTGTTCTTCACTTGGATGTCCAGGAGCATTACTTATGCATGGAGCTGAGCCCTTGTTGAGGAGAAGCCAAATATGCAGCTACCCAAGAATTTCACAGCATTTTATGAAACCCGAAGGTTCATTACTGTCTTCACAAGAGTCCTCCACTGGTCCCTGTCCTGAGTCCGATCAATCCAATCCATATCATCGTATCCTATCTCTCTTAAGATCCATTTTAATATTGTCCATCCACCTACGCCTAGGTCTTACCAGTGGTCTCTTTCCTTCTGGCTTTCCCACCAATATCCTATATGCATTCCCTTTCTCCCCAATTCGTGCTACATGCCCTGCCCACCTGATCCTCCATGACTTAATCATTCTAATTATACTTGTAGAAGAGTACAAGTTATGAAGCTCCTCATTATGAAGTTTTCTCCAACCTCCTGTCACTGCATCCCTCTTCATTCCAAATATTCTCCTCAACACCCTGTTCTCAGACACCTTCAGTCTATGTTCCTCCCTTAATGTCAGAGACCAAGTTTCACACCCATACAGAACCACAGGCAAAATTATAATTTTGTATATTCTTTTATGTTTTTGGACAGCAGACAAGAAGACAAGAGGTTCTTGACTGAGTGGTAGCAAGCAATACCCGAGTTCAGTCTCCTCTTAATTTCCTCCTGAATCAGGTTTTTATTTGTTATTGTCATTCCCAAATATCTGAACTATGCCACATTTTCATCTTTTTCTTATCATTATGTCATGATTTTGCCCAGCATTTTGGTGACAAGAGAGTGTTTACTTCTAGACCAATCTCCTTACTTGTGTCAATTACGTTTGTGTGTTTTTCTTTATTGTATTTATATTATCTCCCAGTAGATTCACATCATTGGCATAGACCAACAGCTGATGTGTCCCATTTAATTTCAATCCCACCTGTTTTTCCTGGACCTTCCTAATGGCATATTCTAAAGCAAAGTTGAAACGGAATGCCGATAAAGCATCTCCTTGTCTTAGACCATTGTGGATAGGAAATTTATCAGACAACTGTTTACCTATATGGACTTTACTATACGTTTTGTTTAAACACATTTTAATCAGCTTAACTAGTTTCATGGGTATCCCAAACTCTTATTAGAGTATTGTACAATACTTCCCTCCTAACTGAATCATAGGCTTCCTTGTAGCCTACAGATAGCTGGTGTACTGTCTCATTGTACTCCCATTTTTTTTTTTTCCCAATATCTGACAAATGCAAAAGATCTGATCTGTAATGTCAAAACCCACACTAATGATCCCCAATAATTTCATCTATGTATGGACTTATCAAGTGGTTAGTTGCTGGCTTCCCACCGTGGAGGCCTGGGTTCGATCCTGGGTCTGGTCAAGTTGGATTTGTGGTGGACAAAGTGGTGCTGGGGCAGGTTTTCTCCGAGTACTTCGGTTTCCCCTGCAAATCTTCATTCCACCAATTGCTCCACAATCACCCTCACCTATCATCTGGGGCTGGCACAATAGGCCAGATGTGTCCGCAGTACAAGGGACTTAGTCCCACCCCACTAGCAATAAAAAGAATGATCTTGAGAGAAGAATATTAGATACAATTTTGTATGAAGTTGATAGCAGTGATATCCCCTTGATAATTACTACAGTCAGTTTTATCACCCTTCTTGTGAACTAGTACAATAATACACTCCTTCCACTGATCAGGCAATTTTTCCTTATGCCAAACAGAAGTAATTAGCTTATGGATCTTAGAATGTAATATTTTGCCTCCTGCTTGAATAAGTTCCGGTGGAATTTGATCGCTACCTGGCGATTTATACCTTGTTAATTTTGCTATATGCATTTCTATATGCCTAACATCACTGGCCCTATGTACATTCAATAACAGAGAGGTAGTTCTTCCACATATTCAAAATGTGGGAATCTGCAAGCACATCACCATTCTCATATAGGAATTATGTCAACCATCAACACAACAAATATACTCAGTTTTAATATTCGATCTTTATTGCTGCTACACGTTTCGGTCATACAAGACCATCATCAGGCATTTATATGCAGGAATATGTTCCGTCATTGAACTACCAATATGTATCCATATCAGTGCAACATGTCATATGTATACTAACATAAAACTTTTGCCTCAAGTTGGTGTAATAAATAAAGTAGCAAATGCATAAATAGGATAAATGATAAATATAAAGGTATACCGTATATCACCTAATCCTTCCGGCCACACTACGGCCATGAGGTTGATTCAGCCTCTAACAGAAATAAGTACCAGGAATTAATTAAATAATTTTCCTGGGGACTAAAGTGCAGCTGGCGCGAAAGGCTGACAACCTTACCACCATCTTTGAGCAGATCGTCTAGATCAGTGGTTCCCAACCTGGGGGTCCGCGAGTAATTCAAAAGGGGTCCGCGGGATAGTTTATTTTGATTAAACTTTATCTTATCATGTTCCTCCCACCTGGGATATTTGCAATGTATATGTCTGGCTCCTGAGGCCCATGGTTGAAGTAAAATTTAATGGGCTGTTGGTACTGTAACGGTACCTTCCCTTTGTAAAGCAGAGATGAATAACCAACGATCTGTGTAGCTTTTTCCAAGGACATTTTCTTTTGGCCGGCCCATTGCATCTCAGACCCGTGTTTCAGGGTGGACTGTTGTCCTTCTTACCTGCTGTCTGACCAGTCTCCCCCTCCTCCCCACAAAATCCATCCCCCTTTGGTTGGGAATGAAGCTGGGACCATTGACCACGTTTCTTATTCATCTCAGTGGCAGAGTGAACAACCTGTGTGTCTTTAGTTTTTGTGCAGTGAATTTTTATAATATTATACGAGTGTGTTTTTCTCGGTTTAATATTCAGTTTTTCTGCTCTTGTNTTGGGGTTTTATGGGGGCCGTGGTCAATTAACATTCGCTCCAGGGGGTCCGCGTCATCAAAAAGGTTGGGAAACACTGGTCTAGATAATGTGGGGCCCTCAACGTCTCACAACTCTATGAGCCTTCAAGGCCTATTACAGGGATAGGTTTAATTCACTTTCTTTATACCATGTATCAAGATTTATGATGTGATCTCTCATCACAATGTCAAGGTCATATCAGCCATTTTGTTCGACTCCCGTGGGGTTGTGCATCGTGAGTATGCACCACAAGGCCAAACCATCACAAAGGAATACTACCAGGAAGTCCTTCGTCGCCTTCGTGATGCTGTGCGGCGCAAATGACCGAATCCGTGGGCAACAAAAACTTGGCACCTCCATCATGATAAAGCACCCGCCCATTCTGCGTATCTGATTCAGACTTTCGTCGCCAAACACAACATCCCTGTGGTTCGTCAGGCTCCCTACTCCCCCAACATGGCTCCATGTGACTTTTGGCTATTTCCCAAGCTGAAAATGCCGCTGAAAGGAACTGGATTTGAGTCAAGAGAAGACATCATGCGGAATGTGATGGCCCGGCTGATCACCATTCCAAAAGATGCGTTCCAGAAGTGTTTCCAACAATGGCGGAAGCGCTGGGAGAAGTATGTGCATTACCAAGGAGACCACTTTGAAGGGGATTAGGGTTTTGTACCTCCAAATCAATAAATGTATTTCTGCTGACGAAAGGTTCGATACTTTTTGAACAGACCACGTATGTTCACATCACTCCCCTTGCGCCCCTTTTCATGATCATTTTGTAAAAATATTTTGCCTTCTCTCGAATAATATCCCCAGAAATAGGAGTGTGTCTGTTATGTTCTTGTAAAAACCAAGTGTAAAGAGCATCTTCAACTTCAGGGTACCACCAGATTTTAGAGTCTGCCTGTCACTGGAGCCGCTGTCAGTATTTTTCACAAAACACTCAATGATCTCTATTTTTCCTGATATATTGTAACATGTCGAACACCATACTCTTTAGCCAAATTAATAAGTTTTTCACCATTGTTGATTATTTCCCCTTTACGTTTCTCAGAACTGGACATCTTCAGCACACATTAAATCCACTGCTACAGGCTGTATAGTACTGAAGAACTGAAACACTGTGTACTAGTGAGGGTCTAAATAAATCAGTTTGTCAAGCTCAACTGAACACACATCAGCCTCTGCTGCCTGTAGAAACTTGCACAAGGTCACAAACACCTGTCTGATGCCTGATGCCATATTGCTGGACATGTCGGACTAGTGCACGGCTGAATTACCGAGTTTGTACTGTATAAGGAATTAGAATTAGGTCTTCTGAGTTGTGATGTGTAGTCTCATAGATGATTACTGATTTTATGGAGGAACTTGCTGTCTCCATGCCCAGGGTAGAATGTAAATAAGATACGCTTTGTGTTTTGTAAACTTTATCCTCTCATATTTACTTGTGTGATCTGTACACTTTTTACTTCCACTCTTTAGCCCACAGGAAGAGGGGAATAGGACAGTATCTGCCTTACACACACATCTCACAGTTAACTACATCTGCAGGACTTATAATTTTCGTGAAAATACCAGAGCGGGTTTTGGTGTTCACTGGATACTCTCTGATTGATGTTCTGAAATAAACTTTTAGTTTCATTATGTTAGAGTAATATTTTCAATGTATTAAACATTTCAAGTCAAGGTATGTTGACTGTCCCTCACATAGCTCCATGCTACTTTTGTAGGAGACTGTTATCCATAACTGACTGAGTCTTTGTGGTGGATTTATTCTGTTTGTCATGGCCCATAATGTCGACCAAAATGTTCTGATGTTAGGTTTTCATTGTGATACTAAGAGTACTCTTTGACATCTGGAAATTTTGACTTCTTATTCTTCTGGCAATTCACTGTGTACCCACCAGAAATTTTTGATTGGTTGATGAGTTCGTGGGTGTATCTGTGCATTATAGAACCTTACTGACTGCATAAAAGTAAACCTGCCTGTGATAGGGGTGTTATTTGCACACTGGAAGCAAATGGTTTTATTGCCATAGGCCCATCAGCATATTCTTATTTGTGTGTGTGTGTGTGGAGGTTGGCCTGTAAGAGGTGTATCTTGCCTCCTGAACTATTCTGTTTCAAGCTCTATGAAGATATACAGGTTGTTGTGTTTCAGCCCAATGGAAGGTTTGAAACCAATAAGAAGATCTGCCTCAGTATCTCGGGTCATCATCCAGAAACATGGCAGCCTTCCTGGTCCATTCGGACGGCCCTTCTGGCACTCATTGCTTTCATGCCAACTCCTGGCAATGGGACCATCGGCTCTTTGGACTACACCCCAGAGGAACGACAGATGCTCGCACGCAAGTATGTTGGCATAATTATTTTTGGATTGAATAATGCCACAGTCAGTATGGAGGTACTCAGGAGAATAACTTGAAATATAAAGGAGTTCCATATTTGGTTTGTAACAGGTCACAGATGTTGGAGTGTCCCAGTTGTGGTAAAGTTGTGGAGCAGCTTTCATCATCCGTGTCAAAGCCCCCCACACAGGAGGAATCCTCACTCATAAGGCAGATAGCACTCAAGGTGAGACATTTGTAAGCAAGCTCTTTAAGAATTTTGTATTTATAGAAACTGAACCTTGGGAAATTCAGTGTTGTGTACTGGCAGATACACTGCATTCAGTCAAGGAGGAAACTTCCCAACACAGCTGACTGGGCCCAACATTCCAAACAGATTGCTGCTGTAACTCCTGATAGCAGAATGAGTCATTAGCGCTGATAAACGTGCACCGTTAGGTGGTGTTATCCTGTCACTGCAGTTAAGTCACATTAATAGTCAGTCTGTGTTAGAGATTTCGATAGGCGGTTGACATACTGAAATGAAGTTCACTATTGAACAGTGTGTTTATTGCCGAAACTTTTGCAAGGAAACTTACAGAAAATGTATCCATAAGTTTCTTCATAAATATCCTGATTCGCAAGTTCCCACAAAGTCGTGTGTATCCAAACTTGTGAAAAAGTGGCGGGCCACAGGTTCAGTGTGGACATAAAGAAGCAATCGAAGAGGATTGTGCCGACTGAAGAAAAAGTTTGGGATATTGAGGCACGACTACAGATCAGTCTTCAAAAATTGTTGAGATGCTTAGCACAGGAAACCAGTGTTTCGCTAGGATCTGCTTTCACAGCCACAAAATTAATCAAATTTTGCCCATATAAAATAGCAATTGTGCATGAGCTGAAACAACCAGACTATGCAGTGAGAATTCGTTTTAGCAACCGGCTGCTGCAAAATGTGCACAATGGAATTGTGGATCCACAGCTTCTGTTCATGACTGATGAGGCATGGTGTCATGTTAGTGGTCATGTCACTGCACAAAATGTAAGAATATGGAGCGATGAAGATCCTCACGCTCTACAGCAAGTGCCATTACATAGTGAAAAGATGGGGGTGTGGTGTGCTGTAAGTCCATGGAGAATCATTGGCCCCTTATTTTTCCATGAAACTGTGAACTCTGACCGCTACATTAATGATATACTGAATCCGTTCTTCAAACAGCTGACTGCTGAAGACAATATGAGTATTTTCAGCAAGACAGTGCTAGAGCACATATACGGCTAATGCAACCATGGTCACAAGATGGGAAGTGTTTGAAGACAGAATAATCAGCAGAGGACTGTGGCCTCCCAGATCCGCGGATCTTAGTTTTTGCGATTTTTATCTCTGGGGAAGCCTAAAGGGAAAAGTCTACAAGAATAATCCTTGGACCACTGGAGCTCTGCAGCATGAAATAGCACGCATACTTGGTTCAATTAACGTGGACCAACTTCAGAAAGTGTCGCATAATTTATTTATGCCATGTGAGACATGTTTGCAGGCAGCACCTGTTATAAAGCAAGGTAAGTTTGTGTTATCTTTTTGAAGTATTCTTATAAATGTGTGCATGTACAGAAACTGATGTGAGGGAATAGTCACGGAGAAACATTCCATCCACTCTACACTAGCAGGAGTGTGCACGTTTATCAGAGCTAATGACTCATTCTGCTATCAGCAGTTAAGCAGCAATTTGTGAGAAATGTTGGGCCCGGTCAGCGGTGTTGTGAAGATCCTCCTTGATTGAACTCCCTGTATTTCAAATATTCTTCAACAGTCACTCCATGCTTTTGCAAACTTGGAGTAAATTTCTGTAGAAGGCATAGGGGACAGGCAAATAATATAAAAATTGATAATAAGGAGCTAGGTTGTACTCATATGTATTAAGATCAAAATCTTTCAGGATACAATGCTGCATAGTACCAACATTTTAGAAGGACCTGTTCTCTCCATTTGCCTTTGCTTGGCACTCTCCTACTCTGAATATGGAGGGAGCAGGTTCTGTTGAAACATGGTACCTGTCTACACGACATGTGGCATCACATTTCAGAAGACCATACTGTTAATATTTACCGCTAATCTGATATGTTCATGTTGGTTTGAACTGATTTGAGATTGTGTCCATCCTGAAGCTTGTGTTTTAATGATGCAGAGCAGTTGGTTACTATTGTTATGCTTGGCTGTAGGCAGAGGAGCAGCCTGTTGAGGAGGAGGGAGAGAACGAGGAAGAACAGCAACCTAGTGAGGATAAACCAGTGAGGCAGCGACTGGGTGTGTCTCAGCACCTGCAGCCGCAGTCACAGTTACAGCATGCCACTGTTGGTGTAGTGAGCAGTACAAGTGACAGTTACAAGAACTGGCTGATGTGGTTCCTTGTGGCTGTCATCATATTCCTGATCTATAGAAGGTTGTTTCTCGTGTAATAACATCCACCCAAATTTTCACTTTTTCAGAAAAATCATTTGACATTATACACACACACACGCTATACTTTGAAAATAAGATGCCCTTGAATTTAAGACGCATCCAGTTTTTGAATGTGGGTTTTAGGGGAGATATTAGAAAGGTGTGCATTCCTCAAATTTAAGATGCACCTCAATTTTTCAACAGGAAAAAATGTTTAAAATGTGCATCTTGTGTTCAAAGTAATATAGTATACACTGTATCTTAGTCAATTATTATATATAAAATTCATATATACAGTGATAAAAAGAGGTTACTGTGGACAATAGAAAATAAAATTTGTATGGGTGGATTTGCATGAATTTTGGAATGAAAGACGAAGTTTACTTCTACAGGATGCCATGCCTTGTATTTGTGAAGTAACACCTACCTATATATAGATGTATATATGTATTCATTGTAGTGCTTATTGAAATGTTCTGTAAAAAAGTGAGATCACTGCCTTGGTGAGCTGTCTTTCATTTCATGGTACTGGATAGACCCCTTTATTTTAAAGCACAAAGGGACACAAGTTGCATTACCATTGGACTCAGAAACTGGTAATAATAATATAATGATAATAATATCCTCTGCTTGTATCAAGTTAAGATCTTGTAATGGGATTGTATTCTATGCAGTGCAAGAAAAGATTGCCTTGTATCCATTTGCCCTTGCATGTGTGAACTGCAGAACCAGTCAGTGAATTTGGCTGGGATTTGATGTGGTGAATTTAATTTTGATTCATTACCATTCTCCTACTCTGTACAGGGTACATAATTTTATTATTTTATTTTATTCCATTAATTGTACATCAAATAATAAAAAAGGAGTTTAAAATAAAACTGTTATTAGTGAAACACTGTTATTTGGTGTACATATTTTTGTACAGTGGGCCTTGTGCAGAAACTTTGAGCAGAAAGATTGCTATGATCATGCATGGTTCAGTTCTGAATCACTATTACCTTTATTTTATTTACATATATGAACCTTCAAGTTTCATGAAAAATGAGTTTCTTCAGTAGCTAAGCAAAATTAGCTTCTCCGGAAGGAGCATTCTCCATGGTGCCATTTATGCAGCTTTATATCACCCAGCTAACCATATTTTGATCTTTCATGAACCAAAACACACCAGTACTTGCATGCAGGTACACTGAGTGCATTAACTGAAAATAAATGGATGAAGAAATACAGGCACTTCGACCATAGTCCACTTACATTCTGCTACAACAATAGTGTATGTTGCCCGAAGGGTGAGGATTCTGCATCATTACAGTTTGTACCGGGATCCAGGCTGTTCAGGTTCTTTGTCTGCCCTATCTTGTTACGTCAAGCTCAACTGAAACACAGCTGTTGTGTCATAACAAGTAAGCCCACAACACCACAGTAGCTGGTTCAACACTTGGCACTGCGAAGCCCAGTTTTATAGGGACTTGTGATCCTGTTCACATTTTGTTGAAGAAACTACAAGAACTTTTGGGGGTCAAAACAAAACGCAGAACAGTTATTCATATTATTGACTTCTTGAACATTATCCACCACCCCATTTCAGAATGATGAGTGCTACTGTCTTTAGGGATGTAGTGCTGTGTAGTCTGGTAGTTCAGCAGTGTTCTACTTAAAGGTCTGTGAATTTCTACCAGACTACACAGTGTCACATCCCAGACACATGTAATGCCCACAACTGCCTAACTTTCTGACACTCAGGTATGGCCTTCGCAACAAATACATATATTTAGTGGCAGTAGTGGTATCCAATGACTGGATATTTTCCTAAATGAAGTCCTGTAGCAGCCCAACAGGACATCTGGGATTAATGACAAATTCTTTGTTTTTTGCCATATAATCATCTTTCTTTCCTTCATTCAATTCCTGAAGCTGCTTCTGGAGCTCGGGCATCCATAAAACTCCTCCATCTGGTCCTGTTGGCTAGCAGTCTTTTTACTTTGTTCCACGTTTTGCCAGCTTTTCTGGCCTCTTTGAAGTTTTCCTGGGACGACTATATCTACGAGCACCCTGGGGGTTGCAGTCCAGTGCAGTCTTTTCTACGTCTCCAGTAGGTTTCCTCAAAGTATGATCGATCCAATTGCATTTTCTTTTCTTTATCTGAACATCATTGGCTGTCGGTTTGTGACTGTCCAGAGGTCTTCAGTTGAGATAGTTTCCAGCCCTCTTATGTTTATGATTCAGCATAAACATCTATTAATAAAACTCTGCAGCATGTCAGTGATCTGCTTTGTGACCCTCCATGTCTCACAAGCATAAAAGAATATTGACTTCGCGTTCATATTGAAGATGCGGACTTTTAGTCTTCTTGGAAATATATTTATTTCTCCAGATTGGATATAATTGGATAATGGCCTTATTTGCCTTTTTTATTTGATTTTTAACATCTTCAACTGCTCTCCCTCTCTTGGTTACAGTGCTTCCCAAATAAGAGAAGGTATCTACTTGCTCAATTTCTTGTTAATAACCTGTTAGTCTCCTTTGTATTTTATTGTTTACCCTCATTTCTTTAGTCTTATTTACACTATTATCTAGCCCAGCTCTCTTTGTTTCTTGCAGATTTGTTAGTTTTTCTTCCATATCATTGAACCTCTGGGCCATCAAACAGATATCATCTGCGAAGTCTAGATATTCGAGTCTGTCCATCATGCCCCACTGGATCCCTCTCTTCGTCATACTAGTTGTTTTCCTCGTCACATCCGGTACGAGCAGAAATATTGTAGGGGATAGAATGCATCCATGTCTTACTGCTGTAGTTACTTTTATGTATTCAGTAAGTTTGCCATCATGCAGGACTTGGCATTTAAAGCCTTCATATATGTTTCTGTATGTCAGCATCCTGTTGCAATCGTTCAAATTAGCATCCATTGTTTATCTTCCATCAAAATTGCAACACTTTTACATTCTACACTTCAGCACTACATGTTTCGGCCTCAAACGGCCATCTTCAGGTGTTTTTATGTTACAGATATTTTACTAAAACTGTGTTAAAAACTGCTACACTGTTTTAATTCATGTTAAAATCACACGCTGCAGTCTTCTTAAGTAAAACGAGATAAAATCCTTTGAAATCTCTGTTGCATATTATTTCACGTCACCTGGGTTGTCGTCATTTTCATAAATGTATCAAGGTGTATTTTCTCGGCAGCTTGCCCCTCATGTTTGTGGTAATTATTGTGGGATATCATTGCTATCAACTTCATACAAAATTTCATTCAATATCCTCTCAAGGTTAATTCCATATATAGATGAAATTTTTGGGGCTCATTAATGTGCGTTTCAAAGTAACAGATCAACTATTGATCAGACTTTTTGCATTCATCTGATACTGGAGAAAGAATGGGGGTATAATGAGTAGGGACTGGATTTTAATGCAAATGCATATTTCTTTCTTGCAACCAGAAAGTATGTTTGTTTGGATATATGTATGAATTACTTCATTTCTTAAATTTTGGACATGGTTTGATGGTGCATATAAATGTATATTTTGCCTGTTTTATGAATAAGCATCATATTTTCAAAGATCTCTATTTATACTGCATATTTCCTTTTAAAAATGTTTATCATATATATTTTTTAATTTTATGTTCAAATTTTCAATCATTGTCATGTGTATACAATTTTTCTTTTCCGTATTAGAATATGTTGCATATTTGACTCAACATTTTGTCATGATTCATGTTACTGATGCAATACCCAGGATGGGACTTCCCCGATCCCTCTACTCGTAACTTGCCTCATCTGCGTATCATCAAAGTGGCCGCGAAAAGATTAGTCAGAAGCGTCCACATGTAGCCGCCATCAACGTAATACTATTCACCCAATAAGGGACTTCACTTAATTGTTTCTGAAGTCTCCATGAGGTTCGTTACGCTTCTTAATTTGAAGCTGGGGTCCATCCACATTAGTGGTGACTAGTCTGTAGTTAAGTTTGTTTAGCTTTCTGTAATCATGCTGAAAGTGAAAGCAAGTCAGAAAACTAAATTACAGCTGTATCAGTGGAAGTTCGAAGGAGAGATGATAAGTACGGATAACAAAATTCCTTATTGCCAAGCGTGTGAGAAAACATTTGGTTGTGAAAAACGCTTTCAAGTGCTTCAACATTTGAACACTAATATACACAAAGAGAATATTAAAATTAAATCCACGAAAAGTGCTCCTGTTCAAAAATAGTGAATTTTCTGATAATGGTTTTTCACGGTTTTCCTTTGATTTATGGGAAGCCTTTTTAGTGGCAGACATCTGCTGTGGAAACTAACCAGTCCTACTCTGAGAAACTTCATAGAGGAGTATACACAGTGCAAAGTGCCGGCTGAATCTACTGTGCGCAAAAATTACGTGAAGCAGTGTTACAATCTTACAATTGAAAGCATTAGAGCTAAGATTCAAGATAATTTTGTGTGGGTATCAATTGACCAAACACAAGATTGTGAGAGATGTTTTTTTGCAAATTGTATAATTGGATCCCTTAATAAGAATGAACAATCTACCCCATATTTTCTTGTGGTAGAGCAATTTAAAACCACAAATAGCTCCGCAGTTTCCTAATTTTTTAGAAGTTCCATGAATTTACTATGGCCGAATGGCATTCAGTATGAGTGTGTATTGCTCTTTGTGACTGATGCCGCAAGTTATATGATGAAAGCCGGTACTGCTCTTAAAGTTATATTTCCAAATATGACACATTTGACTTGCCTTGCCCATGGGTTCTGTGTTGCAGAAACAATTCATGCAAATTTTCTGCTCGTTGACATGTTGGTGTCTTCTGTGAAGATGGTGTGGAATTTGTCGATACTCCAGTAAACAACCACTTCGAAAAGTTTGCGGGCCCTGAAAAGGGCCGTTTGTTGCACTGTGTGTGTGCTGTTAGAAACAGCTGCCTACGGCAGTTGCTGGAGTTGCGGAAGCTGCGTTAGTTGCCTGGTTGCAGGGTGTGGTTGCTGGAGACTTGCAGCAAGTATGTCGTTTGCCTGGTTGCAGAGTGTGGTCGCTGGAGACTTGTGGCAATTACGTCAGTTGCCTGGTCGCAGAGCGTGGTTGCTGGAGGCTTGCGGCAACTATGTCAGTTGCCTGGTCGCAGTGAAGAGCTGATGACTGTGATGACTGTTCGCTCTGAACTGAATGTGATCACTGGTGATTGCAAGCTTTGGGCTCCACCTTTTATACCATGCTTGATGGGCGGAGCGAAACTTGCAGTTGTGATTGTGAGCGCTGATTGGATAGCGCATGTTATGATCTAAATGTGGGCTGGACAGTGAGTGCTGTATAAATACAAGTGCAATGTATGGCAATGTGATAACAGAGGCCTTGTATATAATATACATGCTAGATATTAAGATTCAATTGTAAATAAGTGTACATAGTGACAATGGACTAATACTGTCGAGTGTGACAAATGACAGACCTGACCTCTCATCAGAGGGCACCCCACATGGACAGGACTGTAACTTTCAGTTAAAAAGTGGCTCGACACTAAGACAGACAGACTGACTGACCGTTGGTCACAACATGACTTTAACTTTTTGGCAATGTGATTTTGACTTAGGACTGAGTGTTGTCTGTTAGACTGGTGAAACAGCATCTAAGTATGTTGGATGTTCCCACAAAGGTATTTGTTAAAGCGCATTACAGAAAAGAAGCCTTTAAAGCAGTAGGACCGAGCATTCCACTTCCGCCAGAACCAATTTTAACGCGCTGGGTCAAGTGGCTGTGTGCAACGAGTTATACCGAACATTTAGAAACAGTTAGGAATGTCATGAATACATATGATCCCAAAAGTGCAGCATCAATTCAAATTGCCCAAGATGTACTAAAAAATGCAAAACTAGAAACTAATCTTTCCTATATATCTGGTCACTTCTCTCATCTTCCATCCGCCATTTCCTCACTAGAGGCAAGCAATAGCAATACTACTTTGTATCAGTTGTTAAGTTTGTTCAAAACCACTGTTTTCAAATTGGATTCGGTTCCTGGAAGAGTTGGTGACGTAGTAAAGGAAAAAGTACACAGCATTCTTTAAAAAGTTCCAGGATATGAACAAATTTGTGAAATTGAAGAAATTTTAGCTGTTAAACATACTGAACTGCCAGGTAAAAAATCACTAACAGTGGAGCAAATAGCGGCTTTTGTACATGCGCCCCTAAGTTCCTGTGAGGTGGAAAGAAGTTTTACTCGCTATAAGGACATCTTAGGAGACAGTAGGAGGCAACTAACTATGGAAAACCTAGAACATTTAGTAATTGTGAATTGCAACAGTAGAGAAGTTGAAAGTTCGGAGAGCTAAATGTGAGTACCATTGGTTTTTTAAATTTGTAATGAAATATGTTGGCTTTGTTGCATGATTTGTATTTATGTATTGCTTTTTATTGCAAGTGAATCATTCAGTGATTACATAAAATGAACTTAAATATTGATTTGTTTGTCTTAAAATAATGTAAAATCAATTTTAACGTTTGGTATAAATTTTTATGTGCATATTTCAGAAGTTTTTCATGCATAAATATCCAGTCCCTAATAATGAGACAGTATATCAGCTAGTTGTAGACTTCAAGAAAGCCTATGATTCAGTTAGGATAGAGTTTCGGGTACCCATGAAACTAGTTAGGCTGATTAAAATGTGTTTAAACAAAAAATATAGTGAAGTCCATATTGGTAAACATTTGATAATATCCCTATCCTTAATGTTCTAAAACAAGGAGATGCTTTATTGCCATTCCTTTTCAACTTTGCTTTAGAATATGCCATTAGGAAGGTACAAGAAAACCAGGTGGGACTGAAATTAAATGGGACACATCAGCAAATAATGCAAATAAGGAGGTTGGTCTAGAAGTAAACACAGAGACAACTAAGTGTATGTTGCGGTCTCATCACCAAAATGCAGGGCAAAATCTTGATATAAATATTGATAACAGATGTTTAGAAAATGTGGCACAGTTCAGATATTAGGGAATGATAATAACAAATCAAAACCTGATTCTGGATGAAATTAAGAGGAGATTGAATTTGGGTAATGCTTGCTACCATTCAGTTCAGAACCTTGTGTCTTCTTGTCTGCTGTCAAAAAACATAAAAATTAGAATATACAATTTTGACTGTGGTTCTGTATGGATGTGAAACTCGGTATCTGGCCTTAAGGGAGGAACATAGATTGAGGGCATTTGAGAACAGGATGCTGAGAATATTTTGACCAAGGATGGATGAAGTGGCAGGAGGCTGGAGGAAACTACATAATGAGGAGTTTCATAACCTGTACTCTTCACCAAATATAATTAGTATGATCAAGTGAAGGTTGATGAGAGGGGCAGGGCATGTAGGACAAATGGGGGAGAAGAGGAATGAATATAGGATGTTTGTGGGAAAGACAAAAAAAAAAAGAAAAGACAACTAGGAAGACAAAGACATAGGTAGGTGGATAATATTAAAAAGCTAATGAACCTATGGGTTTGTAAAATGTTCGGAAATTCTTGGGTAGCTGTACAATTGGCAGCTTCTCGAGAAGGGCTCTGCTTCATTAAATTAATGAGTTTCTGGACTAGCTGTGTAACAGTCTTTTCTATATATGTGCACACTTCGATGAGACGTGGGGAAGACGATATTTCTTGTTTCTAAGACACAGATGAACCTTGGAAATAACGAAAATGTGCGAAGTTGAATTTGGTGCATGAATGTAACAAGCATATATATCTTGATTGCGGCATACCCCATCTTTTTGACGTCGTTTAGCTTGTTCTATATAAATGGTAAAAAAGGTAAAGTTTTCCCTGTACTTAACTAATCAGGCACAACGCCATGAAGGCGAAAGGGGGAATGGATGTATAGAACCATATTTTCTTGACCTCTGTACTAGTTGGAGGTGGTCAGCTTTACCACCGGGGAAAGAGCCCCCAGTACCCATTGGATAGGACGTTGGGTGGGCCCCAGAATCGGTCTGGACCGTGTAGAAAAGAACAATTCTTGACCCCACCGGGACTCGAACGCCGACCCATCTATCAGCCGGCCCGTAGCCAATCGCTATACCCGATACCGACCATACCGACTACTCTATGGCGGCTCCACGTAAGTAGATGGTAAAGGTGTAAGTGCTGTACGTATAACGTGAAAAAGACACAGTAAGCTTGTTCTAAACATTCCGCTTTTTCACTTTTTCAAGTGTTTGGTAAAGGACATGTTGACAGCACTGAAATATTTTAAAAACAATTGTGAAGCAATGGCGCATAAGTGATTCATGCGGTGTAATTTGCTTGTATTTGGGTGTGGTGTACTATATCGAAAGTAAGTAAAATGATGAGGAGTTGCGTGCAGATAAGACCGTAAGGACGATAAGGACGACAGTGTGTTGCTAATGAGATGTTCACTGAACCGTAATACAAAAATGAACAGTCGCCAAGTCTGAAAGAGGATATGTGCTTTCGTTGCAGATCGTTGCTATTGGTTTGTGTTTCTTTCTCACGTGGAGTTAAGTTCCATTGTGCGCTGCACGCATAAGCTACACCCTGCAGCTTTCGGCTTCTGACTAGGGAAGCCCTACAGTTTTGACATTACGATGACAACAAATAAAGTGGTAGAAATGATACTATTTCTGCTGTTAACAGTATTGATGTTTATAATAAGTAGTGGCCAGAAACTTTCAAACTGCGAGTTTAATGTCACATACAGTGGCCAGCCTGTAATATATAACCTCACCAGGTGAGTAGAGTAAGTGTAATAAGTTTTGATGTCAACAGCAGTTCACACTCAATAATTAGAAGTTGGAAGTTCTTTAGGATGCATCATGTTTGGCCTGTTACCCATCATCAAACTATTTTTCATATATTGCATATCTTTTACTAGCTACATTGGCCAAGGTTTACAAATTTGAATATATATATATATATATAAAATAACACATGCAGCTGTTTAGTAAATTGTATGGACTGTAGTGATTAAGTGTTATTTTGTTGAATTTTGCAAAAATGCCCCATGTTGAATATGGCAGCTGGTTAATGGATCTCACTACAAAAGCTGCCCACAAAGTGGTAACACTTGAGTTCTTCTACACAAAGAAATTCTTCAAGTATATTTGCAATAAGCAAGGTGTACAAACAGCGATACACTCTCATTCATTCATTTTAATTTAATTGTAGGTTTAACCATATCAAGAGTAATTATTTACTGACATATTCTAATCCTTTAGGCATTTGGGCCAAAGGATTTCAAGAATGATGTGTTTAATGATGTGACTTGTTCAAGTGTTACTCTTGTAGCAGTTATGAATGCTAAATTGTACAAATGAATGACTTTCTTATCCTGTAGATCAAAATACATTGAAATAGGGCATGTACACACACACAAACACAAATGACTTCACAAATTGCAACAGTGGAAATGGCCTGAAGAGACAATGTACCTGCCACACACATGGTAACATGCACCAAAGAACCACAATGTAAAATTCACATTAAAGGAAACTAAGAACTGGAGCAACTCACTCAAAATAACCAAACAACTGACAGAAAATAAAAGAGATTGTCAAGAACCTGGTTTGAGACAATACATACAATACATATGGGTACAGAGTGCAGAGGCACTCACTTGATGGATATTTACCCTACAAGAACAGGGCTGTAAGGTACATGGCAGGGTTGAAACAACTGGAATCATATAGAGATAGTTTGAGGCAGCTAAAGATAGTAACAGTATACTCGCTCTACATTCAAGAAACACTCTCATATATAAAAGGGAAGTGTAACTGTGCTGTAAATGAACAAATGCATACATATGAGGGTTGAAACTTTAATAGTGGCAACTATTTATTTACAACTGATACAAAATGGATGCATGTTTTGAAGTTTTACTGCCCTTCAGTGTAGTCACCAGCATTGTGTACAACCCGTTGCCAGCGATGTGGAAGTCATAGGATACCTTTAGCAGCACCTGTTGTGTTGATAGTTTGAATGTAGCGGTCTACTGCCGGAAGAATCTCTGGAACAATTCCGAAGCGAATGCCACGAAGTGGTTCCTTCATCTTAGGAATCAAATTAAAGTCACAAGGGCTTAAGTCCGGGGAGTATGGTGGATGGTACAGCACTTCCCAGCCCCATCGATTGAACAAATGGGCGTCTTATCATATCCATTTCTGCATTTCCGTCAAATAATGCAGACCCCATCGTGATGCAATTTTTCTCATGCCCAGGCATTCCTTCAGAATGTGAAGCACAGTTGTATGTGCTAATCCTGTCTGTCGGGCCAGCTCACGAATCGTATGGTGTCAATGACTCCAGTAACACAGAAAGAGCATACACTTCTTCTTCATTGACATTAGGACGACCTGGCCAACGCATGTCTGCCACATTTTGGTGTCCCTTGAAGGTTTTTACCCACCTTGCCACTGTTCTGTAAGGCAATGCAGATTCCTTGCAAGCCTCTTGAAGACCTTGATGACACTGTCATGCTGTATGGCCTCTGGCACATTCAGTCATTATCCAACTCCGTTGTTCCTCTTTCAAAAATATTGTGACACTACATTAGACCGCCAGCTAACACGAGGCTCTGTTCTTCTTGTCACTGTGCATGCGCGTGATATGGGAAGGGAGAGTCCATTTGCTCTGAGGTGAGGTAGGTATGTAGCTAACGTGTGGTATAAGCGACATTATTTGGTTCCGTTGCATGGCGTCTCTGCAGCAGTATTGCCACTATTAAAGTTCCAACCCTCGTATAACACAAGAAATAATGACTATCATAGGTATGTAGATAATTTCGAGCTTAGAACTTAATTTAGAACAGAAAACCATCAGTCATGGGTTGCATTGTCTGAAACAAATTGCATAACAACATATAACAAATAGGTAACAGCAGCCAGTTTAAAAAGGAACTGAAGGACTTACTTATTAAGGGATGCTATTATTCAATAGAAGAAATAATTCAGTAATATTGTCTACTGATAAGCAGATATATGGAATAGGCTATATTTCTAATAAGTTTATACCACAATCATTAATGTGTTTTGATGATAAGAGATGGATTAGCCCTACATCAATGTATTTACAGGATAAAATAAAAATGAATGAATGAACATGAAAAACATTTATTATAAAATTGGTGACACTAAACATGTTAAAAATACTAGCACAGCAGTGCTTTACTGCCCATGTGTTACATTTTAAATAAATCACTCAATTTAAAATGCTTGAAAATGTTCTCCAATTTGAAAGCTGTAATCAAAGATATTTTAACAAACACAACAAAACTAACATAATCATTTTAGTCTGTACATTTCAGCCAGTAATTGTGTCACACACATAGGCCAATTTGGGAACACTGACCAGTGAAGCTGGAATGTATATGAGTGAATGCATAAGAAGTGAACCACAATTATCTTGCCCTTGCACTGTGACCTTCAATGATCTATTGTGGTTCTCCTTCTAGTTACCCCTTTATCAGTCCTACACTTTGAATGAAATGAGGACTTTGTTTACAGGGGAGTCATAGTAGTCATTTGGTTCCATAAAACTGGCCCAGGTGACTAAGTCTTAAGTACGTATTTCACATAAAATCAATACAAAGTCCGTCGAGTGTAACAATGTTTTTTAGGTCACTTCTTTCTCACACAACACACAACGCACAGCAATAATCCAACTACAAGCCAATACAACCTCAAGACATCTCCCAACATCGGGATAAATTAAGAAGCAGCCTAACATTTTTATATTTTACGTCAAAAGTCTTAAACTTTTAAATATTTTTTAAATATTTTAATAGTGATGTTTTAACGCGAGGGCAACTTCGGATGGAATGCGAAGGTTGAACGTGCATTCTGTACGTGCATTCAGTACTCCAAGCTAGTGTTGTGCTTTTACACATCGACATTTGTAGCAGTGCCCACACAGCATATATACTGTGTACNAAAAAAAAACCGTATTTCACCATAATTTAATGTGGGTATTTTTAGCCCTGGGATGACCAGTAGATGTGGTATACTCCTGAAATGCCCATTTTTATCAGAAACGTAATTTTTTAAGAGAAAGTGAATTCTCATACAAATCATTCAAAATGATCTAATCTCTTAATTTATTCTTAATTAATAGTTTATACAATCACTGGGTCCACCAAAAGTGAATCATTTCTTGTCTAAGTCTGGTGGGATCTGCACTGTACTTATTGCAGTTCACAAAATGAATTAAGGGCTCAGTGTACTCCTATTCTCTGCCAACTGTTGTATATTACTGCAACCCCTTCACCCCTCTGGCATCTTGCCTATCCCAGAACACTTGTTGCTGTGAAGGTCAGCACCACCAGCATTTGTGTGAACAGAGTAAACAGACTTGCCAAATGACTGGAGGCTGATACACTATGTGGAGTGGGTCAGTCCATGGGAACTGTCTGCAGTCTCAGTGCATCATAAGTTATCTGTGCTGTTTATAGGTTATCTAGGCAGGAGAGCTGGCAGACCGCAGATGGCGAAAACAGGGCATCCATCTTTGTGTGTCACACACCTTCACAATGCCAGAACTCTTCAGTGTGTGTTTTGAGGCAACAGGATAAAATGTGGAATGTGGTGATTTCAAACTATGGAGCAAATTGGAAAAGTAAGCGTGTAACCCAATGAAAGATGTGGGAAGTAGGTTGGGGGAGAGTCCAGAATAGATCATTTCTGCATTTCACCTGTACTGTCCATGTGTTATGGTGTATGTCTGACTACATACTTGTTGCTTCAAGTACTGGGTAGTTTTGTAAATGTATGCTGTGGGCTGGACAACCAGAGAATTTGGGTTTCATTCTGGGAGGGTGTTTTTCTCTTCACTGTCACATCCAAACTGGCTGGGGACCCATCCAGCTGTTTCTCTGAGGTAAAATGGCCATGCCGTGACACTGATCACTCACTGCTTTCCAGTACAGTTGGGTAAGAAATGGAGTTATGACTACATGAGAAGGCACTGTAGTGCTAGTTTTTAGCTTTCATTTGCTGTGGTTGTCCTTACGCATTCATCAAGTGCAACAGTGGGTTTGCCATGTCTGTCAGATCTTCATCTGCAGGACTTCTTATTCTTTTTCTCAAAACTCTTGACAGTATTTGAAAACAGCTATAAATGGAATTTCACTTGAACACTTGTTTGAATTTTACATTCATCTCATTAAGCAGACAGCGAATTAGAAAGTGTTTTAGAGCAAAGTTGCTAATGTTAACATCGTAAATTCATTATGTCGTATTTTAGCGTCCTGTTGCACTCATCTTCGTCCATTATATGTAAGCAGTGTCCGTCTTTCAGTGCACTCAGTTTTACTTATTACTTCACAACATGTTTCGGCACTACAGTGCCATCATCAGGTGCTCCATTTACGTCAGTCTATTTCATTGCTTGCCATTACGTCATTGTAAAATTGAAAAAGTATTTAAAAATATTCGTCAGTTATAATAAATGTATATGTATATACTAAAAACTTGTTAAGATTATTTATCTTATCTGTCCCAATGCTAACACCGAGCATAGTTTCACCACTATGGGAGTCATTCCTCTTATTCTCAGGGTATATCATGTGTCGTGTTGCGTGTTCCCTGTTTGGTTGTGGGTGTTGACAACACCCGCAACCAGACAGGGATGAAATAGATTGATGTAAATGGAGCACCTGATGATGGAACTGTAGTGCCGAAACATGTTGTGAAGTAATAAGTAAAATTGAGTGCACTAAAAGACGGACACTGCTTACATATAATGGACGTAAATTCATTAATTAAAATATATAGAATTATAATTTCCCTGCAGTTCTGCATTGGTATGAAACTTAGTACACCAATCTAAGGGAGAATGTAGTTTTTTTTATTGCTAGTGGGGTGGGACTAAGTCCCTTGTACTGCAGCCACACCTGGCGTATTGTACCAGCCCGTAACTGCTTGAGTTATGGCACGGCCATGAGAATGTAGGTTGAGGGTGCTCAGGATATTCATGGTTTATTTAATGATACTTTCAGTAACCCAGGTTCTGCAGTGCCAGAAAGTTCTGAGGTGAATATTTGTACTTAGGGAACAGGAGGCAGCAGCAGCATGAAATATTATACAGTGAAGAACTTCATGATTTATGCTCTTCACTCAGTATCAGAGTTGAGCTGGGAAGTGCATGTAGTACACATTGGAGAGATCCAGAATGTATACAGTTTTATCCAGAATACTTTAAAGGAAGAGACCACATGGAGACTGAGGCATAGATATCAGGATAATATTAAAATAGATTATAAAGAAACAGGTTGCAGGGATGTAGACTAGAATCATCTGGCTCAGAACAGGGTGTGGTGGTAGGTTGTTGTGAACGTGGTAATGAACCTTCACACTGCATAGAAGTCAGAAATTTTACGCTGGCTGAGCTAATATTAGCTTCTGAAGGACTTGGCACCATATGGTTCATTAATAGTTATACTAATTATTTTGGGGCATGCGGTAGCGTAGTGGTTGAGGTGCTATGCTACAAGCTGGAAGGTCACGGGTTCAAATCCCGATGAGGTCAGTGGATTTCTTTCAGTTGACCTAATCCTTCCAGCCGCACTAGGCCCTGGGGTTTACTCAGCCTCTAACAGAAATGAGTACCAGGAATTAATTAAATAATTTTCCTGGGGAGTAAAGCGCTGCCGACGAGTAAGGTTGACAACCTTACCGCCATCTTTGAGCCAATTGTCTAGATAATGTGGGACCCTCAACGTCTCACAACCCTATGGGCCTTCATGACCAGGTACAGGGATAGCTTTACTTTTACTTTTATACTAATTATTTATACTAATTTATACTAATAATTCATTTAGAAATTTGGCAGTGTTTGATTCTGTCTAATTTTTTTGTCAGTCTTGTTGAATACTCATCTACATCTGCTGTTAGATAACCTGCTCCTTGAAAAAGTTAAGGGTGAAAAATTCTCTTCTTTTATTGAAGACAAATTAAGACCTAGTACCACAGGGTGACATCACATCTACTCATCATAAAGAGCATTTCCAAATCTGCCCTCAATTAAGGATTTCTGTGCCATTTTCATTCTGAAACTTCTGATGGTTGCAGCTGCCCAGCCAAAGATCAACAGACCTGTACTGGAGTTGGTAGGCACACAGCCATGCTATGGAGGCAGGAACTATAGTGCTGAGATTTACTTCAATTGCTCAAGTGCAGTAAGTACCATTGGCTTAATCGACATTGAAGCAGGCCAGTGGCAGTACATGTTTATTCTATGAGCAGTCTGCATGCAGATAACCAGTAGGTTGTCTGTGGGGCATGAGTGCCAGCTGCACAACTTTGTGGGAATTAAATACCTCACATAGTATGATGATTTGTGTATTGTTTGAAGTGCAGGTTTGGTGTGTAGCATAACAATTGAGGTTATGTTTGGTCATCTGTGTAGTTTGGTTGGTAGGTACCAGAGTTCCACAGGAACTTGAGAATGTGTGATCTGACAAAATGTTTTATGTTGCAGGAGCGAGACCCAGTCCTGATGGGTGTTAGGGACAGTTGCACACTGCTTGTGATGTGGCAGACAGTGGCAGCTTGTCCTGTTGACAAGGGTTGTGTATTTGGTGACATTGACTTCAGCAGTCTCCGCCACTCTGACTACTATGAAGTTGTAGCTGATACAGGACAGAAATACCTGCTGAATCTGTGTGGGCCTGTGCGCTTGGATGCCTGTGGAAATATTGAACATGTGACAGCATGTGAAGTTGGCAAGAACAACAGCGTAACAGTCATTGGGCAGCTGGATGGGCACCATGTGCAGATGTCAGAGAGCACAGGCATTGCACTCCACTATAAAGCCTCAAGTAAAGGTGTGCAGCACATGGATAGTGTAGCTGTTGTGCTGAGCTTTACTGGCACATCTGTATCCCCAACAATATTGACAGTCATGGCCATGGTGGCTGATAGGCCTGTGATTTTACTGTAGCTTCCTTTCAGCAGGTCTTAGTTGTTTATGTATTTATAGTTCATTTAATGACATTCCCGATAGCTCAAGGGGGTATGATGTAGCGTTGGTTGAGGCACTATGCTATAAGCTGGAAGGTCACGGGTCCAAGTCCCGATGGGGTGGATTTTTTCAGTTGACCTAATCCTTCCATCTGCACTGTGGCCCTGGGGTTGACTCAGCCTCTAACAGATATGAGCACCAGAAATCTTCCAGGGGGTTAAAGGGTGGCCGGAGCATAAGGTTGACAACCTTCATGCCATCTGTGAGCCGATTGTCTAGATAATGTCGGACCCTTAACGTCTCACAACCCTATGGTCCTTCATGGCCTGTTAAAGGGATAGCTTTACCCTATAGCTCAGACTATGTAATGTTGAATGCTAGGATGAGGAATGAGCGATGAATTGGAGAGGGTATGGAAGAAATCAGTCATCTGATTTTTTTTTTTTCACAGTATTTTCCAGGAGAGACAGAAAACTGTAAACTATCTTTTATGTGATAGCTGCCCTCCAGGCTGGGCTTTGAAAACAGGACAGCTGTCCATTTGACTTTAGTGTTCAGTGAAGAGAGAGTTGGAAGTTCCCTGCATGTATACTAGTGAACATGTAGGCGTGCAAACTGAACTAGCAGCTTCCTTCAGCTGATCTGAAAGTGAAACTGAATGAAGGTCTCTTGTTGCTTGTAGGACCGAGGACTGAGATCCAGTTTATATGTAATGCCAGTGCAGCCAACAACAGCCCGAAGTTCGTGAGGTTCTCAAAGAAGACCTACATCTTTAAAGTGGGGACGCCACTGGCATGCAAGGCATGGCCTCAGGAATGTGTGGTGGGTTGCCTTGCTGTTCCCTTATATGCTGGTATGTGCCACGAAGCAGTCTGAGCATGACATATATGTTTCAGGTTTTGGACAGCAATGGTGGCCTCATTGATCTGTCACCCTTGAGGAAGAACAATGACAATTGGGTCACACAGCCCTTGTCTTCGGGTGTCCAGTACCACATCAATGTGTGTGGTCCCTTGAACCCAATGCGCACTCATAACTGTTCAGGTATGAAGTGAGTGTGGCCCGTCTTGAATCTGATTCCTGATTGACTAGAGATGGTTTAAGATGCCAGCCAAAGGTTTTTCTGTTCTCAGTGGAACATACACGTTAAGATGTACAAAATGTAATTTTTTCTGTAATTTGTGTGGGTCACTGAAACTAGACAGGAACCTAGATTTAGGATGTTTGAGAACAGGGTGCTGAGGGGAGGAAGGAAATAACAGAAGGTTGGAGAGTTGCATGATGAGGGAGTTCGTAATTTATAGAGCACTGAACCTGGTTCTCTTGCTGTTACCTTCTCAAGATGGACTATTTCTTTGGGTTGGGTGTTCGCAGTGGATTTAAGTTCTTATGAATTTGTTCTGTGTGTCACAGATGAATGTAATAGAAAATTTTAATTTTTTCCTTCAGTCCAAATTCCGAACACTGCCTCTGATTTATACTGTGTGTTTTCTCATTCAGAGCACGTGCAATATGATTCACTCACTGCCAGAGAATTAATGTCACAATGCATTGTCCTATAGTCTGTGTTGCTGAAGATGCTTTCTTTAACCTACAAATATTTTATAAGATTAACTAATTGGTAGCTGTAAGGTTTTATTATGGTGTTCACAGATGGTAGATGTCCTTTATTGAGGTGGTCTCTTCCTTGTCAGCATGGTAATGAACATTTAGTTCCAAAAACAGAAGTAAATTCCTTAACTGTCTGAATGATTTTTGTCATCTCAAGGAGTCTGATCTGTTGCGGTACTTAGTCGCTCTTATCATCAGAGTCATCATGACTCTTTTCTCACATAGCCTGATATTTAATTCGTTTATTTGATAATTAATTTGACTACTCATTTGACACTTATGCCACATGTCCATTATTTATGTGAATTTTTGTTCTTGCATTGTAGTCATTAGTCTAGAGTGGGGGGTAAGTGATTATTTTGATTTTGCAGTTATGTACCTCAAGGGTTAAAGTTCAGTACATATACCCTTGTCTCTAAGTTACTCTTCAATCTGTAAAATCATCTTTAGTGGAGGTAGAGAATATTTCTTTGTAGAGGTAAAAGTCATCCCTTGGGGTCAGTTAAGAATCATGCTATGAAGGTGTATTAGGTTTCCATGTAAGGCAATAGGAGACCGCCTCTTTGATCTAGTGGTCAGAGTTTCTGGCTAGAGATCCAGAGGTCCGGGATCGATTCCTGGTGCTACCAGATTTTCTGAGAAGTAATGGGTTTGGAATGGGGTCCACTCAGCCTCATCAGGATAATTGAGGAGCTGTTTCAAGGAAATGGTGACTGTGGTTTAGAAATTCGAAATTAATGGCTGTGGGGATCTGTTGCGCTGACCACGTGACACCCTCTATCTGCTAAAGTTGGCACTAACTTCGCCGACAAGCAGCAGTCACACAGTCTGTATAGTTTGCTTGCAGACTAAAATGATGGAGTTTTTTTTTTTGTTGTTTTGTAAGGCAATAGGAAGGAAAGAATATAATGAATGAATGAATGAATGTACAAGGGGTGGGCCCTCTTGGCCCTTGCACTGTGACCACAGTGATCTATAGTGCTTCCCGTTTTGATTATCACCTCAGCAATCCTGCGCTTCATTCGAAGTGCAGGATTTTGTACATGAGGATGTTGAAATAGTCACTTGGTTCCATAAAATATTGACTCAAGTGATGTAATCTTAAATAAGCTAAGGCCTGACATTCACACAGGATATGTGTGGCTGTTTCATTTTCTTCTTGACATCTCTCACAAGTTGGACTGTTACAGGGTGGAGCGCAGAAACTGCCTTTTTGTGAAGACGCATTGTGAAGGGAAGGGAGGTCGCAGAAAAGTGGGGATAGGCTCGGTGAACGCAGCAGTCGCGGAAGTTTCTGTCTAATACCCCTCATTAGGAAACATGAGGTGGATGTGTGAGCAGCGTGCGTTTGCTGTCGAAGCCTATTTTTAGAACAACCATTCCTACGTGGCGGTGCAGCGTGCGTTCCGTACTCACTTCCGAATTAAGCCCAGAGGTCCGGTTCCTGACTGGAAATCGATTGTTTTGTGGGTAGAGAACGGAGATTTTTTTTTGAACCTGCACTTGAAGAAATGCATCTAGGAAATGTCTGGTTCCAACAGGATGGTGCCACGGCCCACGCAGCCCGAGCCTCGATGACAGTTTTGAGGGCAAAGTTCCCTGGATGGCTCATCTCGCTTCGAGGTGACATCCCGTGGGCAGCGCACTCACCTGATCTAACGCCCTGTGATTTTTTTTATGGGGATACCTCAAGGCAGAGGTTTTTAAACATTGCCCCACAAATGTGCTTCAGCTGAAGAATGTGATTCGGCAGGAAGTAGCCCAAATTCCGGTGCACATGTTGGAACGTGCAGAAGGGAACTTCAGAAAACGGTTGCATCAGTGCATAGAGAACGGTGACCACCACCTTCAAGATATTTTATTTAAAACTACATGATTTAAAACTTTAAAGTATGTTCTTTCATTAGCTAAACATAAATTTTGTCTATCAATAATAATTTTTCTTTTATTTGCCTTCAAAAAAAAGGAAGTTTCTGTGCCCCACTCTGTACTTAGTCCCAGTTTGAAGAGGTGTCCTTTAAGGTGACAGTGTACTGTAAGTAGTTCTACCACCCATTGTAGCTGGTTCCTGTTTAACTTCAACAGTTCCTTCGCTCTTTTAGTAGAGGGTCCTCATATGAGTCCCTTTGCTTGCCTGAGTGCAGTCAAGGATCCTCAGTATTTCTTATGATTGATATTTGTCCAGTCCCTGATTGCCTTTCTGGCAACTTCTATAGAGATGCCACAGTCTGGTTCAGGTCTTATGAATGGATGTTCAGCTCCAATCTTGGCCAATTGATCTGCTGTTTCATTTTCAGCAGTACCCTCATGCACCGGCACCCATATCAGTTGTACCCTGTTATGTTTGGCCAGTTCAATGAGGGTTTGGTGGCAATCCTAGAACAATTTTAAGTTGATCTGGTGTTTGTCAGGCGCTCTAAATGCAGCTTGGCTGTCAGGTAGAATGTAGATGTTCCTATTTCTGTAGTTCCTATCTAGATTCTCCATAATACATGCCTTAATGGCATATACTTCTGCCTGGAATACTGTCGTGTACTGCCCAAGGCTGAAACTAAGTTTCCGCCTCATGCCATAGCAGTACACACCACCTCCAGTGCCCTTATTTATCTTGGAACCATCTGTATACCAGATCAGTCCCCCTTTTCTATCAGGCTGAAATCCGTCTTACCATTCACTCCTGTCAGGAAATCTGACTGTGAAGGGTTTCTCATATACATGTCGAGGAAAGAATATAAGGGAGTCATAAAATTATTTCTATTCATTATCCAGAACTTCAGTGGCAAGGAAAGGCAAGTTATTAAAGTAATAAATAGAATGTCTTATGGGGCAGAATCATCATCATCATCACCACCACCACTGGCACAACAGCCCTTTGTGAGCCCTGGCCTTCCTCAGGATTGCTCGCCATTCTTCTCTATTCGATGCTACATTCCTCCAGTTCTTTACACCCAAAATTCTTATGTCCTGCCACACACATTCTTCCCATCTTAACCTTGGTCTTCCCACTCTCCTATTTCCTTCTGGTTTAGTATTAAGCATTTTCTTGATGGTTCTATTCTCGCTGGCACGTATTATGTGTCCAGCCCATTCAAGCCTTTTCACCTTTATAAATGGGGCAGAATTGTATTCCATAATATTAGGAATACAGTATGTTTTTCTTGCAGAAGTCAGTCTTTTTCAGTAGGCAATTAAAAGAGATGAGTAATTTTGTGTACCAAACTTCAGTATTTGCTGACCGTTTAGTAGTCAGTAGAATCAGAAGCTAAGTGCAATGTCTTGTCAAAGAATTTAATCTCAAATTCAGCCAAATTTCTAAGTCCTCAGTGAATAACCAGTGACCCTTATTTTATTTTCCAGCAATCAGTATTCTTCACAAGCAGCACGTGATCTCTTTTGTCCACAAATTCCATCCGATGAGCAATCTCTGAAGAAAATCTGTGTATCTTTAAAGCAAAAAAATGCATACATTCCATTCTGTATCGCCAGCAAGGTGTGTTAGTGGTGGACACCTGTACCAGCCATAGTTACCAGCAGGGACAGATAATGAGCTGACATGATGTCTGAATATTATCGGATTGTACAGTTACAATATCCTTACATTGACTTGGGTGTGAGAACGGGGTGGCTTATCTTTCAGTTGGAGTTGGTGCCTGCATGACTAATTCAAGTTCTTCTGTCAACATGGGGTACATCACCAGTGGACCAAGAGTAACTGCATCTAACACAGTAATTCTGGAGTACACAGGTGAGAAGACATGAGGACATGTGTTTAATGTGTTTTGTTAGTATTTCCACATAACACAAAGGCTGGGTCATTCTCTTTCGAAAATTATAAAATCAGCCTCATAGCTGCAGAGTGACTTACTGTGAAGGGACAGTCAGCCTGCTGGCTCACAGGGTCACACTGATTAAACTTCAAATACATATCTGAATATGGCAGATTTAGTCTGGCCCCAGCATTGCAGTCAGGGCTGTTTTAAGGGCTATAACAAGATGAGGGGTTGTGTGCAGGACCTAGCAGTGGTATGAGAGCTGTGTCCCCCCCCCTCCCCATACAGTGAGAGGTTTAGAAGCTTCACTGGCTCCGCATGGAGCTTGCAGTGCTTAATTTCAGAGACCACATTTGAACAAAATGACATGCAAAATATTGGCAACAAGTAAATATGTCTGAGCTTTTGATTAATGCTACTTGTTTGTGATATGTCATCCATTTTTTCTGTCATTCTTATGGAGTTTCTTGCATTTCCTGCAGTCTCATTCTATATAATAGTTAAGAATACAGCTCCCTTGATTTGCATGTTGCAGGGGGTTCCCCATGCGCTGGTGAAAGAATGCATAGTATGCAGATCAAGTTCTTGTGCTCGAAGGTGGATGGAGTGCCAGTCTTTGTGAAGGAAACAGCCAGTTGTGTGCACTACTTATTCTGGGAGACACCTGTAGCCTGCCCTTCACTGGTAATAGAGTGGAAACCTAACTTTTATGAAGATTTGAACTTCATATGGAGGCGACTCTGAAGATTACTGCCATGTGAGATGTGACGCCGTGTAGTTGGGTAGATATTTACTACCGTTTTGGAGGATCCTGCTGCCTTTCCTAACCTCGAAAGGAAGCAGAAGGTCCCTCTGAAACATCAGCAAATGTCTACAAGGCTACATGGTGTCACATCCCAGAAAACAATCTGATTCTAATGAATTTAAGCCATGTGAAGGACTAGATTTGCTTTTCCATTTACCCAGCAAAGTTAAAAGTAACTTATGTAACTGTTACAGCATTTGATTATATCTACTTTTGTGATGTGATTTGCTATTTTTAAGAAATCACTTTTGAATGTGGATTTGTGCATATCAGTTTTAGTGGTAAACCTTGTTGTGTGGTAAAAAAAAAATACAAGAACAAATACCATTCAGTTGTATTACAGTTGAAATGAATGAGTTGTTTGATAATTTACTGAAAGCTAACTTCTGTCAAGGTGAATGAAGTGCAAAGTGTTATTTTGAGGAGAATTGTGTAACATGAACAAAATTTTAATTTCACATGTCTGAAGCATAATTGTGCCACTGTACATGTATCCTTGATGCACATCTCGGTTCTCTATTACAGCTTAAGCTGGCATGTTGCAGGTGGCTGCTGGGCAGAACTGCCTTGTAAGGGACAAGCAGTATGGCAACATGTTCAACCTGATGGTGTTGCATTCTCCTCGCGGGGGTTACCACTTGACAACAGAGGAGGGAAACATGTACCTTATCAATGTATGTGGGCCACTCAACAAGACTTGCAATGGACAGGAAGCAAGTGTGTGCCTTACTACGCACGACCACAGGTCCTTTGCTATAGGTGAGCACTCTCACAACAGAGCAGCTCCTGCTAGTAAGATGTAGGCAGTAATGAAATCAAGCCAGGTCTAGATGCCATTGAGTCCCTCTTCTCTTGCAGGTTATGTCAACAAGACAGTGCTATATGACAACGGTGGTCTGCGGTTTGTGCTCCATGGAGAGGGCTGTAATTCTGAAAGAAATAGCAGCACTGTTACTATCATATTGCTGTGCAGGCAAGGCAGCGATCTGGGAGAGCCTGAGATGTTCTCACGGGTAACATGCATTCACTATCAGTTGCTGCTGTCATGAGGTTCTTTGGTGGTTTACCTAAATGCTAGAATTTTACTATATAATAGTCCAAGACCATTTCCTTCAGAACTCATACTCACTCTCCTTTCTTGACGTCACTAAGTAATCCAAGATTCAGTTTGTTTTATTACTAACAGACACCAAAGCCAACCACTGGGCATGTCAGCAATGTTCATATTCTTACAGCCCGTTTCCACACGATACGTTATACGAGGATGTTATAAACTGGAACATCCACCTGAGTTGGGTGCAGAACATTGGCACCAACCAGATGGCAGCACTGTGTACAGCAGCTCAGAACAGTTTTCAGTATCCAATAGATAGGTTATGTTTTTAACCCGTTGCCGTGGTTCGTCGTGTATGTTTCGTCAGGGATTTAAATCGTCTGGGGGGGTTCGACGTGTATGTTTCGNTTTAAGATCATTTTAGTGAAAGTTTCATGTTCCTATCTCATAGAATTTAAGAACAATGATGAATAAATAATTTTCGAGCAAAATTTAAATGGCCGGCTGAATATATTACCGCAGGAGCCGCGGCCGCGGAATTTAAATGACCACGTCAAAGGGTTAAATGGCATACAGGAAGGCTGATGGCTCTGAACTGAATGATAGCAAGCATTCCTTGAATTTAATAGCTCTTAATTTCTTTGTGAGTGTAGTTTTGATTTGTTAGTAATCCTGTACATATCACTTTAATCACTTGTCTGTTCCAGATATGAATCCTGTTATCACAGAGTTCATATCTTTTAATTTTCTATATGTGTGCAGGATGAAGAATGCAATTTTTACTACATTTGGAATACAGTGGCTGCATGTCCACCGTACCGGTCTGCGGATTGCCATGTGACACACAATGGACAGTACTATGACCTGAGTCAACTGTCAGACTCAATGAGCAACCACATAGTGTTGCAGCCACAGTTGAACCTCAGGTTCCTGCTTAATGTGTGCCAGTCTGTTGTGTTTGGGAAATATGCGTCCTGTGAGTACACGGCTGCCGCATGCCTGGTCAACTTGTCCATCCCAGACCCTACCAGGAGGTAATATTTTTAGTATGATTATGGAAGACATGATGCAATTTTCCTGAAGCATTTGCTACACATTTCTTGAGAACCTGTCAATGTAGCGGTACTTTGAAACCTGTGCTGAGCATTAGGCTCATTTCATCAACGTTTTGCCTTAGTATAAATCCTTGTATGATTGTATTTAATGTCCATTTATAATGAAACTGTTCAAGCAGCACCATGTCAGTTTTGACATTTTCAGCATGCTTTGTCCATGCTATTCAGTAAGCTAATAAGATATTTTGTCTGCCTCCTCCCCCTCCCCCAAATTGACATGGTTGTTCAGTGATATATGCATCATGTTTGGGATTTGTGCACTTCCCTGATTATGCCCAGCTTTTCTGCCATTGTCAACTGTTTACATTTAATCCATGACTTTTGGTCTCTCTGTTGCTCCTGTTTATACCAAACAGTAAATTGAGCCTCTGATTTGCTTAATTAGCTAATCTGCAGATGCTTTTCAGAAAGGCGACACTCCGCCAGCAGTTGATTTGCTGACACTTGGATTGAGGAGTTGTGGACTAGATATGAAAATTTTAAGTGACTAAAATACAATCATAAGGCATAAGATTTTCTGTGAAAATGACTGTGTCTGTAGTTTGGTTCACAGCTCTAAAGGTCACAAAGCATGCCAGTCCATAATGGAATGCAGTGACACAGCGATAGAGTGAGTATTGCCTATAACAGCGACTTAATTAAGAGTGACAGACGCTACTGGTTCCATTAGTTTCTTAATGTTACATGTGTGGAAGACCTTCATATGGAATGTAGGATTTTTCCCAGCACCGTCATAATAAGTAATTTGTAGCTAGCTGCCATTGTTTTCCTATAACTTCTTGCAATAACTGTACTTGCAATTTTGCTTCTGAAGTTGTTTATGGCTAGCAGTTCATAAAGATCCCATAAACCCACCCTTTCTGGTCTACCCTTGATTAGGAGAAGTTTTCTCTCTAGACTCTGATAGCAACTTGCCCTCACTGTCAACCACTGAGAAGTGTACATCACATGATATTGTCTGAATTTACTCCAGTAGCTTGTTTCATCATGTATCATGCCACTTGGCTTGTTTATGGAGGCAGCATGGAGTATCTTGACCACCTTGTCACTCACATATGCCCTTCCTGAGCTTTGACTGCCTTTGGACAAAGAAGTTGCAGAATATAACCTGCACATGTGGATGTTTAATGTTCTGTAAGATTTGAGGTTTTCAAGGTGGTGACTATGAAGAAAGTAGTCTTCTGGGATGTGACGCGATGTAGATATTGTGTCATCTGCTCCCTCAAGAAACCCCCGGGACATGATGCCAGATCCACAAGGCCAAGCTAGTCCATGCCTGACTCACATAGCAACCCCAAAGCTTAAGGGTTAATGCCCTCCTATTAACCGTGCCTTTCTCCCCCTACACAATATTCTGTACCTTCACTGGCCTGATACCTGCTGCCCCACCTCCCCAGACCCTTCCCCTCTCCTCTCTACTGATTTCCCATATAGCCCCTCTCCCTTCTCTTCCTGCTCTTGTACAGCTGGGTTTATTGTCAAGTATTAGCACCTGCTCATGCTGGTTCTTCTCTTGTGGATTTTCTTCTTTTTTTCTTCTACCCTGAAGATGGAGGCAGTACATTCCTCTGAAACGTCGGTTAACACAATATCTACACCGTGCCACATCCCAGAAGACTGCTTTCTTCATTTAATGTTCTGTTCATCATCAAGGTCATTTTTATTTTTGGTGATACTTTTCATGACTTTCCCACACACACAGAACATTTCACACTACTGTAACCAAAAATGTCATGACATTTTCCTTAACATTGTTCCTTCTTTCATGAGTACATATTGATGAAATTCATTTTGTCATTTCAGTTTGTGACTGTTTGACAGACATAACGAGATGAGACCAATGTAATGTCATGAGTGCAGGAACTAGGTTGTTACAGATCCTATCCTCATCTGTTAAAAGAGTTATTTTCATTACAGATGTGGTGACTTACTTAAACTTAATTTTATTAGGTTAGAAAATCAAACACTTAGAGGTTCATATGCAGTTCACATGCCATTACCATGGCATGTATTTTGCCGCTAAGCAGTTAGGTATAGTTGCTCTTTCACAGCCATTTTGTATGTATGCAGCCTCAAATATTTGTGTATTGAGAACAACCCAAAATATAATGCATCTGCATAATGTGTTAGTGAGATTTAAACTGTATTGTATGTTTGTCTGTTACTCCAGTTCAGTGCATGTCGACTAGTTTATTCTCACATGTATGCACATGGAGTGACTTGTGAGCATGCAGCAAATAGTAGATGTGACTGAACTTCTGCTGACAAAGCATGGCACCTAATTAGCAGTTTGCTGCAAGTAGAAGATATTGTGTTAGTTTAAGAAGAACTTCAGTTCTTTGGTTCAAATGGTGCTAACAGTGAAGAACATTTTGAATTATTATTCAGTATTTTCATATCCTCATGGTGACCACCACCTGTATATGCAGTCCAACCTTTTTTTTATTGCTAGTGGCGTGGGACTAAGTCCATTGTACTGTGGCCACTTCTGGCCTATTGTACCAGCCCCAGATGATAGGTGAAGGTGATTGTGGAGCAATTGGTGGAATGAAGATTGGCAGGGGAAACCAAAGTACTCTGAGAAAACCTTCCCCAGGCCCACTTTGTCCACCACAAATCCCACTTGACCAGACCCGGGATTGAACCCGGGCTGCCTCGGTGGGAAGCCAGTGACTAACCGCTTGAGCTGTGGTGCGGCCCAGTCCAACCTTAGTGCCATATTGTAGTATTATGTGTAATTGCAGATTAGGGCAATTGTTAGAATCATGATGGGTGTCAAATCCTGTGATTCCTGTAGAGATCTATTAAAGAGACTACAGATTTTAACTTTTCCTTGTGAATATATATATATTCATTAATAAACTTTATTACAAATAACGAAGAACATTTTCAGACGAATGCGGATGTACACAGTGTTAAGAAAGACATAAACACCATCTTCATAAAACAAATTGCTAACTTCTCATGCTTTCAGAAAAGCGTATATTATGCTGGGATCAACATTTTTAATAACCTGCCATCTGATCTCAAAGGTCTTATGAATGTAAAGGCACAATTTAAAATAGCACTGAAACGATACTTAAATACACATTCATTCTACTCTGTTGATGAATTCCTGTTGTCTAGAAAATAACTTATATGTCTTTAAATAACCTTGTGTGTAGAAATAGCACATTCTTGGTTTCTGTTGTGTGAGAACTGCATTGGGTCTGTACATATGTTTTGTATTTACATGACATATTCCACATCCTACAGTCATTTTTGACTAACCTTGGATCCATTGAATGCAATGCAATGCAATGCAATGTAATGTAATTAATCTATGTACGTCAACCATTTTTGGATATTATGAGTATCTTTTAAAACAAGCAGTTTTTCAAATATTTTAAACAATCATGAATGTCAAGCTTGCAGTGTACATTGCTTACACAGGGCAAAAGTAAGTGATGTCGTCTTGTCACTCTGTTTGTGCATAGCAGAGGAATTGAAAGTTGCTTCAAACTGCCTCGAGGCCTGAGCAAGGAATTTACAGAAGAAATGTCTAATGTTTGGACTTGTTACAATAGGGAGGTATAAATTAATGTTAGGCTCCCTCCTATTTTAAGGTCTCCCATGAGATCTTGCAGATTTCTCTATGTATTTCTTTTCTGTCCAATGTATATGCTACATGTTCCGCAGTAAGTAATAAAAATTATATTGTGAGGTTAGTTGTCTGTTGGGAGTATTTACAAACTGCACTGTGAAGGTAGTAAAATAGAACCTTGCTAATTCAGACTAAAAGGGGGAAGGGGTAATCCAAATTAGTGAAGAGCCCAAATTATAGAACATAATTACACATAAATATTTTCAGTTTATAGTTATTTTTAAAAGTCAGAAGCTATACTACTTTCACTGCAAATCAGGTACATAACTAAGCTGACAGAAGTGGCAATTTTTTATTAAATTCTCGGTTAGGAAAAATCTCCATTCTGCTAGAATAAAATAAATGCATGAAAGATATAAGACAGTCTGATATATGGATGGTTGAAATTGGTGAAGTTATACTGTAATCCTGTTGTGGCTGCTGACTGTTTCAAATTGAGGATAAAAGTAGTGGATGCATGGAGCAGTGAGACATCTTATTTTCCAGCTTCACCAACATTGGTGATGTGGGGGATGGTCCGTACTTCGAGAATGACAAGCTGAAGCTGAAGTATAATGGTGGGGACATTTGCCTGAATCAGGAAGGTCCAGACCATATTTCAACTGTCATAACATTTGAATGTGACAACAGCACGGTATGCACAGTGTTATCTTAAACTGTTTTAAGGATAGGTTTCTCTCCATGCCTGTCCACAGTATTTCTTCATGGATAGAAGTGTAAACCTCTTTTATGTTGTAAGATTTGAGGCTTTCACGGCGGTGACTATGAAGAAAGCAGTCTTTTGGGATTTGGCACCGTGTATAAGTGGTGTTAACCGACGTTTCGGAGGAACGTATCGCCTCCATCTTCAGGGTAGAAGATGGAGGCCTTACGTTCCTCCGAAACGTCGGTTAACACCACTTATACACGGTGCCAAATCCCAAAAGACTGCTTTTCTCTCTTTTATGTTTTTATATCTAGACGTTCTGTCCATTTACACCTAAATTTGTTTCAATCTTCATACAAAATAGTAATAAACTCAAAGGAGCAGTCATTGTTGTGAATCAGGCATTTGATCTTCTCTAGAAATTCCCTGCAAGAGCCATATGAGTCCAGTTGACACACTCACTTGCCACTTCATGAAGAGCCTCACCACCATCTGTGAGTTGATTATCTAGAAAATATGGGAGCTTCGATGTCTAACAACCCCATGGGCCTCCACTGCCTGTTACAGGGCTATCTTTACCTTCCCCCCCATTTAATATTAGTCACTCTTTTATGCCTTTGTGTCCCAGATGTGCTCTTCCCTTCACATTCAACTAAAATTTTGTGTTATGCCCTTAATGCCATAACGAGGCTGTGAACCTCAGGAGTAAAAAACGTGCTTCATAACCCTTGGTAAAAATGGAGTAACAGTGAAAATTAAACAGATTTCCATCACCTGTAGCAATAGCAGAAGTACAATGCTGAAATTGCACCCTGTAATTGGCGTGAAATAACCATGTATACACTCAGATCCTGTGAGTTGAGCTTATTCCATGAACCTATACCCAAAGAGATAGTGGTAATCCATTTGGTGGTAACAAGAAATATGAATTGTTAAGACTTCCTCAATTTTTAAACCCAGTCATTCTTGGCAGAACCCACAGTTCATACTGACCCTTTTTGAGACACCATTATGACAGTGAGATGGCAGGAACAGTGCAGTAGGTGAATGTAGTAAGAGAGACAGTTGATGTTGACTGCTCAGCTATGAGAGAGGAGGCAGCTCGAGTGCCGATGTTCGTGAGGTGGCCTCCATCCCTTACCAGTGATGAAGGTGGTGAAACCTTCACAGAGGTGTCAGTGGCACCCCCATAACATCGTGCATACATTTCTCACTTCTCCTATGGATGCTGTGTTCCTCAACCCTCTTCCTCTTTCATTTGATCTTCATAACAATATTCAGTGAAGGTACAAGTTATGAAGCTGCTCAGTGTGTAGGATTCTTTGGCTTCCTGTCAGTTCCTCTTCTGAAATCCAGATATTTTCCTCGCTACCCTTTTCTGTAACACCCTTACTTTGTGTTCTTCCCTTAATGTGGAAGACCAAGTTTCACACCCAAACGTAATGCAGATGTCTAATGTTATCTTTCAGTCTATCGAGATTGCCCTGGTCTGTTTTTGTATCTCCTTAGCTGTGTTTTCACTTTGCAGGATCACATGCCAGAACTTCTGCCTGGAGATGTGTGTGTCTATGAGTTTCTATGGAGAACGCCAGCTGCCTGCCCTGTGAACGTGAAGTCTGAGCGGCCACAGGAGGATGACAGCTGCACAGTGGCGATCCCTGGCAGAGATAACAGGTACAGTGATATGTGTGTGCATGCATGCAGAATGCTAGAAGCCTGCTCTGTGAATGTGAAGCTGACAGCTGCACTTTGGTGATCCCAGGCAGACGATAGGTATGGAGGTGTCAAAAGTAAGGCCTTTCTTAGTGACAGACTTATTCTCTGTGCAGGGTTAACTTGCGGCCCCTGAGGAACAAAATCAAAATGGTGTCTGACTTGGATGGATATAACTACACCTTTGTTGTTTGTGGTAACCTCTCAAGTAGTCACTGTGGCAACGGTAGTGTTGGTGAGTTTGCTTTATGGTACATTGATGTGTGCCTCTTATTATGGCACATATTTGAGCCAGTAAAAGTTCCTCCACAGCAACTGATGGCATTAGGAGTGAACCATCAGGAGATGTATACTGTGTAACCATAGCAACATGAAGCCACTGCTGTGGTTGTTCCTAGCATATGGAGCAGGCTCCCATAATGCCATAATCACTGTGACATGGACTCTTTGCCTTTGCACAGTATCTTGATATTTGTCATTCCCTTCACAAATGGTAACAAACATGACAGACAATTTAAAAGCAATTTAATTGTAAAATTCATGTTATTTTCAGTTTAAAACTTATATGATAACTAAAATGGACATGCAATTCTAAACATTAAATAAGGTTTAATTACTCATATTTTCAAGATTCTAGTTCTTAATAAGTTATAAATTATGTTAACAAATAAGATCATAATCAGTGGTTTTCTCTGTGGAATAATCAATCCCTCTGATGATAACATCTTAGGAGACTGAAACACATAACAGATCGATCAAAACAGATTGTAATGAGAAACTTGATGGTATAGTTGTTAACAGTTGCATTTGACACCAGTCAAGTTAGCCCAAGCAGTTAATGCCTTGGGTTTTTTGTCAGAAGGTTCCTTTGTAACACAGAACGAGTTGAGGTGTGAAGCAGGTCACTTGTGTGTGTCACTGTTTGATAAACCCCCATCCTTCCCTCTTCTGGATGGTTCTGGAGGCTGCAGAGACCAGAGTTAGCCAAGGCCGCGAGAATGTTTGGGTATGACACTGTTGGAAGAAAAGCATGTGGAATTAATGAGTGCAGTCAGTGTGTGCTTAGAAGCAGTGTGTGTGTTTGTGTGTATGGTGAAACATTGTGACAGATCAAATAGAAGGTCCCAAGAGGACAGTGCAGTGGTGTTCAGTGAAGGAGTAGTAGCAGACTAAAACAAACTGACCTAAGACAGTAAATTACACACTTAAGTACTGTGCCAAAACTAGATAAACATCACAATATATTAAGGTGGGTTGGATGCGGTGCACATGACGGAAGCAATAAATGTATGCAGACTTCTGTGTAAGGCAATCAACAGTCAGCTTCCTACCTTGGTGGCCCAAATTCAGTCCAGCTCAGGTCTTGTTGGATCTGTGTTGGATAAAGTGGCACAGGGGCAGGTTTTCTTTGAGTACTTCAGTTTCCCCTGCCATTTCTCATTCCACTTAATATACTGTAATCATTGTCTAGGGTTGATAAAGTAGGCCCAATTTAAGCTGTCATACCGAGAGAAATCAAAACCAATGCAGTTATTAGAGGATAATATTTAAATTAATCTTCCCATTATAGGGATGTAAACTACACTGATGAGTCCATAATCTTATAAGAATTTATAGATTTTGCAGCAGTGAATATCGAGATTACAGTTTTCTGGAATATGGTGCCATGTAGTTTGGTAGATAAGTACCAGCATTTCAGAGGAAGTTGTTTCTTCCATATTTAGGGTAGAATAGTGTTGATTGAGGCGGCATGTTCCTTTGAAACATTGGTTTCTATCAACCAGACAACATGACAGTACATCACAGGAGATTAATCTTGATCACTGTGTCAGTTCCAGGCACAAGAACAGTCTCACTTGTGGAACAGAAGTGTGGGGAACAGCTGTTCACACTATGGTCAGGCACTGATTGTTACAGGTGTGTGCTAGTTCCAGGCACAAGAACAGTCTCATTTGTGGAGTACAAGTGTGGCGAACAGCTGTTCACACTATGGTAAGGCACTGATTGTTACAGGTGTGTGCCAGTTCCAGGCACAGAATCAGTCCCAGTTCTGGAGCGCAGGTGTGGGGAACAGCCATTTGCACTACAATGAGGGTGCCATATCACTGGAGTACACTGATGGAGCACCATGTAAAGATGGACTGACTCGCAGGACCAGGATTGATTTTGTGTGTGAAATGAATGGCTCTGAGCGGGTTGCGTTCATAGAAAAGCTGGACAGCTGCAGCTTCCTGATCATCTGGTACACTGATGTGGCATGTAGCACAAAGGTATGATTACAGCTTGACCCCTTGGTCTGTTGTTCCTCCATTGATGTGACTTGGAACTTTCCTTTTTTCTGTTTCCTTTCCTTTCTCTTCCTCCATGCATCTTGTCATTCTTTCATGTTTACTCCTTCCCTCCAGGTTGGTGCAATGTTAATGTTCAAATTTGTATCGAGATTCATATCTCAGTTGAAATATTATGGTTTTCTTCAGTCTCCATGTGTAATCTGTGTTGTGCTCGCAGGTAGAATGTTTCACCCCAGCCAGGAGCGACACTGCACCGATAAACCTGACGCCCCTCGTCAGGCTGGATCACAACTACAAGGTGCAGATTCGTAATGACACAGTGGTGTACATCAATGTGTGTCACCCTTTGCTGCCAGTGCAAGGCCTGAGCTGTGCAGGGGGCTCCTCTGCATGCGTTGCACATCTCCAGAATGGCAGCCTAACTGATGAGAAGGTACAATGTTCCACATATATCAGAACTGAAATTGGACATCTATAGAAGTAAATGAAAAGGAATCCACCTCTGCTATAGGTAGAATTGCTGGATTTTTGAAAACTGGGTAGAATTGAATGAATTTTGAGAAACTGTAGGTAGAATTGAATTGATTTTGGGGAAGTATGGGCAGAATTGAATGAATTTGGGAAACTCATAGAATTGAATGGATTATAGGAAACTTGTACCCTTCTCCAAGTATAATTAGAATGATCAAGCCAGGGAGAATGAGGTGGGCAGGGCATATAGCACGAATGGGAGAGAAGAGGAATGCATATAGGATATTGCTGGGAAAACCAGAAGGAAAGAGAGAGCAGGAAGACCAAGGCGAGGTGGGTGAACAATATTAAAATGGATCTTGGAGAGATAGGATGGAATGGTATGGATTAAATTGATCTGGCTCAGGATAGGGACCAGTGGAGGGCTCTTGTGAACACGGTAATTAACTTTCGGGTTCCATAAAATGCTGGGAAATTCTTGAGTAGCTGCAGAATTGGTAGCTCCTCATGAAGGGCTCAGCTCCACGAGTAAGTAAGTAAGATGGTAGAATTGAATGAATTTTGGGAAACTCTTAGAATTGAATGGATTTTGAGAAACTGAAGGTAGAATTGAATGGATTTTAGGAAACTGTTGGTAGAATTGTATGAACTTGGGGAAATGTCCCAAGCTTTGGCTTCTTATTTTGATGTTTCCATTTATATGGTCTGTCTAGGAACCAGGTTTTGTCATCCTGAAGCTCTCCTTGGTTTCTTCCCAGTCTGTTGCACACATACAGACACCCAGCAGCATGTTACACAAACACTCTTAGTGGCAAATGCAGGAATACTAAACAAGGAGTATTATTGACAATTTAACCAAGAGCTGTAGTGACAATAATCAGCATTGACTGTTACATGTGTGATTATTTTGTGCCAGTCTTTCTAATTTATAATCATTTAATATTATATGTAAGAAAACTGTAATTCATAGGAAGCACTTGACAGGGCAGTGCATCCAGTAGGCAACATTACTTATATACATGCAAGAGGTCTCTCAGTGATAAGAAAGTTCCTCACATGTTGAAGTATTTGGGGGCCTGGAGTTGACACATATGCACTGAAACATGTTGCCCAGCTGTGGAAACAGTGTGTGACTGGAACTGTATATATTTCTAAAGGACTGTGGCAATGTACGTAATTTACCTAATGATACCATTGAGCCAGTATCAAATGGGTATGCCATAAGCCTTCATTATTATCCCTGATTGGCCTTTCTGTGGTTATTGCAGCTTTAACTGTTTATCTGAAGTCTCCCATGTCAAGTCCTTAGGGCCAGTAGGAACACTGGCAAAATCCCTAGAGCAGACAGAGTCCTTGAGAAGCTGAGAGTGATTCAGCTACTGAGGAAATTCTATATGTTCTATGGTAACTGATGCATGATTACCATGTTCACGATGGTTCATTGCCGAAGAATCTTAAAACAGGTGAATCCAGTTCATGTTCTTTTTACTGAATTTATTTAGGATCTGTCTGATTATTAGGAGCCAGGATAGTGTAGTTGGTATAGTGACTGGCAATGGGCTGGACAACTGAGGGGTCAGAGTTCAAGTATTGGTGAGGGTAAGAATTTCCACTTCTCCACGTTGTCGAGACCAGCTCTGGGGTTCACCCAACCTCCTATCCAGTGGGTACTGGGGGCTCTTTCCCATGGGTAAAGTGGCTGGGGTGTGAAGCGGACAACTCACCTCAAACAGGTGCTGAGGTAAAGAAAATGTGGATTTATACATCCATACCCCCATATGCCTTCATGGCGTAGTGCTTAATTAGTTAAGTACAAGGGACAACTTTACCTTTTTACCTTAGTATTGTCATCTTGCCTCTGCCTAGATCTCATAACTAGTCTCCTGTCAGTTTTTTTAGCCAAAATTTTGTGTTTGTTTATAATGTGTTCTGTGTATGCTATATGTTCTGTCCATCATGCCCTTGATTTGATGACACCTGTAATATTTGATGGCATTAATATATTCAGTGTAAGAGCTGGGATAGTTCAGTCGGTATAATAACAGCCCACAGACTGGACACCCAGGGTTTGATTCCCGTTAGGGGTAAGATTTTCTCTTCCCCATAGCAATATTATCCATACTGGCTCTGGGGCTCACCCAGCCTCCTTTCCAATGGGTGCGAGGGCCTCTTTTCCTGAAGGTAAATTGGCAGGGGCATGATGCTGACCACTCACCTCCATCTAGTTCCAAGGTCAAAAATGGAGTTGTACCTCCACTCCCCAGTATGTCTTCATGGCATAGAGCTTAATTAATTAATCGCAGGGACAACTTTACCTGTACTTTTTTTTTTCTGTGGCGCTACAGCCCCAATTTGGGCCTAGGCCTACCTCCATGAAACTCTCCGTTTCACTTCGGTTTACTAGATCTTACACATTCGGTAGGACTCCTTGGGCGAGTGATCAGCTCGTCGCAAGGCCTCTACCTGTAGACAAACACAGAAAAACGCACACAAACATCCATGCCCTGAGTGGGATTCGAACCCACGATCTGAGCTTCCGAGCGAGCGAAGACAGTGCATACCTTAGACCGCTCAGCTACCGTGACCGGCTTACCTGTACTTTAGTCAATGTAAGAACACTTACTACTACACAGATTTCCCTCTGTTCTTCTTCTGTCTTAGACCTGAATATTGAAATGTAGGCCTGGACACCAATCACCCTGACTGAAGGTTTTTGTGGTTTTCCTCAGCATTCCTGGTATCTTGAAACAGACCAAAGGCACTTCTTCCCTCCCCAGTCATTTAAAGTTCACTGAATGTGTTCACTCTCACACCATTCAGCACCATGTAATCACACCAGTCAGTACAGCATTATTAATTAACCCAAGATTCATTGAAAGATCCCATACATTTTCCTTATCATCCTGCTCTTGGACATCTTCAATCCATATTCTTCCCTTAGGGTGTGAGTCAAAGTTTCACACCCATGTGAAACAGCAGGTAAAACGATAATTTTGAATATTATAATATTTACGTTTTTAGATAGCAGAGGGGAAGACAAAAGATTCTGAGCTGAATTGTAGTAAATGTTGTCTGCTGTTAATTTGATTGTGTGTTGATGAGCCAATATGCTATATTCTTGTCCTTCAGAGCCTGGGCTTTGCACTGGGACCAGTGAAGGGAGACAAGGGGAGAGCCTACATCATGTACTCACAAGGGTCTGTGTGTGACTCAGGGCCAAACTACAGCTCCAAGTTTGAGTTCGAGTGTGATCCAAAGAGTGGACAGGTGAGAGGGGCTCAGCACATAGAGAGGCTGTCAAACAATAGCACCTCAGGGAACTGAGAAGTATGAGTGTTGTTTGAATGAAACCCAGCTGCAGCATCGCTAGTGAATGCACACCAGTAGTTAACCTCAAATTGTGCAGCAGAATGGGCACGTTAGAGCAAACGGGAACAGCCTGACATGGTTAAATGCCAGTGATCAGGTGTAAAGTCAATTCAAACAGGACAAGTGAGCTCAAATTCTAGTCTCTCCACGAATAGGTTTCATTTGAGCAGTCATCATATGAAAGTTGGGCAGCATGATGCTTGGAGTGTGTCATGAGAACTGGTCACTTGATTAAAGTCTTGTTTGTTTATCGTTTATTGGACAATATGTCCTAGAATAGTAGGATGATCAATGAGTGAGTAACATATTGAAAATAATGTGGAAGGAAGTTACCATGGCCTACTTTTACGTACTGTCCCAGCGTGTGTGGAGGGTCTGGGGAAGACCAAGAGCGTGGCAAGGAAGCTGGTGTCTGGGCTGAGCTTTGAATTTCAGACTTGCTGAATATGAAGCAGGAATGCTACCCATTTAACATCTATGCACATATTGTGAGAGTGTGATAACTGGATTGTAGAGCCACATGTGTAGCTATTGTATTATACATGAGATCAGCTGAAGTCTGAACTGATTACTGCGACTGGTCGTGTGCCATGTTTCAGGGGGAACCAGAGTTCAGAGAGCTCACTGATGACTGCCAATACCAGTTCATTTGGAAGACAAGTGTGACGTGTGAACCATTCATAAAGAATGTGTCTATCAGTGATGGGCAGTGTGTACTGAGCAATGAGCAGATTAATGCAAGCATGAACCTCTGGACACTGGCACAGCATGGTGTGATGCAGGTAAGGTAAATATAGAATTATGTTATTTAAGTCAGGATAATACTATCACATGTATGAGAGACTGTAGATGGTGTTTGGATTAGTAATTGCATTTAATGAATACAGCCTAGCAACAGCTGTTGTCTTGTTGTTTATTTTGCAGTCATTACCAAGCAACGGGCATGTATGCCACAATACTAAAATGGATCTTTAAGACATAGGTTAGGAGGATGTGGTGACAATTTAAAAGCTTATGCAGTTTGAATGTATTTTCTGGATTTTTTTTCTGTGGGGAAACCTCTGTGTAGGAAATTTTGGATGACCTAGATATGTGTACAAGAATAATTTTAAAACAACTCTTAGGGAAATAAATTGATGCAACTGGCTCAGGATCCAGTGGTTGTAATGGTGGTGATGTTAATCTGTTAGGTTCCAACAGCAGATTTGACTTCACAATTGGAGCTGTAAATATGAAAACAAAATCATGTTTTCATGGACTTATCTGGTGACTTATGAGCTCTGTGTTGTGTGTAGGTCGAGGAGTACTCTGTGAACCTGTGCAGTACGGGGACGGTCATGCGCACCAGTGACTTCAAGTTGTATGGCACTCTAACTAGTGTGGTGTTTGACTACCAGCAGCAGCAAGTGCGTCTCCTGTTCACGGGGGGTGCCATCTGCACTTCCTCAGGTATGTAATACTGACTTTCACTTGCATTGGTTAGGATCGGTGAAGTTTACTTAAGCTCCTTTCCATTACAATTGTTTGTATTTTATGGCCAGTGTGTCCTGTAAACAGTGCAACTGTTATTGATTGTAGGCTTCAGTGCAGTAGATTGTGCTTCAGTGCAGTAGATTGTGCTCTCAGGTCTCTGCACTGTTTGTGTGTGGGCAGTGTTGATGACATTTCAGAGGCACATGCTGCCTGTCTTTATGGTTGGATTTAATAAGGCGGATGTGTGTGTTTTTGGTCGAAGAGAACCATGGGATTTGGTACCTGGTCTAGGCCAACAGAAACAGCAGATGGGGAAGTATTATAAAAATGGCTCCCTTTTTACATATACTGGTACACCAGAAACCTTTGGCAACCAGTGTTATGAAGCAGTAACCCATCCAAATGCTCACAACCTCCTCTGCTCTGGGTCAGGTGGTATGGATGGGTGCAGCATCACCCAGCGAGCACTCTGATGGGTGACTGCTTGGGAGCAATAGTTGCTCTTGGCCTCTTGGTGCATTCAGTGGCCCTAAAAATGGTTGTTTTGACAATAATTCCCTGTCCGTATTGTTCTGGACTGGACACCAGGCCTCATCCCATTCCCTCTTTGTTGGTCTCTTGAACCAAAATATGGATATACATGAACTCACTTCAACCTTGAAGACGGAGACAGCATGTACCTCTAAAATGTTGGCAACATTGCCAACATCCACATGGTGCAAAGGCCCAACAGCAGACTCAACACAAACAATGTAATTATTACCCTGCCAATTGCTACAGTGGTGATCATTCAGTAAAACAAAGGAACAAGCACGAAGCAGCATGTCATTATGTTGTTCCAACACTGCTGTATGATTTAAAATAATATCTCATGAAGAATGCTCCCTAGCAGAACATCGTCTTCAATACACTTTGTGCAAAGCAGTGTCTCATACTGCACCACTCTCTTGTGGTCCGCAGAGAACTACAAGGCACAGCTGCTGCTCAACTGTGACAGAGAAGCAGGCTCCAGTGGACCCAACGTGCTGACGGTAAGTACGGATTGATTGATTGATTGATTGATTGATTGATTGATGGGTGGGTGAAAAGTGAAACGTCCATATATGAAAGTTTTGGGCATCCAGTTATAACTCATCTGTTCTACAAAAGGCTGGCTCTCCCCATGTGAATCTGGGTTCAGTCCAAGGGTGCAATGTGGCATGCAAGTACTTCAGTATTTCCAGTGCTTGCAGTAGGCTGGATGGTAGTTAGTAGAATCAGACAAATTCATGAAAATATTCAAGGAGTTCGGGACAGAATCTTAGATCTACTTTCCTGTTGCAAAGGCCCCCAGTCCTAAAGATGTGTTAAATTTATATTTAGGTATATTTATAGTCAAAGAGTAAAGTGCCGATTGGTTAGCATCCTGAGGAGAGCAGGCGGTCAGGGATCAAATCTTTGAGATGTTATTTTTTTTTTATTGCTTGCAGTTGTAAATATGTTATTGTCATGTGATCATGACTGAAATACAGGTTCTGGTTAGTAATTGGATTTACTGAACACCGATTTCTCTTATCTCCACATGATTACACAATTTACAGGCATTTACTATTGGTCAAAAGTCTGTTACATCACTCTTGCTTGGTACCTTTCTAGCTCTGTTGTCACGGACACATTGCTGGGAAGCAGGCTTGAATAATGGGGACTCCATTGCTGGCTGGCTCTCAGCATGTCACTTTGTTACTGGCCAATGAAAAAACACTACCTCCAGCATTTCCTTGACTGTTGTGAATGTATATGGCTACCGGTGATTGGTGATTGTCACTGCTTGGTAGTGACTATATCTGGGATATTTCCATGATTTCAGGATTCAAGAGTTCATGGTTTTTAGAAATTATGTCATAAGAGTTCCATGTATCAGTGACTATACATTGAATTTTGACTGATAATTGTATTTATTAAACCCTTACAACTTAACTACTAACAGTCTATAGTAGAGTGAATTTATTGACTACACAACATGTTTCTTATCACATTATCACTACATGTTTCGACCTCAAGAGGTCATCTTCAGGTGTATGAACACGGCTGTATAATTACACGCCGTCACATTCACTTTCCACTCATTCAACCTTAAAGTTTGTGAATTGAGGTTCAACTTATGTTATTAGTTACACTTTCACTTGTTTGTGAGGTCTCACTGTTCTTCCGCGTTCTTTGATGTTGCTGGATATGTTATGATCGTTGTCGTGATGGGTACTGATGTGTCTTGCTTGTTCGGTTGGTTCCTGTAGGGTATTGGTTGGGGGGAGCTGCGGGGTAGGTGGTTCTGGGATATATTATATTTCTTGCATCTGATTTTGTTTTTATTAAGATATCATAAATTGGGTTATAGCTATCAGTTAAAGCTTCGTTCATTTGTAGATTTTGCTTAGTTAATTCATATATGTGGAAGCTTTCTAGTGTGTTCAATGATTAAAAGTACTAACAGTCTCTCACCGATTCATGCATTCCGTACATCGCTGCAACTGCAGAGCACATAAAATCTTCTGTGTGCTCACTAGTCAGTGCTAGCTGGCGACTGCTAATCCAACTCAAGATTGGGTAAATTTTGGCTGGCTCTTGCCAGCACAGTTGTTCTTGTTTCCAAGTTCCATAGGACTCTTGACCATACCTCACCGTATAACTTTATTTTTCCATCACAACACAACAACTAAGTAATATCAAGGCTAATACCCAGCTATGCTTCACTACATGTTTTGGCCGTTAACGGCCATCATCAGGTGAATACAAATCAACAGACGTATACTATTGAACTGTGGTAAAATTAGATACAATGACAAAATAGTTAGTTCTTTTGTGTAAAAATACAATGGTCATTTATATATAAAACTGAAGGTTATAATATAAAACAAGATTAAAATTGATGTTTTATAACATCTAATCAGTCGTATGTTTACTTTATACGTTCCGTGGACAAAATAAAAATATAAGATGGTATTGGAGGTCCATGACGTTGCAAGTTAATTAATAGAGTAGAGGTGCCTCGTCATACGAAAGAAAATGTCCGTACTATATGAGGAGTAAACAACAACTCGTTTCTTTCGTATGACGAGGCACCTCTACTCTATTAATTAACTTGCAACATCATGGACCTCCAATACCATCTTATATTTTTACTTTGTCCATGGAACGTATAAAGTAAACATACGACTGATTAGATGTTATAAAACATCAATTTTAATCTTGTTTTGTATTATAATCTTCAGTTTTATATATAAATGACCGTTGTATTTTTACACAAAAGAATTAACTATTTTGTCATTGTATCTAATTTTACCACAGTTCAATAGTATATGTCTGTTGATTTGTATTCACCTGATGATGGCCGTTAACGGCCAAAACATGTGGTGAAGCACAGCTGGGTATTAGCCTTGATACTACTTAGTTGTTGTGTTGGACAGAAAAATAAAGTTATATATCGTAACACAACAGGATGCATGAAATGAAGACGCTTCACTGTCTCACATCTATGGGAGTCATGAAATTCTCAACTGACTGTTGGTCATTTGGGCAATCAGTCATTCTTGGTTCCATGTCTTCCTGGACTCATGACCATATTTTACTGTCTTTTGACTGTGGGAGTCATGCAACTCACTGACTCAACTAGGCAGTCCTCATTATATAGCCTTGGCACAGATCACAGACAACACTGCTTTCAACAGTTCCTGTTACATGTTGATTTACTGCTGCATGAACGTGTTTACTGCATTGTTGCATAGCAACAGCTTCTGCTTGGTTCCATTATTCTGGCTTTCGGCCATCATGTCACAATATGTTACTATTAGTAGTTAGTCCTCCAGGTTGGGAGTTGGACATGGGGCTAATGACCCCCACCCCAGAAAAATCTGCTGTTACAAAACCATGGAGGAGGCCAAGACATGCACAGGGTTGTAGAGCCAGTAAAAAAGAATATTATTACCTAGTGGGTTGGCATAGCTGTAACACACCAAACTCATATTTGGGAGGGGCACAGTTTGAATCTTTGCCAGTATAGTGGATATCCTGACTTAGGTCCTTCATGGTTTTCCTCAGTCCTAAAAAATGCCACGATAGTGCTTCAGGTAAGCCCCAACACTTTCATCTGATTCATCTCCAATTTATCATTAATCTTTCATCCTACCATTCAAAAGCGCATAGTCTTGGCTGCTGGCAACATTGTAACAGACCCACAGAAAGAAAACATCACTGTTGTTTTCTGTTTGTGAAGAACTTGTTAAGTACAGATTCTGTGTACATTAAATTTGTTAGACAGACCTCATAGTTTTGTGCTCTGTCTTCATGAATTTGTAGGTTCCAATTTCATATTCCTAGTTCCAGTGGGGCATTAGGTACTTCCATCAAACTAAAAGCTGTGTAGGATTTGAGGGTTCTCATGGCAGTGATTATGAAGAGTACTGTATTCTGGGATACAATGCCCTATAGCTAATTGAAAACTTACATTTGCCACACTGTGTTGTACAAAGGCATTAGCTTTACAAATGTTGCATATGATTTCAGGATTATATATTAAGTGGTGCTATTGCAGCTTCCATCTCACAAATATCTATGCCCACTGCAGTTATTTCTTATTGTAGCAAATCAAGAAGTGGCCAGTTGTCATTTTCGGTGACATGATATTCAAATCCTTCTTCACGAGGATTGGTTAATTTGTTCAAAAGTTGAAAGGGGTAAATGAAGGCATGAGTCCTCATTGGAAACTGCATTTCATTAGCTTTCAAATGAGCCTGGAATGGACCAGTGGAATCTCCAGCCCCAGCAGGGGCAGTGCTTTTAGGGGTTGAGTAGTGCAAAAACATTCCTGGTATTTTCCTAATTCTGAATTCCTGCTACAAAGGACTACAGCATGAAAAGGACAGGAACCTCACCATATATTACTGACAACAAAAGGGGTCAGGTTTTAACAGTCCTTCTAACTGCCCCACGTTGAGGGATGCCACTTTATAACAGTTCTTCTGTTATCATCCTTGATGTCATAGTCTCTGTTGTGGTTGTTGACAACCCCTAATGAGATTCCTGGTACTCATCTGTTTGAGGCTGAGTTCACCCCAGGGCCATAGTGTGGCTAGGATTAGGTCAATTGAAAAATCCAGCGACCTTCTGGCTTGTAGCATAGTGCCTCAACCAACTGTGCTACTGTTTGCCCCACAGAACCTAAAGGCATGGAAACGTACTCTGTTATCTTACCAGTGTATATGATAATGATGCTGCTGAAACAATGTGCATGTGTTGCTGTACAGTTTTTGGATGTGATTCAAATTCTCATTCCTAGTCTTTTCTGAAGAACATGAGTAAGGTTTAATTTCTGTCAAGGTCTGCAGGTATCCTGGATATTTGAAATCAAAGCAAATATAATTGATATCTAAAACTATGATTTCACAAAATGTTGCACAAACATAGACTGACTCTGTGGTCTAGAGGTAAGAGTTCCTGCCTACAGATCCAGAGGTCTGTGTTCGATTCCTGGGGCTACCACATTTTCTGAGTAGTAGTGGGTCTGGTTTGGGGTCCACTCACATAACTGAGGAGCTGTTTCAAGGAAATAGCGGCTCCAGTCTACAAAACTGAAATTAACGGCCATGGGGATTTCTTGCACTGACCACACAACACCCTCTATCCACTAAACTTGTCACTTACTTTGCCAACAAGCGGCAGTCGCTCGGTTAGTATAGTTCACTTGCGGACTAAAACCACAGTTTTTTTTGTCACACTAACGTAATGGCAACAGTGTGAAATCTGTTTGTTTCTCTGTGTTCTTGCATAGAGTTCATAAAGTAAATTCATGATGAAGTCGGAAGATGTTTCACATCTGTAACTACATTTTACATTTTTATGATATTTGTGGTGTGAAAGATGGTGGCCTGCACTAATGTTGGGATTACTTTCACCCTTTCACAGTCATGACACAAATATCTGTGCTCTTCTTAGGCACTCCTGAAAATTCAGAGCAGTTACATGTAAAGTATTTTCATATTTCCTTCTCATCTGCTAAGCATGGTATCAACACGCAGTAAAATAATAAGCTAATGTCATCTCTGGAAATATGTGAAGTACAACCAAATCTGTTCATAAAACATGCTTTCTTTGTGTTAAATTTGGAGAATGCCTGACTTAAGGCACACCACATAAACACTTGACTGTTAAAAGATTAATTACAGTCCATATTCATTCATTCAGTACAATCCTACTTTATGTAAAGCTCATATTGGACTTAGTAATTTTTCTCAGAGGATTACTCATAATACCATTCAGTTATAATCCACTGTGGTTTTCTTTGATCTTTGTGGTAGTGTGTGTATTCTAAAGGAAAGTTGCATAACTTACACATTCAAGAAATCCTGACTCAGTAAACCCTTATGTTCCAAGTTTCAGCCGAACCAGTTCCTGTTTCTCAACTGTTTGTGTTACAAGAAATGTTTTCTTTTCTAACCATGTTTTTTCTTTACATCATATCCAGTTCAAGTGTAGCTCTTAAATGTTATTCACAATTAAATTCAGAGGTGGACACAATACTTTGATCACATAATTCATTATAGACAGGACATTTACTGTCTGATTACGTGGTGTTATGGCATCTCACAGATGTTTGAATCTTCTCACAGATTATTGTGTTTTTCAGCCACACTAAACCCAACACACATTAGTTTGGTGATGATTCGTAGTTACCTTTCCCATCCACTGGCACACTGGCTGCACCATTCATATTTTTACCTGTTCCAGTCCTCTGGTGCAGTCAGTGCATCGTGATTTTTTTTGAGGTTACTGAAATTTAGTAAAGTTAATAACAGTAGTTCGTAATTTTAGTTGAAATTACATATTCCAGTGGCATTTAGATGGACCAGCAGAGAGCTCAAGTAAAATTAAATTTGAACGAAAGGGCTACACATGGTTATACAACACATTGGTATTTAGAATAAGCAGAAATATAATTCACATCCTACTTGTATGAGTGTTTTAATAAAAAAGAACAGGTTAAGATGAGCTATCATTACACTATTTACAAGGGCACATAGCTGCCTCAGGTACTGTCTCTTGAGCACATCATGATATTCACACAGACTTCACAAAGCAACCATTGATATGTCCATTTGTCTTTGCCAGCAAAGTCACATGTCCATTGGTTAATGCTGTAGTGGCCTGCAGGGGATTTAGTACTTCATCAGTGGGAGAAGTGGTAGATGAGGAGGGGGTTGAGATGAGTTCCAGTTTGTCATCCCTTCCTGTCCTGCGGGACTTGGGCTCCTTGCTCCTCTCACTGACTTTCTGTGAATGAGGCAGGGCATACCGTAGTTTATCCCAGAACCAGGGGTCACCCCACTTTACGTATGTGTTCATACTAAGATAGGCACGCAGCTCAGGATCCAGCTGGTCCAGTGGACCAATGTCCCCATAGAGCAACACAATGACCCTGGCACGGCCCTCACTCAGGGCCTGGCTATGTGCTGTGCGGAATTCCATGCGACCCCACACACTTTCAAGGAAGCTGGGTGACAGCACTACGAGAGTTCGTCGTGAGTCTTCCACAGATCGTGCTATCTGATTAGGAATCCACTCACCAGCTATCCAGTCACGATAATGCAGACATAGCTTGAAATGTGTCGTGCCACCCTCCAGCTCTGGCACCAGCTGATTCACAACAAATTCTTCATCACGATGTGAGTAGCTGATGAAGGCATCATACAGTTTGTCTTTGTCAAGCTCCTCCTCTGTCACAAACCAGAGGCACAAGCCCCGTGCATACAGCCACACTTTCACCTCATGCTGGAAGTAGTAGTACAGAGCTGCTGAGATTCCCACCATGATGCCAAGCAGGGCCACAATTATACTCATTGTCACGATGGTAGCACTAGACACTGGGCACAAATCATTGAAGGTGAGATTGGCCAGTGATCGTCCTGAGCCATCCCCACATGTGATATTGGAGAGATACGCCACCTGCAACAATATACATGTTAACATGGAACATCACCGTACGATGTGGTATGGTGTGGTGTGCCATGAATTATCCATACCTGAGTGAAGTGTTCCTGCAGGAAATTGAGCATGCCACGTGCTGCACAGTCACACTGCCATGGATTAGCATGGAGTGTGAGACGCTGAAGGCCGGTTGTTTTATTGGCAAGTGCCTGCAGAATGGAAGCATCGAGCCATGTCATGTTGTTGTGATCCAACTCTAGCACCTGCAATGGTAAATAGGCTTGAGATGACAGTCTTTGGAATAAAGGTGATGCACAAGGCATTATGAGCACCTCTTCTTACCTGCAGGTGAGGAGGCACCTGCTCTGCTGCCAATGTTGAGATGTTGTTGCCTGACAGATAGAGTTGTGTCACCCTGCTGTATCCTGGTGCAGTGTTCCAAGGCAGTGTCACAATACTGTTACTGTTGAGCCATAATTCTGTGTGGTTGAGTTTAATCCTTCTAGGCCACAAGACTCTGCTGTCAAGTTTGAGTGGGTCTGGCAAACTGGCAGGAGACTGTGATAGATTCAAGCCTGAGCAGTCCACAATTAGGGCAGAGTCTGCTGGACGCTCAAAGCACGTGCAAGGATGTGGACAATCCACCAGTTTTGGAAGAGGGCACTGTATCTTGAAGGAGCTGAGCTGCTTCACTGTGATGCCTCTCCATCCTGGTGGGGCAGCGCAGCTGAGGTTGCCCGGGATGATTTCAAACATGCTGCGTGCTTCTGGTTCAAGTCTGTCCTCAAGATAGCGCAACAGGTCATAAACCTTGCAGTCACACATTAAGGGGTTCCCCTCCAGCAGAATACGTCTGTTTGGTGGAGTCTGATGAGGGATTTGCCCCCTGGCCACAATCTCTAAGTTCTGAAGGTCAATGATGGAGATGGTGTTGTAAGTGAGGTCCACAGTGATGTAGCTTGACAGGAACTGTATGTCTTCCAGCTGTATGACAATACAGTTATTGAGATAATGACAAATAAGGCAATGTACTGCTAACCATAATGCTCCAGAATCCTAAAGCCAACAGACAAGGATACACTGATTACTTACACTGAGGTTGGAAATGAGGTTGTGACTCAGATCAAGAGTTCGCAGGTTCAGCATTGTAAGGACCCAATCTGAGAAAATAGTCATGATGGCATTATAGCTGATGTACAGTTCCTCAAGATGCACACAGGCACTAAGAACTGACTGTACCTCTCCTACATTGGTCTGTAGCCCTCTTAAGGACAGATGGTTGTGGGAAAGTGTCAGCTGTCTAAGTGTAGGCACATGCATGAATGCCTCTAGTGCAATGTGTTTCAGCTGGTTGTGCTCCAAATTCAGTGATTTAAGTTGTGCTAGGCCCTTCAGAAGATTCCTGTAATAACAGAAGGGAACCCTGGTTGGTACATCTACCATTGTCATTAAGATTACAATCCCAATGGATGATTGCCATGTAGGTTTGGAGATAGGTAACAAAACTTCAGAAGAACCTGCTGCCTCCATGTTTAGGAAGAAGGTGGAGTCAGCAAGCTCCTCCAAAATATTGGCTATACACCAGCCATTCCTGGAGGCCAAAATCTTGATATTCACCACAGTGAGACTCTTAAATCTCATACTTACAGTCATCTGTGTTGCTTATTCTATTGGCTCACCCTGAGATGTTGGTTAGTTGGTTGTGGTCCAGTTCAAGGGTCTGCAAATTGTCGAGACCAAAGAATATCCCATCTGGCAGGGCTTGCAAACGGTTGCTGCCCAGTTTGAGGTTCATAAGTTTGACTGTGTCCTGAAATAGTTCTGCAGGCAGAGTTGTTAGTAAGTTTCCTTGCAGGGAGATGTTGACTATTGCTGGTGATCCCCAGAAGATGTCAGCAGGCATTTGTGTGATGCCACACATATTGAGGTACACTTCCAGCAGATTAGTAAGGTTGGCCAACAGTCCAGGTGGAATGTACTGAAGCGGCTGTCTATTGTCATACAGTCCCAACTTTGTCAGACTTCTAGTTGATGAAAACAAACCATCAGGCAAGAAACTAAAATTGTTGCTGGGCATGGTGAGCTCCCTGAGCTGGGGCATCTTGGCAAACAAGTCTGCAGATATTGAAGTCAGCTTATTGGAGCTGAGGTCCAGAAACTGCAGACCCGATAGACCAATAAATACGTCTTGTGTGAGATTCTGCAGATTATTTCCCCACAAGTTCAATCTGCTGAGTTGAGATAGGTTACGAAATATTCCCACCTCCAGGTGGCTCATCTGGTTTCCACCCAGTTCCAGTGTCAGAAGATTGGACAAGTGGTCAAACACATGGACAGGCAGCTGAAGGGCATTGTCTTTCAGGTCCAGATACTGGAGCATAGTCATCTCTTGGAACAGATCTTGAGGCAATGTTGTTATTCCATTGCCGTGCAGTGTCAGAGTTGTGAGGTTGCTCAGCCCTGCTAGGAATGATGATTCCAACGTGTCACTCAGATTGCTGTTCTGGAATACAAGTGATTCAACCCCAGATATACCAATAGATTCAAGCATCTGGTACAAAGGCATATTAGGCAGGGGACAAAATGTGAAGGCCACACGAGGGGTGGGGCCCACATGTAGCCCAGACAACAAGGCATAGTCCATCCATGTCATAGAGAAACACTGGAAGTTCAGCATGTTCCCTGGCTTCAGCTTTGCATGGAATGTAACCTTCTGTGGGGCATGGGAGCACCATAGGTCCAGGTCACCCAATACGTTGTGCTCACAGTGGCAGCTGCTATTGATAGGGCACAAGCTGTTGTCACTGCTGACCACCGCCAGTGTTAACACTGTTGTCAACATTAGCTGTCTCATTGTTAGTAACATTTTGTTCCTGCAATAAGAAATAATTATTAACTTTTTCATTGTCTGTGAAGTTAAGAAGCTTAGGCTGGTTTTGCCAGGTATGTTGCATGCCATTCATAGATGGCATAGTTTATTTTGAACAGTTCTGGTTATCATCTTAGGCACAGAATTCTTGCTTAAAAATCTTAACTCAACTTCCTTAAAACTAGGAATCTGTAAAAGAGGGTTAAAAATATGACAGTTTAGTTCTTAAAATAATTTCTTTGAAGCATGAAGTTCGTGTAAATAATACTAAAAAATTCAGTTCCTACCCAGAGAATGTTTTCCCTTTTGTTGTTAGAATCATATGAAACACACTAACAAATTCCATGGAGCCGAGTCCTTTTGAGAAGCAAACAGTTGCTCAGCTACTCAAGAATGTCCCAAAATTTTAAGGAACCTGTAGGTTCATTACTGTGTTCAGAAGAGCATGCCACTGGTCCCTATCCAGGAACCAGGTAAATCCAATCCATACCACCCCATCCTATTTCTCGAAAATCCATATTAATATTATCCTCTCACCTACATCTAGGTCTTCTTCCTTGTCTCTTTCCCACCAAAACCCTGCTACCATGCGTGCTACATGCCCTACTCATCTCATCCTCATTGACTTGATCACTCTGATTATATTTGGCAAAGAGTACAAGTTACAGAGGAGTTGGGATAGCTCAGTCGGAGTTCGATTCCTGGCAGTGCAAGATTTTTCTCTACTCCACAGTGTCCAGACAGACTCTGGGACTCACCCAGCCTACTATCCAGTGGGTACTGAAGGCTCTTTCCCTGGGGGTAAAGCGGCAGGGGCGTGAAGCTAACCACTCATCTCCATCTGATGCTAAGTTCAAGAAAGGTGGAGCTGTACCTCCACTCCCTCGTGTGTGTTCATGGAATGGTGTTTTTTTTTTTTGTTGCAATTTATGAAGATCCTCATTATGCACTTTTCTCCAAATATTCTCCTTAGCACCCTTAGTCTGTTGTTCCCTTGATATAAGAAACAAAGTTCCACGCCTATACAAAAATATCGGCAAAATTGTAGTTTTGTATATTTTAATTATTTCGTTTTTTAATAGATGAGAAGACAGACATTTTCATTGGGTACATCCTCTTGTGTTTATTACACAAAATTCTTTATTACTGAAGTGCAGTTCAGTAGTATGTGCGTGCAGTAACTATGTACGTGCCTGATGGCTTTAAAAGTCGAAGCATGTAGCTAAGGTGATATTGACCTAGACTGTTTTGTTGTTGTGTTCTGACAGATCCATAAAGAATTTTGAGAAGACAGAAAGTTTACGAAGTGAATGGTAGAAACTATTACCCAAAGTTAATGTTCTCTTAGTTTCCTCATGAATGAAATTTTGATTTGTTACTGTCGTATCCAAATATTTTAACTCTGCAACATTTTCAAAGGATCTCTTATCTATCTGCATGTTATGATTTTGCCGTGAATTCTGGTGACGAGACATTGTCGCCATAAGTACACCGTGTGAGGAAAATGCAGATTTAATTTTTGTTAATGTTGAAGCAGGTGGTGCATATTCACTAGAAGGCCCTGGAATAATAATTGTAAATCACGGAATAATTTGTAGAGGCACCGTGTATATGTGGTGTTAACCGACGTTTTGGAGGAACGTATCGCCTCCATCTTCAGGGTAGAAGAAAAATATAAGAAATCTGCAAGCGAAGAAACCCTGAAGATGGAGGCGATACGTTCCTCCAAAACGTCGGTTAACACCACATATACACGGTGCCAAATCCCAGAAGACTGCTTTCTTCATAGTCACCGCCGTGAAAGCCTCAAATCTTACACGGAATAATTTACCGACGAAACCGAAAATGAACTCGCCACGTTTCATTTCCATCAGAAAATTATTATGTGGTTTACGTATAATTATTAATTAATGGCCTGCCTCGAGTGAATCATTGTGTAGTATTCCTCCCCTGTGCATTAACGGGTTACGGCCACTCGGGGGAGCGGGCAGCATATAACAGTATTTTGTGCGTGTGAACGTAGCAGGGCACCGCAGGCGTGGCAAGTAACGCTGACTGACTGGTAGGCATTTCCGATGCAGAACAAAAACAGCAGAAACACTGCTGCGACGTCAGCGCGTTGCCTAACTGTGAATTTGGGTCGAATTCCGAGTCTAATGCCACTGGCGTGTCTACGCAAATTTTGAGTACTGCACATTGCGGGACCGAACGATTTGGCTGTCGCGGTAACACTTTTGGAGCCGCTGGTTCCAACTAGACCTTCAAGTTTTTCGTATTTTTGCCCAGCCTCTCATGAAAAATTCTGATATTGAGTCTTCACCTACGCCACGATTTCGACGCTATATAGCCAGGGGCTGCTTACAGCTCTTCTAATTTAACCATAAATCAGCTTTGTGAACGCTCTACATACGACCGACATACCCCTTGGTCTCAGAATTTGACTCCACTTAACTCTGTTTTGACCATTTTTATCTAGGACTGTGTGTTAACGTGCGTTGTATGTTAAACTGTATTTTACCACAGAAAGGGCTGTATAAAAGAAAGTTAGGGTGTTAGGGCCTCTTTTGGACATGTGTTTTAACACCGTTAATTACTCGTCTCATTCCGTTATGAGGCTTCTCGTACTCATGGGGGTACATTGCCCTCTGTTCATAACCGCTGCCATAGGTAGATAAAAGGTAAGGTTGTTCCTGTGTTTAATTAGTTAAGCATGCCATGGGTCCGTATAGGGGAGTGGAGGTATAGCGCCAGATGGAGGTGAGTGGTTAGTTTCACGGCCCTACTGCTTTACCCCCGGTACCTATTGGATAGCAGGTCGGCCATAGATAACAAGTGTTTGTACTAGTCGACTGTCAATCTCCTGCCCAGATGACTCGCGCCCCCGTATTCTCGTACTGTCAGCTGACAGAATTATACAGAAGCATGTTGGAGAAGACATTTGCCATGAGATGTAACAATTTTCGTGCTTATGGACGTGCAAACAAGCTGCTAAGTAAGATTTGTTTGCACGCAACGGAAATAGCGCTTCGACCTTGCAACCAAAAAAATACCTATACAACTAAAAGTTTAACTGTGTTGCCACTAAGCTGCGTTCTGAGCTTTCTCAATCCAATCTAAACAAAGAACTATTTACTAAACGTCAGCATGGATACATTATAAAAATTTACCACAATTCTGTTTGTCTATTTTTGGCATTTGACGACTCCGTCGATAGCTAAGACTACTGGGTAGAATGTTAGACTGACTGGTGCATAATTAATTGGAAAGGATATGAAAGTAGTCGTGACCTATTCCAAGGCACTTTCCCAGCATTCGCCCGGAGAGGCTGTGGAGAGACAGGAGAACCTCAGAATAGTCGGTATCCCTGCCGAGATTATGAACGGGCACCTCCCGAATGCAAATTAGAAGCGTCACCTTGCTCCTACCCCAGCCACTTGTCTGGTCCACCGATTTTACTCCCCTAACATACCAAGGAGTAACATATAGGACATTCATCATTACATATCTGTCTCAGTTCCCCGATGTTTCCATTTTGTTCAACCCAACTGTTTTTCCTTCCACTTTATCTGAGATAAGCTGCCTGACGCATATGTGAAGGTATCTTGCGTAGGTAACTTCTCGCAATAAAAGTCATGTGTGTACAAAGAAATCTCTGGTAGGGCGACTTTGGTTCCTACCGTATGATTAAAATAGAGGCTTATAACTTTCTGATGACGACGTAACGATTTACGTCACCGTCTTATTGATGATTACGCAACCTCAAAGAGTTTTCAGACTTGCTTTATACGTAACGTCCCTGTGCTTATAATTATTTAAGCACGCCATGAAGACGCATGAGAAAGCAGAGGCATACTTCCATCATTCTTGACCTTGGCATTGGATGGAGGTGAGTGGTCAGCCTCACGCACAGCCGCTTTACCCCTGGGTAAAATGGCATCGGGAACTCACTAAATAGGAGGCTGGGCTGGCCCCAAATCCAGTCTGGGCGCCTTGAAGATAAAAATCCTTTGTCCTTGCCGGGAATCAAACACCGGACGTCTAGCTCGCAGTTCGTCACTATGCCCAGTGAGGTATTCCGGCTCCCTGGACACGCTTTGTGCCGGTGTTAAAGAGACCATGCGTCAGTCAAGCAGAACCTCGCGTACGGAGTCCGTTTAAAAACAAGAATTTCTGTTGAATGTCACCGTGTTCGTACGGTCCATACGATGGTCC